ATACATAATAAATACATATATATATTATATACTGTATATATACATCTTGTTCCTTTCCCCATCTTTTTGCTAAAGACACATACACACAAGCTATTTCATCATGTGAAGAGCGAAGGGGTCTATTGAAATAGTCTAATTTAGAGGGAAAGACGGACAAAGAAGCCAAATGTAGATAATGCTGAGTGAAAAGAGGAAACCAATAAAAACCCCTCAGTGAGACCCTTTGACATGACTAATGTCACCAGCTCACACTTGGCTGCAGACAATAATCCAGATGACCTTGACAAGAAACAATTTGCATTCAGGCACTCACTGTCTGAAAACACACCCTTTCAATTCAATCCAAATTCAATCCAATGTGTTTTTGAACCCCCTGGTTAATGTGTAATGTAAAATTATTTTGGTTTTGCCAAAAATGAATAGACTAGCCTTTTCTGTCCATTAGATTTAAGGAAATAAATTCATTTTATAATGGATAATAACACCAATAGTAAAGTTCTATTTCTATTATCTATTTCTTGCCAGCTATTGTTACAATCTTGAAAGGATGTTTCTTCTTTTGCATTCAGAAAATTAACTACAAGCTCTACCTTCATTAAAATTATTGTTTTTAAGTATCAAGTATTGTTTAATGTAGTTGTTAATGGATTGCAACTCTGCACAAAAATGAAAGATTTTTACAAGTGCGTGTTTCGTTACAAGTGTGAGGGGCATATGACCTCATATTCACATGGATGTGCACCTAAATGCCAGGAAGGATGTTTCTGAGAATGTAAGCAAGACTTGAAGGTAAAAAATTAACACTATTATATTTCATCTATCTGAAGAGTGAGAAGTGTTCCCTGAGTGCAGAGGAACCGTGTGTGTAATGGAAGCTAAGGTAGAAACTTACTGCAGCTGCTACCTAATGAGTTTCAGTTAGGTGCACATTAGATGTTTCTATATTCTTCTCAGACTGACCGTGAGAGTGTTTTTTTTTTGTCTGTGTGACCTGTGATGGGCTTGAAACCCATCCAGGGTCTAACCTGCCTCTCAATTAGATATAGTGGGTATAGAAAGTGGATGCACGGATGGATGGATGGTTGGCTGAGTGGACAGATATTAGGAGTAAAGAGCTGTGAAATGGGTGGTCAGGCTGGGAGGAGGTGAGAGGAGGGATCTAGGCAAGGCAAGTTTATTTGCTGAGCACAATTCACACAGAATGTAAAATAAAAGCATAACAAAGCCAAATTAATTCATCCAATTCAAAGCGAGGAATGCAGACAGAATAATTTCAGTTGTCATTTACGAAACAGAGCTTTTTTCTCACTGTGGATTTAAACATTAAACACAGAGTTGAGGGCTGTGAATATAAAGCTTCATCTTTCATTTTCATGCAAAAAATGCTATTAAAAACTACAACGTATGAAGGACATTTAAGGGGCCATGTTGACAGCAACGTTTGTTTACATGATCCCATAAAGCACTTTTTATGTCTAACTGAATGCCATCTGAAGGCTGTGCCAGAACTGGTAATAAAGCAATACTTTAAAAAGAAGTAAGAAAAGTAAAGAAAAAATATTTCACAGCCTAAATTGTGTGTTTATTGTAACCACTCATAGCATCTCATCTTTCTCCCTCTATCTATTTCCAGCTGGAACCACATATATATTTGGAAAAGGTGGGGCTCTCATCACGTTCACCTGGGCACCCAATGAACGGCCGAGCACCCGAGCTGACCGGTTAGCTGTTGGCTTCAGCACTCAGCAGAAGGACGCCATCCTAGTGCGAGTGGAGAGCACCCATGGGCTCGGAGACTATCTTCAGCTGCACATTGTAAGAGCTCCATCGGGCAAAAGCTATTTTTTCCTTACAAGATTCTGATTCTTAAAACATTCAGTTGGAGATGAGTACAAATTAAAGCATATTCAAAGTAATAAAGTCCTACTTTCATATTCAAAAAGCAGTATTAGTTTTTTTGTCTGTTTAAAAAAAATTTTTTTACCTGTAGTGTTTTGCCTTGAATCTAAAATGTAACAAAATGTGACGTGTACGGACACAGGACAGTGGTGTAGATGGATTTAAAGACTTTATAAGTAAATTGTATGTAATTCACAGTATCTTGAACTGATAACATCCATCCATCCATCCATTATCAATGCCGCTTATTCCCTCATGGGGTCGCGGGGGGGACTGGAGCCTATCCCAGTGGTCAACGGGCGAGAGGCAGGGTACACCCTGGACAGTCCGCCAGTCCATCGCAGGGCCACACACAGGACATACAACCACTCACACTCACATTCACTCCTAAGGGCAATTTCCCCAATCTCCAATCAGCCTAACATGCAGGTTTTTGGACTGTGGGAGGAAGCCGGAGAACCCGGAGAGAACCCACGCAGACACAGGGAGAACATGCAAACTCCACCCAGAAGGGCCCTGGTTCCCCCGGGATTCGAACCCAGAACCTTCTTGCTGGGAGGCGACAGTGCTAACCACCACACCACCGTGCCGCCCTGAACTGATAACAATTGTCCATAAAAACAATTTAAGTAGCAATTAGTAGTTGTAATTTAAGTAGGAAAAGACAACAAATGGGGATGTCAGAAGCAGGAAACGGATCAGTGTTTCTTAAATTTATATATTGATGGACATGTGAGAGCAAACAAAAGTTGTTTTTTTTCAGCTACACGGACTCCCTTTTGTTTACATCCCTGTAGGATATAGGAATATATCCAGTTTGCATTTTGATTAGGTTTGAACTAAATCATGTTTTTTGGCTCATAAAAAAGAATCCCAGCCGGTCTGATTCACTGATCTTGGCACCTGAGTGCAGCCGCTGCGATTGAAAATGGTGCAGAAAATGTTACCACAAAAAGGAGATGGATCACATGTCTGTTCGGAATAAAGATGTCCTCTGGTTATAGAAATGTGCCCGTTGATTAACACCAAGGGACTCGACAGCTGCCTGCTTTGTGTCTGGAGGCATGTTTGGTGTATAGTCACAAGACAGGTGTACAATGATGACAAACAGATGTAAGATTTATGTGTTTAATGTCTGAGTTGTGTGATTACTCATATGTAAGAGCACAGAACCAAAACTGAAAAAGATAAATATTTCAAAGGAAAAAAAATACTTTTAATTGTCTGGGATACAGCAGGTAATCATTTTGTGATTATAATAATGCATACATATGCTATATATAACCTAGGTTAGAAAATGTTTCACAATTTGGCTTGTCTTAAATCTAATTACAGTTAATTAGAATTAATTCTACTGTCTAATGCAATTGTAATGTCTTTGTAAAGTGCTTCAGACAACTTGATTATCTAAGACCCCAAATATTTTATTGCAAAAATACTTACCCACCAACAGGAAAAGTGACCTTCACGATTACATTAATTATTCATCCTTCATTAGATGTGAATTTAATGAATGAGACAATTTATTACAACAGTATTGATAGTTTTAAGTGTAACCTTAGGGTTTGGTAATATTTTCAGAATGCACTTGAGCTGTGCAACATTCAAAGAGATCCTATGGTCTGATGCATCTTAACTTAGAAGTCAGTCACATCTCGTTTCCCATTCATCCCGAGGGCTTGTTTCTCAAACTGTTTCATTTAAATTGTGTTGGTTTTTAAAAATATGTGACTCTGACCTCGCTAGGCTTGCAAGTAAATGCATAGTTGCCCGTGGGAGTGCAAATCAGGCTGAAAAGGCTTTTTTTCCAGCAGCTGCCAAGTCCCTTACACTGGGACAGATTGTTAGTTTGACACTCTAGGAGAGCTTCATAGAGGGGAATTCGAAAGAGCTAAGAGGGTTTTTGATGTTGTCTTTTATAGTTTCTCTGTTAAGTCATGTGTCTATATTTGAGATTTAGTTGTGTTTATTATTAACTTTTTATCAGATACAGATATCAGAACCTTTCTTAGTACCATTTGAGGAAGACTTAGTGAAGACAGAGAGAAGCTGTTGGTACACTGCAGGCCAGACTAACACCGGCCACAAGGGAGAGTTGAAAATAGTAAAGGCAACAAGTGATGCATGACTTTTATGCACTGCAGAGATTTGGGTGATTCAAATGATGTGCATCTAAAAAGCAACAAGTAAAGCATCCTCTTATAATCCTTTTCGAATATCCGTGTTTTTATGAAAAATTGGTACTATTGGTTCTATTCTCTGCTCCTGGAACTGAACATGTAACATCTTCAAATACCTATTTTTCTCACAAACTATTACAGAGGATACATTTAATATTGGAGTTACCTAGTCATGTTTTTAATGAATGCCCAAAATTCCGTTTTTTTTATACAGCACCAAATCACCACAACCATCATCTTTAAGCAGTCGAAACATACAAACCAATTCAAATAAATAGGAGTCCAATTGATTTCATCACAGCTATAACCCAATAAATTTCAGTTCATTAAACTACACATGCATCCAGTTCACGCAAAGCCAATTAAATAAAACTTGAACCTTCACAAAAAGAACATTCATGCTATAAGATGTGGAAATGTAGTGCCTGTGCTTCCTGGCATGCTTCAAACCACAGAGGAGCAGAAAATTTAAATCTAAATATATACGCACACATATACATTCTGGGCAGCATAGTACATTTTATCATTTGAAAAACACTCACCAGCAATAGTTTCCATTACTACAATGCATATGCTTCACTGTGCTGAGTGAAAAAATATGTTTTTTTCATTCCTATGGGGCCCTGGAACAAAGCTCCAACTCCTCGACATTACTCAGGAGACATCTCAAGCAGCACAAAAAGTTGTGCAAAGGCAGCCAACAGACAGAAAGACAGCAAGTGACAGACATAGGCAAACAAATTTGCTGGTACTTTTTAAAGAATCATGATCTGTCCAGTCTGTGCTCTTTTTGAAAATGTCGATGGGGGCAATGATGTCTTATCACAGAAGATACTAGTCCATTTTCATGGTTCTCCATTTGAAGGTCTGAGCCCACAGAAGCTCATAGTCCCAAAATAAATTTGCTCCCACTGGTTTCTCTGATTTATTATTACCTCCTTTGATCTCCTCTTTGGCTTTAATGTCATAGAGTTCTTTGGGGTACTCAAACATGAGCCCTATGAGCTATAAGCCAAGACACAAGCACATCTCTGTATTTAGCTATTTCATCAATATACTCTATATCAAACTATGATTGAAAAATGAGTTAAATAACCTTTTTTTGGCTGCAAACAGTTCTTTTTTTATTTTTTTGCATTTTTTGCACACCAATGAACACAAATAAGTTACCGGAGGCCAGTGCTTCAGTCTCACAATGAATATTCTAATATGAAGTATCTTCACCAGCCAAAACATCCAGCAGCTACAGAATGAAATGAGAAGAAGAGATGAGAGCAACGGCACTGTGAGAAAACCTGGTGTCGTAACAGAACAGTAGATACAATCCTGCTTCTGACATCTGTCTACTCCAAGTTCAAAACAAAAACTTCAGCTTACATTACAGATGGTCTGCGCTGAGTTTGTGCCTTGCAAGGTTGTCCCATTGATGCCTCACATTCAGCCGGCTGGTCTCCTTTGTCTTCTGAAACCTGCTCAGCCACGTTTTGATAGTTTTTGTCATACTGTGGGGATGTTGCCGGTAGATGTACATGTTCTGGATATGGCAAGCCCTCAAGAAGTTGCATCAGTTTTATGAGCAGTACTATGACACTTTAACTGACAAAAATTTTGTCGTATATGTTATCCCTCTAAACAAGAGCATAATGGGCCACTTAAAAATAAGGGGAAGCCAGCTAGGGAAGTCAGGTCCTTTAAAAGCAAGGTTTAATAGCTATCAAAAGGTGTTTTGTATCTTTTTGGCAATATATTTAAGTGCTTACAGGATTTTATAAAAGTGATTAAATAGCTTAACTGACAGATGAAATAGAAATAGAAATCAAATTGTCACAGACTACCTAAACCAACATAAGACTAAAATGCTTTAGGACAAATAAATGTTTTTAGTGCATTTTTTAAAGCTGTCTCTGGATTATGGTGCCCTCAAAGTGTCAGGGAGAAGAGTCCACGATGCTCTGTATGCTTTTGGGTACATGAGTAAGAGGGGTGGAGGGAGGGTGTTGTGATATGTGGTCTTCTGAGGTAGGGAAAATGGAAAAAGGGAAACATCTTAACAGATAGTATGAAAGTGATTAATTATGTATGGTAAAGGTGATAATAGGGTTTCACAGCATGCTTTAGTTGAGTACATTACGTTTGTGTTCTTTTACAGCTAGGTCCAACATCCTATTCATAAAGCAGTCTGACACTGAAACTAATTAACTGACAAATTCCCAGAACAACCATAAGCAGGTATTGGACAAAAGGAGCTTTTTTAAAATAGTTTGTGTGAACTTGGTTTTCCCGTCCTTGCTCATGTATCCTGCCCCAGATGCATGCCCACTTCCTGGGCACTTGGCAGCTTTGAAGTGAAGTCAGAATAATAAACTTACAAGCTAACTGACAGTTTCCATTAAGTTAAAAGTCTCTCAGTCTAAAAATGTACATTCTTGAGAGGTTGTCCAGGTTCTTTGATGATACTTAAAAAAAAAAAACTATAAGCATGAATAATAATTACTAATCCAAAATAGTTTCAAATTATTTTACATATGATTAAGGGTATAGAGCAGAGCACCAAGGCTGGTCTTACATCATACAACAACAGACAGGGCAAGAAAAGGAAGAGTGTTTACATACTTAATTTTTTATGGTCTCTGAGAGTGGAGTGCAATGTTGGCTCTTGGGGTGAAACAAAAAAGACTGAGAAGAAAAATACATATCAAGTTTGCCACAATATCATCGTCCTCTCTGCTTAAATTAATTATTAATGTTGAATCACAAAGTTTCATATTTAAAATAAAATGAGTGGCGCTTTTAACTCCAGTGCAGGCGAAGGTTTGTTTAAGATGGATCTGAGTTTAGCCTAAAGGAACCCCAATATTACTCAAACAGAGCTCATTTAACCAAGACCAGCCTGCCGAAATGTGAAATATCAAATATATCCTGCTGACATTAAACATCGCAGCCAACTCCTTATTTATGTGGTAGGCTTGTCCTGTGGGCACTCAAAGATCAGGATTTAATGATTGAGAGCTACATTTTGGCTTCAGTCTTAAAAATTAAAGTATTTTCACATCCTCACAGTTAAAGTTCTGAACATTCTGGCATCCAGGAAAGGCATGTTGACACAATTAAGGCAGAACAGTTTTTAGTTGCAAGTCTCAGTTAAGTCTATGGTAGAACAATAGGTCTGTTTATAATGTTGAAAATTCCGTTCCCCTTCAATGCACATTTTCATTATGTTGCCGATTAGAGATTTAGCTCCTGCCATTAATATCTTAACATACTGAACTAAACATTTGTTTAGGAATCCTGCAATTTGTAAAAAAACAGTCAATTTTCCGTTCAATCTCTGAATTAGCCACTGATTTTAAAATTCACCCAAGAAAAAGTTAATACCATATTGCTGTGCGGTTGCAGTATGTAATCTGAATAAAACACAACTCTGGTCCATTTCAGGGTATATTTAACCTTTAATCTCCGGCTGAAGCTCTGATACGATACAACCATTTGGATTTTAAGTTGTTTGAATAAGAACCTGCAGCTTCTTAGTCCCTGTAAATAAACAGTAAAACCACAAATGCTGAGGGCTGAGATTGTGCTGCCAATTAAAGTTAAAGGAAAAACATGCAACTGTACATGTGAGAGTTGGCGTACAAACAGGCTCCTTTTGCATCATCTGCTAGATAAATGGAATTGAAAACCATCTGTTAAATGACTTTGGAAGTGTGTCCTGATTTGCGCTGTTATTACAGTTATTACTATGGTTTGGGATTTCTCCACGGTCAAAACATTATGGCAGCTTAGCAGTTGAGGAAAACTCCTCATGCTGGTTTGCATGCTGTTTCCCACAATGTCTTTGATAACTATCAACCATGTGTTGTTTTAAGAGACACTGCAAAGTACTGTGCAAAAGCCAGACAGGCACAGAGACCACACACGGTTTGTTTCCAGTGTTTCTTATCAGTGCCACCCACAGGCTAGCTTGAAGCAGCTATGACCTTTGGCTATCTTGATTTGTTGTTGTAGGGAAAGGCTGAAAACAAGAAAAGTTGGTCAACCAAAAGAGAAACAGCAGGAATCTGTCAAGAGTGATCAAAATCAGGAAACCTGAGTTGGTTGTTGAGAAGAACTTGCACTGAACCTTAAAGCAGGAACTTTACATATTTTTCATGTCACAGAAGATATTCTTTGCAGCTTGAAAAAGGTTTCTAGCTTCAGTTAGACATTCTGCAGTCTTATGTTTTTGTTTCCAAACCTCTTGATTTGAATGTGATGAGAGCTGTGCAAGAAATATTTGGATGTGCAAATAATTCAATGACCATCAGAAGGTCAGGCATTCGTGAACATGCACACATGGGTGTCAATCTTGTTTATATTGATGTGCTATGTTTGACTAAATTAGAGCTTCGAAAAATCCTTCCTCCTAAATGAAAGATTTTGACCTTGTTAATGTGTCCAAAAGATGTTGTCTGTGTGTAACAAAATCAGCCTTCAGTAGCAGGGTTTTCTGCTTCGATTCTGCTGAGCACTTCCTGCAGGAATAGAGTAATGACTTCAGACTGTTCCTAAACCCAATTGCCCAGAACCTTCTGTTTAGTTCCTGAGCTACCTTTACTCCCAGAGCAAGTAACATTTGTCTGTAGCATACAAGTGGACATCTGTCCATCCAAAGGGGGCATTCTTCAATCCTTTGTGATTGGCTAGAATAACTACAAATACAATAGTTGAAGTGAGCATGTTAGTTAGCTTACTGTAGAACATATCAGCAGCACAGTGGACCTTCTTCTCTACCTCTTGATCGAGTGCAGCAGTTCTCACTCATAATTTTCTCTTTGAGAATTTAAAACAACTTCAAAATTGAGAATCAATACCCCTTTAGACCATGTTTTCACCTGTGGCAGCTTGCAAGGCTTCTGCTCACGGAAAGTGAGATCCTGATCTCTTCAATTCTTTATTTGACAAAGCAACCAGTTTCTGAAGTTCAAGAACGTATCTGCACTGTGATCATCCAAATGTACACATATGATGGCCAAACAAAGAGAAAGTAGCAGAAAGTCTCTGCTGCTCTGTTTCCTCCTCTGCCATCCCACTGGCACTGCAGCTGTAAGTGGAAGGCTGTCTACCAATTCTCTTTCACTTTTGCATTATACTATCATCCTTTAAAATGATCATACTGGAAGTACTGAAGTACCTCAAGAGGAAAGTTTGAACTATGTAATAATGTATACTTCTTCTTAGGTCCTTTTTTTTGCTACGGTAACACTTTTACAAGAGAAAACAATAGGGCCCCATGCAGCAGTATGAAGTAGGTCAGCCGGGGCCCAAGGGAAATGGCTTGGGACCTAAGTAACAAAGGAAACCTTTTAAGTAACTCCAGCCCTGGCATTAACTTATTTTTAAAAGATTGCTCATTGAATGTCACCATCTTGTACCCTTCCTATGCCCATGCAAGGTGGTTTGACAAAAGCACATCCTTTGTACTTTTAATCTTCCACATAAGCTGTTTCTGTTTAACCTGCAGGATCAAGGAAAGATTGGTGTCATCTTTAATGTGGGAACCGATGACATCACCATTGACGAGCCTGCTGTCATTGTAAATGATGGCAAGTACCATGTTGTGCGCTTCACACGCAGTGGTGGCAATGCCACTCTCCAGGTGGACAACCATCCTGTCATTGAGCGTTACCCACCAGGTAAGGCTAATGAGACAAACTGTATGGCCGTCTCATAAATAGAGAAGACAACTGTTTAGTATCAACTGTTTAGTATCAGAGGAATTCAAGTGTCTGTCCACCGAAAATATACCTCCTGCATAGTGGCTTGTTTTGTTTCTGATCCATCATGATTTATTCATTTGTCCACCATTATGTTGATCATTGTGCAGTTTTTTTTCTCTAAAAAAAACTGAAGAGGTCCAAATAATATGATGTTACACTTAACCGGTACTTGTATAGTGAAAGGCTAATTTAGTATTCATTTGTTTATAACTGATCAGGCCAAATTTTGACACCAACATCGTTTAAACTGTAATACACAGTGGGGCTATTTTAAGTTGCATTTCACTGATTTTATTGTTATCTATATTAATGCCACAAAAGTGGCATCTACTGCCACCGGAGAACAAAATTAAAAAAAACTGGGACGACACATAAAAAGGAAATAAAAAGAAGCATGCATAATGTAATCACAACCGGCTGTGCCTTAACCTGCTGTGAACCAATCAACCAATTAACCTCATTCAGAACAGGTGCACCAGCTGGCATAGGCAGAGGAACCGCAGTTTTCCTCTGCCTCCAGCTGCTGCTCAAAGCACACGCTCATATCCTAACGTTGTACATTAATCAAAATTATATAAAGCAAATGGGCATGTATGCACCTTTCTGTCAGCTCCCACTCAGTAATCAGTGACTTTGACACATTCCGAATGCTAAATTACTGTAGTGCATTGGAGCAGTCATAAATAAGGGCTCATTTCATGCAAAGGGAGTGTGCTACACATGCTATAGGTGATAATTACGCCTAGTTTGTCACAGTGTTGGTAATTTTTGTCTTTAAACTGACATCAAACGCCATTACGTAGCTAAGGCACAATATGGCACATCAAAGGGGCAGGAGCTCATACTGCAGCGTGCCTAGAGATTAATGCATGTTCAAGTTCATGCATTTTAAAATAGTCCTTTATAGTAAATTTCATGATAACACCGTCCAATTTCATGTGCTATGTGTCTTTTTACTTGTTGCATCATGGTTAAAAACTTTGCATTGTATATGCACGTTCATAAAAGTGGTCGCTTTTAACAGGAAGCAAAAAACTACTACTAATGTATTTATTTGTCGGTTCATGTGCCTGCTAATAATCTTTTCACAGGTTGTACATCAACAAGGTACCTAGTATGTGTAATGATTTATAAATAATGTCAACAAAGTTGAACCGGCTATGCTTAATCATAGCTAAGCTTGTTTAATTCTGTGGCTGATGATTTCAGAAGACCAACACAGGACCGAATAAGGAGAATCGCTCTCAATTTTACTGTTGTTCAGGAATATGTTATTCTGCTGTTGTGTATTTCTTGTGGAGGCTTTGGTGCAATTCATTCCTTTTCTCTGTGTGCATGTGTTTAATGGAGAGCTGAAGTCTCCTCTTTCTGCATGTATGTTAGGTTGATTTATCCAAACAAGTGAAATTAGTTTTTGGTGGTAGAGATAACTGTCTATTGCTTAAAATTATAGACATATACATGCAGAGTTTAAATATATTATGTATTTCATCTTTCTTTTTCTCTTTGTTCAGAATTTAACTATACCTCTCACTTGGATATTATGTAGACATGCAAACAACACCTCACAGGAGCTACAGCACAAACAAAGATTTACTAGACATCATGCACTGCATTATATACAGTGTGTGCACAATTATCAGTCAAGTGAAATTTCAGGCTTTATCTTTTTTTTCTCTCCAACCCTTGAGCAAATGAATTCATTCTCACTAGATTTAATAATTTCAAGGCATGAAGTGAAGATATTGATGCATGCAAAAAGACATAACTTTCATTACCTCAGGAAAAATTGGTAAAATAAGAGATTTAACTGACAATAAGATGTCAAAATGTACTATAATGTAATGATGGTGAAAATTCATTTTAAAAGGACTTGATTAAAATTATAAATAAATACCTCCATATTCTAGAACTGCATTTTATGCAAAGTACGATTAAGTTTATAATGTCGGCTCAGGTAAACAAGGATGGTTTATGGAGTTGCTACCTAACCACCAAATAAGTCTAAAGTGTCAGCATCATCAAGAAACACTTTTATTACAAGTTTTTACGGACAATAAAAATAGGGGAAGTCATGAAGAAGCATGCAATTTCACCACCTCCGTTATGCACCGATAATATGAAGTTTGAGCTACTTGGAGCTTGATAACTGTACCTTAAGGGTTCCATTGTTGAGCATTCATGTCTGCTATTGAGAACATTTCAATAACAAGATTAATACTGAGGATTATAATCTTTATAATAATTGTTTATCAGTGTAAATATCTTGTGGTAATGAAGTGAGTTGAGACTTCAGCTCTCCATGACGCAAGTCTAATTTACATCTGCAGTGTAAATATGTACATTTTTCCTGATTGTCTCTGTTGAATTAATTGTATTTTGCTTTGTTTCTCATGTTTACCTGAAATAACCATGATTTACCGCAAATTATTTTTGCTGTATTTGCTATTTACTAGCATGCTTTGCTTAAATAAATAGCTAAATAACACTAACTAGAGTAGCACATCATAAATAGCCTAAACATAACACTAATTAGTATTAACACTGTTACGCATAATAACTAGATAACTCTAAGTCAAGTTAAATTCTCCTTTTAACTCACAGCTTGGTGAAAATTGTTAGCCCTTGTTTCTAACCATGTGATCTTTCAGCTTGCAGACTTTAACCTTTAACCTGTCTCTCCAAATTCTTTGAAGGACACTATGATAATGAACGACTGGCTATTGCTAGACAAAGAATCCCATACAGACTTGGTCGGGTAGTTGACGAGTGGCTACTCGATAAAGGTAAAATATTAATTGATTAATTAATAAATCCTTGAAATAACCACTAAACTACCTTTCCCTTTGAGAGGTGCAGTGCCAAAAGACAAGGGTGACAAGGGTCAAGGCACCCTGATACATATTTCCATTTGAATCAGAACTTCAATTGGCTTTTCATTTTGATGGCCAAATTGTAATTTCATATAAAAAGTAAGTGCAACAGAAAAGTTGGATTATATTTTGTCATCCTTACCCCTTGTGGATATACTGCACCTTAAAGATCTTAAACTAAATTAACTTAAAGCACATAACCCTTGTCTAGTCCCCTTCATCCTTCTTAACCACTGTGTGTAAATAGATACTGTGTTATTATTCAACCTGAAAATCATTCAAATGTTGTGTAACCCTTTCAATAATTTCAGTGAAACTAACTCGTGACTTAAATTGATAGTAATATATCATAATAACTGCTTTTTAAACCTGTAACTCTTTTAAGTGACCAGACCATGAAAATCTGGACTTTCACAGCCTTTGCTGGCTGTTGTAATTGTTCAGTGGCCCATCTCTGTGGTTCCTTCCCTGTGATGCAACACTGCCTATCAGTGTAGCTGCTGTCACTTTTATTTCCTATCTCAGATTAACCAATTGGACAAGTGGGAACCCAGAACAAAGAATTTTTTATTGGTCTAATAGCAGAAAACGTCAGTAGATGGAGTGTCATTTAGCTTGAAGCATGGCAGGAGGGTTATTTTAATAATTCTCTCTAAAAACAAGCCATGAGACACTGATCACCACATCATCTATTCTAGAGCTAAGAGATAAATAGATGTCCTGGAAAACCATCTGTCTTTTCCCCCCACAGAGGGTTTGCTAACTTATTCAGTGATGTTTCAAAATAACTCATAAAACACTTAAACAAACAGCTAAATAGGCATTAAGCCTTCTGTTGCATGTGTACTGTCAAAATTCTAAACCTAATGCTAACTAATCTCCCTGACTAAAGCTAATGTCCAAATGAACTTTGAAACAAATGACTATTAATGTCTATAATCACCAAAGCCCACCTGGTTCAAATAATTCCCATCTGCACAATCACCCGTTTGACTTCTCCGTGTCTCCTCTATCATCTCTTTTTCCACATTTCCTTTCTCTGTGTGTCTGTCGAACATCAGGGAGACAGTTGACCATCTTTAACAGCCAGGCAGCCATCAAAATTGGCGGTCAGGACAAGGGTCGGCCGTTCCAGGGTCAGATTTCAGGCCTGTACTACAACGGCCTCCAGGTCCTCAAGCTGGCAGCAGAAAACGACCCGAGTGTGCAGGTGGAAGGGAACCTGCGTCTTGTTGGAGATTCGCTCTCTGCGTTGACCACCGAAACCACCTCTGTAACGCCACTGGCCGTGTCTGACATGTCCACTACGATCATGGAAACCACTACCACTATGGCTACTACCACCACCCGCAGGCAGCGGTCACCCAGCTTGAGGGAGAGCATCTCAAAGGTCAGAGAGTTTAACGGAACATCTGAGGGGAAGTGGGTGCTCATTTTCTAAGAACTCGGGCTTAATTGACTTATTGATTGGATGAAAGTTTCAAAAATCAAAGTCACTTTCAAATTAGTTTCAACAGATTTGCTTACTTTTTGAATTGCAGATTATTTTTTAACGCCCCATAATTGATCTCATCTGAGAATCTGTTTTGATGATCCCCTGTAGTTAGAGTATTGCGAATAATAATTGTATAGATCTAAAAACTAATTATAATGAATACAGGAAAAAACTTAAACATCAATCCATATTTTTTCATATGAATAGATCCAGTGTGGCGTGTTGCATATGTGAATGAGATCACTCTTAATTATGATCAATTTAACTGGCATTTCTCTCCAAGAGTACAAAGTTGTGACTAACAGAGACACAAAGATGAGCTGTGCCTTTCAGAAATTGAACCCTGTTTCGAATTCAACACTCAGACAGCCAGAAAGGCCGCTTGAAATTGGTATAATAAGCTAGCCTGTGCACTGTATGATAAGGCACTTGAATCCCTCATTCTTACTCAATTCACTTCACTTGTCATGCTCCAAGCATCATTATTGATATGCACTGAGAGGTTTATTATACAGTACTTGTCTGGGAAAACAGAGGAACAGAAATTCTATGAAAAAAAAGAAAGTCACCATCGAGTAAAGACCTTTAACATTTGCAATTTGGTTCAAATACCTTTCAGCTGCAGTAAAAACACACATAACCTAGGAAAATCTGAAAACATTTGACTCATCCGAGCCTTTCTACACTTATAAAGGCCAGGACAATTAAGAAAGAAGAGCCTCGGTTCTTGTATCCCAACTGAAAACTTCTTGAGAAAGAAAAGACTGAAACTGGCTTATCTTCTGATTTTTAGGTTGTTACTCGAAAAGCTGATTCCCAAAGCTTTTTGTTTTGCTTAATTGGCGAGTTGCTGTTAAAGCCTGAACCTCAAGCAAAATACCCACTGCAAAAATTTGTATGACACAAAAACTGGACCCATTTCTAATTGCTACATCCCCCGTAACTGTGGTCTCAAAGCTTCTGATGCAGCGAGACTAATAAAATATTTAGAGGTTCCTTTTTTTGCCAAGTGGCATATGCATGTATAAAATGTTATAAGCAAAAGGGAACTCTTATGGCAGACCTCTGCCAAGGACAACACTCAGATCAAACATTATGATGATATAACATACTTCATGCACACTCGAGTATTTGAGCAACAAAGAGCAACATTAAATTTCAACTCACAACTGTGCATTCTTCGAATCTGTAACACATTCATTCTGAAACAGCAGGGGATCTGTGCAAATCTAGTGGGGCCCCTTTAAGGGGTTTTTCTTCTGAGATGTCATTGCAAATCATCCACTAGTTGTTTACTGGGGAAGCATAAAATTTGTAAGCCCTCAGGCCATGCCTGTTCACAAGCTCCTGCTGTGACTGAAATATGAAAATGGAATTAAAGATAAAAAGACTCCGGGATCTATCCCTTGATCCTGGAACCTTGATCCTTTGCCCATGCCTCATCTCCTCACCAGGTTTCATGAAAAGTTGCACGGGAGTTTTTGTCTGATCCTGCCCACGCGTAAACAAACACAGACAAGGAAAACATCAAATATTAAATAATAAATGCAGCCTGAATACATTTGATAATTTTTGCTCTGGAAATTTGGGTAGGATTTCAATTCACAATGCACTTTTTTAGGAGGATGATAACATAAATACTTCAAAACAGCTATTTTGTGTAAAAACAGCCATTTTATAGAAATACATCTCATGTATATATTTCTTATTAAATATAACTAAAAAAAAACAATTTGATTATATAGACTATATTATATAATAAAAATGATAGAATATATAAAAAAATAAATAAATACATTTTCCTCCTTGCATTTTTCAGTAGGCTTGCAGTTCCTTTGTCCAATTTTCCTGAAACTGCTCTCGCTACATTTTTAAGGTACTCCAAAAAACCTACTCTGGTAAATCACATGTTTTCGCAAAAAGCAACAAAAAGAATTTTTAAGCAAACCATAAAGGACAAGATGGAAACACTAAAATTACATTTACCCCACAAGGAATATATCAGTAATGTTTATTTGTTATTTGTACGCATGAAAACAGCCACAGGGCAAAGGAGAAAAAGCAGCTGTATATGCACTCATTTAGAACATGAGGTCTTATTAGAGTCGCTTGAAGCAAAAACACTACTGTGTTCAGCAGATTTTCCTCACAAAGAGCAGTCAGCTAGAAAACTCGGTCCTAAAAAAGTAGCTGCAAATTTGAATGATGGAAATGTGTTAGCAACACATTTTCTCCATTTTTTTTTTCAGCCCCAGAGCTCTGATGATATTTTGGTGGCCTCCGCTGAATGCCCAAGTGATGATGAGGACCTGGAAGAGTGTGAACCAGGAACAGGTGGGTTACATCTGGCAAAAACGTTGCACTGTGCTGCTTAATGTTGTCTGAATTTCTGAGAACCATCATTGTTTTGAAAGCATCAAATCCTCCAATCCAGATCTCACGTATCTGAAACTGTCTCACCACAGCTCCGTCCATATTTGGACAGATGCTAGAGCTTCGCTTAGCTCAAATTCCTCCCGTATGCGTCTGAAAACCACTGAGCTGGATTGAAGAATATTGTTATGGTCATTAAGACAGTGACTGCAGATCAGATTTGTGACAGGAAAAAAGCTGTGGAACTTAAGGATGAGTCTGCCCTTTATTGTAGGTACCTCCATTATTAATATGACCTTATCAGAATTGTTTGTTGTTGGCTGGCCCAGCGATATGTGACTCAAATAATAATGAAAGAAAGCCCAGCAGCCAGAAATAACTATCTAACTCATAAATAAAATATAACTTTGACCTCCTGTAGAGGAAATTCAAAACAACACAAGTTGTTAAAGCACCAAAGAAGAGTCAATTAAAGAGAGACAGCAGTTATAATTAAGACAACAGGTCTTCTCAAATATATATCCACTGCAATGCTGTTTTTCTATGTACATCTGGAGTCTCTATAGCTACTGAATATGAGTTGTGTATGTGTGTGCACATTACACTGGATGGTACGTTTTATATTGAATATAGCCAAATATAAAGCAAAAAAACTGGGCGAATGAACAGCGACAACTTTATATCTCTGCCATGATTAAAGCAGCTGATGAGAAGATGGTTGCCTCCAGCAAGCCCCAATATTTCGCCATGATTTCTGCAAATAATAACCTGTTGGCCCTCTTGTCATATCTAAACTGCTTCCCACCCATGTGCATACAGCAGCATGGCAGTTTAATTTACTGCTCTTTTATCTATTATGTGCTTCTCATTCAGCTTCAGCCTTTCGGGGGTCCTTGTGTGTGTCTGCATGTGAGCTCTTTTGTTATTATCCTGCTTTTAAGGCACGTGTTGGACTAGCTAAGAAGAAATATGTTTACTCAAAAATAATGCATATGGCATGTAGGGTTTGTTAACATAGATTTATAACCCTGAAGTGAATACATTTATGTTTAGTGGAGTTATTTTTATACAGCCAGCCTGTCAGGTCGTGGGAATCCACACATGTAAGAAATAAGGAAGCTTTCAAAGTAAAAAAACAACAACTTTAGATTAGTTGGTAGATTATTTTAGTATAATTGACCCTACATAATGAGCTGATTGTTTTTCCACCTTAAAAAAACGCCAGGCATAAACCAGAATTTCAGATGTTCTAATTTCAGGATCCCCTACCTTTTCTGTTTCCTTTTCTAGGGGGTGAATTAGTGTTGCCTATAATAACAGTGGATTCCCTTGAGCCCCCATCCATCGCCACCCGTTATCCCGTCATCCCTCCTCCTCCTACCCTCCTTTCCCCTCTTGAAACCACCAAAGAGTCTTTGATTCTCCCTCCACACCCTTCTTGCCCCCCGGACCAGGAGGACTGTGGTGACACTGTGGAGGGCTCGACTTTCGGCTCAGGGGAGATGACGGAATCCGATGATGAGGACTTTTACAATAAAAACTCCCCCATGGTCACTGACAGGACAGTCCTTCCTCCACCTCCCGCTGTCGGTGAGGGCGGAGTCCAGAAACCCCGCCCCATACCTCCTTTTGTTCCCACCACCAACCCTGACCAGCTCCACATTCCTGCAGGAAAAATGAACACCCGTGACCAGGTGCTTCTACCCCCTGCTCCTCCATCCTCCCGAAACACACCAGGACTAACTTACCCCCCCAATTTTCCCCATGTGCCCACAGCCAACCCCACAGCCTCAGATGAAAAGAGCCTGCCTGGCGCCGTGGAGGTGATCAGGGAGTCCAGTAGCACCACAGGGATGGTCGTTGGTATCGTGGCTGCTGCTGCTCTCTGCATTCTTATCCTCCTCTATGCCATGTACAAGTACCGGAACCGGGATGAAGGCTCCTACCCAGCTGACCAGAGTCACAGTTTTGCCAACAACTCCACTGTGGAGGGCAACGGAGCAGTGGTCAAAGACAAAAGCACAGCTGCAGCCTCCGTGGCAAAGGCCATCACAAAGGGCAAAAAGAACAAGGACAAAGAATATTATGTCTGAAATCAGAGAAGGAGAGTAGGCAGGTGTGGACTGGGACAAGAGGATGATTTTGTTTTGCTACATGGATTTGTCAGCATAATGATCAGAGGAATTCACAGTCCACATAAAACGACTGCACAAAGCAAACATATACTGCTCTTACTTGTTTCCAAAAGTCAAGGTTGTCCAGCGCCCAGTCGTGATAAATTCTTCTCTGTGACACACGATCTGACTCATCCTCTGTATCAAAATGTGCACTCAGTCTGCATTCACCAATTCTTTGTTAATCTTCTTTTCTAAATGTTTTTAACTAGATTGGAAAGGGAATACCCATTTTGGCTTTGTATATAGCATGGATTTGGTACTGTGAAGAAAGTGCTGAGACCATCCAGTTTCTTTGGACTTCTTTGTAATCCTGAGTCTCAATGTCCCCATAATGATACATGAAGCAGAACAGGCCAGTTATTGAATTTCTACGGAAGATGAGCAGAGAGCGCCCCGGCAGTCGTCCTGAGCACACTCAAATAGAAAGCTTTCACTTGGATAAGACATCACCTCTGTATCCTCCATATTATGTTTAGTGATTTTGAAACTCCCAACTTGCTCCGCATCCGTCCGAAAGAGAAGGTGTCGTGTTGCTGACGGAGTGCTGTACTTTCAACAAAGCAAGATTTCGAGCTCACGGTGAAAAATTCAGCATCTCGGAGTGAAGAGAAAATCAGTCCCCATTCTGCATCCATACTACTCGGAGAATCTCACTGTGTGATGCATCAGAAAAAAATGTATGTGAGATATAGCGCAGTCAGTGTGCCATGCCATTTCAAGAAGGGATAATTGTGAGCTGCGAACACCGATGAAGGTACTTCTCTAAACACTGCTCGTATGTACTGTACATATAGGTTAGTAGATTTTCAAAGCTTGCTGTACGCAGGGAAGGTGTGAAGACACATTAACATCTAACATGCTTGCCCCAACCCCACAGCTTTCATGCCAACATCAAAACTGTTGCAGCCCGAGGAGCTTTGAGGAGCACAGAACCGCATTTACGGAAGATTTTATGCTAGCTGATTGGAAACGCACCTCACCCCAGGCTGGCTCACACACAATATTTTCTTTCCTCTAAAACTGTCATTGAAAAAGTCGAAAGCACACAGAAAATGGAAACATATCTTTGAAACGTAGATATTCCGTGTAAAGCAGCCAAACATGTAATGTTTTTCTTTTTCTATCAGTTATCAAAAGACTATTCTATGAGGTGAATAATTGAAGATTTGTGAATTGTATTGATATTTCTCTGCTATTTCGATGTATCTTGTTACCACTCTTCTTACCACATTACATTTTAGATTGCCTTCTACTTTAATCCGGACAAAAAGCACACAGCCCCCCAATAGCTGCAAATATCTTATTTTTTTAAGGTTATTTACCATTCAAATTGTTCAGAGAAACACAAAGATGAAACAAACCAATGTTTTGTTTTGTTGCATTGTGCATTTTATATGTGCTGAATCTGTTACTCAATGGATCTGATGATATAAAGCCATTTTCTCTGTTGAGTTATTTATTCATGCTCTGTGATTTCCTGTCTTTCTTTTTGTTTTTATCAAAGTGCCATTCAATGTGAGCTGCTCGCCGCTCAGAAAATATACCATTCCTCACTCATTGCTATTGTATAGTGTTCATGTGAAATGAATATGTGTACAGAACGTGGATAAAGATGAAAATACACTTGATTATATACTTTGTACTCACTTGTGTCATGTGGTGTTTCTTATAGCTTCACAAAGAAAATCACATGGTCAGAAAGTAGAGAACTTTTTGAGTGAACCGTGGCTGATAAGAGTAAGAGTTGAAGATAACAGTTGTGGTATGCATCAGTACATAAATTATGGGCACCTGAGCTGAAATATTTTTTGAATGGAACCAGTTTTTATGAATAATTCAGGCATAAAAAAGGAATCAAACTGAAAGACAAAAACCGTGATGTTCCCACAAACAACAGATGGCAATGAATAATTTTTCATAGTTTCTTCAGTTCCTCCTTAAATACCCATTTTCTGAATTGTATTTTTTTTTAATGTCTAAAAAACAGTTTAACAGTTTTTATACACTAACAAGGTGTTACCCAAAGAGCTATTGACTCAAATTTGCCATATCTCATCATAGTGTGGAATTTGTTCTGAAAAAGATTACGAGTAAATTGGACAAATGTAAGAAAAAATCTTTATCTTACAGCATCTGAAGGAAGGTCCTTGAAAAATAAAATATAATTTGAGGATCTGACACAGGATCTGAAAGTTGGATCTGGTTCTTTAGTTGATCCATCCACTTTTGGCTACGATGACTGCCGAGTCTGTAAAGATACTGCTACTGAGAGATGAAACCTTCCTAGAGCAAATACCTCAGCATTACTGAATCCCTGTGGGATCATCCTGACGGCAACCAGAATAAAATGCTACATCCAAAGAAGAGCTTTGGAACGTCCTTCAGGAAGACTGTAGAGACATTCCTGAAGACTTCTGAAAGAAAGCTTATGCACTTATGATAAGAAATAAAATATATCCATGTCGATATGTTAACATATTTAAGATTAAGAAATAGCATTTCACACATATTGCAGACCAGAAAATGTGATAAATATGTGTATTACGCTTGACTTTCATCATAATTCTCTCGCCCTTTTTTCCCTTTGTTCAGCCTTTCGGTTTTAAGAAACTGCATAGTTTAAGTGAGTTAATAATGTCTTGATGTCTAATGTCATAAAAGCAAGAGAGTGTTCTGTTCCACATTTCAGTTTAGATAGAATGCACTGTTTTTTGCTAACTTCATTCAAACCCTTGAAGCATCAAAATCACAAAAGACTTTCCAACTATCATTCAATGGGGATTGGAAATCCATCATGTTTCTGTTATTATGAGCAGACCATATCTATCTAAACTCTTTGCTAGTCGACACTGATCATACTCACTTCGATGCCTTTAAAGAGAACTAGTACTGAGGATAAGTTACACTGCGCATATTGTTTTATTCCATTTGTAGTCATCTACAGTAAACATGCAAGTAGTTATAACAGAGCATTCGTGGATTTCTGGATCGGCCGCTTAAAACTCACGACAGAGACGTAAGAATGCATCCAATTCCATGCCTTCCATAAAAACGAATTGCTGCCGGTTTAGTTAACAGCATCTGCTAAACAATTAAAATATAAATACGCCAACCATTTCAGTACAAAGCAACTATGTCACGCCCTATCAGTGATGACAAAGACGGTGTTGTGTAATATTTTTCATAGTCATTTGGCGTAATACGGGTGACGATAGTCCAGAAGATACAGCTGTCATCCTCTAAATGAAAAGGTCAGCAGCTTGAACCCGAGCTCCAGCATTTTCAAAAGTGGCCTTGTGCAAACGACACTCAATTTAAATCACATGATAGGTATAACGACATGAGAGTCTGTGAGAACAGATGAATGGATAGCATGATCTAAAGTGTTTTGTACTGTATTTGCTTTGTCCAAGCTCTTTCATCAAGGCCAATCTATCCACCCCTGGCCCTGTTACAGCTTGGAAAGACTCCAGGTAGAACAAGGTAATGCAGTGTTGTAGGGGTTATACTCCCTTCATGAGAGGAAATAAGTTGATCCAAATTAACATCATCAAACCGCAATATAAAATTCCCATAAAATAAATCTGAATCAATCAAGAGCATCAATTTGTTATTGACAGTGTTTTATGGCATTTGACCCCACCCCCAACCCTGCTAAGACCATGAGGAATGGTTTTTAGTCTATGTCACTTATAGAGTCTGGAGCATTAGCATCCTGCATTTAAACACAAATCAGTTTCATGTAAAGGCTTGTCAATAAAGACAAGAATTTAGACTGACCTTATATCAAGCCAGCAGCGTCACTTGTCCTGTCGATCTCTTTGTGCTGAGAATGATGGGAATAGCCCTGTGGGCTGCAGAGGTGTGTCAGTTCACTTCTTTTGCAAGGAAGGTCTGATCTGTGATGACAGAGGGTATCAAGGACAACTCCTCATATGTCACAAGGTTAATTAAACAAAACAGAAGCTTTTTCCGAATGATCGATGTTCACACTAGGGAGGTTTTGTTTGTTTTTAATAAAGTATAGCTTTATTTCTTATCTTTATATTTGTAAGATATGCTCAGAGAAACAGATTACTTATTTGTAGATATGTTGAAACTTGAACATCTACTGAAGATATTATGTTTACCAAGGTGGGTGTAGGGTTCAAAACCATGATGGCCCTGGCCCTTTGGCAAAACACAGCAATGGTAAAAAAAATGTCCTGAAACACATCTATGAAATTATGCTGGCGTACAGATAAATAAAATCTCTTCTTACAATTACATTTTTCAAATAAACAATAGGGTTCAGTTGTTCTTTCTCTTTCCCACTGCTCTGTCGGTGATCCCATTATTTCTTGACTATTTCAACCCCTCAGTGTCTTTCGAACGAGCATTAGATCAGTCAAATAAACGATCGAATAACATTTAAAAAAATTAAAAAGTCATCTCCATTATGTCAACACAGCTAGCCAATCAGCGCCATGGCAGTATCTCTCTCCCTCTGCTTTGGCCGCAGTGTGCGCCCGCGCGTGCATACGTACGTGCGTGTGTCAACTAGTTGTTAGCTAGAGCTAGCAACTCAGTGAGCTAGCTCGCTGAACATTTTTACACGGGTTCTGTTTACGCCAAGAAATAGCTGTCGGTTATTATAAGATGGGACCAATAATCCCGCCATATGCATATCGCCATTTAATGCCAAAGAGGATGGCTAACTTTGAGAAAACAGCGAGTGACAGTACACAGTGAAGCTACAGTTGAACAGCCGATTGCCTTACTCGCTAGCATCCTGAGAAGGAAAGCTCTGAGATTTTGCAAGGACTGGATGCGGAAGGAGGATATGAGGCAAGCTGGACAGCTAATGCTAATTGCAAGATATGCTGGGACCCATATTCGGAAAGCAAGTCACTGTTAGCATAATTAATTATTTTGTCAACCTAACTAGAGCTAACATTAGCTAAAATTATTTACCAACCGACCAGCTGTTAGCTGAAAGCTATCCAATTGTAGGAGGATGTTACATTCCCTCATCAACGGTAGGAACATTACACAGTTATACTGCTTATATGTGCGGCCTAGCATTAGCTGCTAACTATAATCAGGAACAGTAATGTTGCTTAACGTATGTCAACCAGTCTTAAACAGTGTATTTATCTCATCGTTCATATTGTCCGACTTGCCAAGGCCTCTAGAATAACTGGCGACTGAGCATGCTGAACTTTACCTTTGAGAAGTGCACAGACATTTCCATTAGCTACGCTAATTTGTCTGTTAGCTTGCTAATGTAAATCTAAAAACTTAATCTAGCTGGCACAGCTTTGGCCTGGATGTAAAAACAAAAAAAACAAGAGCATCGGGTTCTGTGGTGTTGTAAGACATTTGAGGTAAATGTCAGAAATGTTTCGTCCCCTATTTCCCGTTTTTGTTTGATTAGCTGGCTTCTAATTGATAATGCTATTTAGTCATTTTGTGTCATCTTATGGTCGTTTTCGTTCTGTTGCTTTAATGATGTCTCAGGGTTTAGTAAAATAAATCAACTTGCTCGTAAAATTATGATTACTGTTACTATTATATGACTTGTTATTGTATCACTTGAGGACCAGTTGAAAAGGAGAGAACATCCATTCGAATCAAAACTTTTCTGTTTAAAGTGAAACAATTTCGAGAAGCGTCATAGCGGTTATCTCAATAACTGAAATATAGAGACCCAAAAATATTTTTTTACAAAACGTCTAAAGATTGTTGTTGTATTTGCCTAGCATTCGTTTGCCTCTGAATGTATGCTCAAATTGCCGCCTACCTATCAAAAGAAACCAACTTTAATTTGTCTTACAGATGAATGATTTTCCGTATGTTCACTGGGATACCAATGTGCCAAAAAGTCACACTCCTGATTACCCTGCAAGGATTAGGCTAGAGTTTAGCCACACTGGTTCAGGAAGTGTACACATAGCGGCACAAAAATATGCATGGACTCTCATCCTCCACTGAGATATATACAAATCCACAACACAGAACTGTTGTCCTTGACGAAACAGTCTTGGCCACTATGCCATCCCCAATGGAAGTGCCATCATAGATACAAGACACTGTAGCTCAAACTGTTCCACAGTTTTTTGAGCTACTGCTTGGAGGAAGCATTGCTGCTTTTGGTTGAACCGAAAGGTGGAAATGGGCTCCCAAGCTCTCCAGATATTGCGTCAAGGTGTGTGGGCTTCACTCACGGGAGGCTGGTATGTGGACCCCCATCAGAGCACGTTCTCCAACTGCTTCCACCTCTACCTATGGATATTCCTCCTGGCCTTCCCCTTTCTTCTGTTCATGGTAAGGACATTTTCATAGTGGGAACTATGCTTACTCAGTCATGCTCTTTCAGATGTTTTGCAGTAGACTTACTATTTCTTTGTCTGAATGGACATATTCACAGAGAAGTGACACATTGAATTTGTCCCTTCTGAGAGATGATCATCAAGGGATTTTGCAGTTAGTGTAGTGAAGATGTATCTTCAAAATGAAAACAGTACATGGAAACTGAAGAATATAAGTGTTTGAAAACAGGATTTAAAAAAACTCCTAAATATCCTTAAAGATAATCTCTAATTTGTACCACTTTTGTGTGGAACAGATGGAACATAAACATGACATTACATTTTGAAATCATAAAAAAAAAAGTCAGTCTTTTTTTCCCAGTTTCTGAATATAATCTTCTATTGAGATATTTTGATAAGAATTCTTATTCCTTCTCAGGCTCTTCCACCTAGTTTGGTGGTGGCAGGTGTGTACTCCGCTGTGGTGGCGGTCTTCTTCACTGCCATTAAGGTGGTGAACTACCGGCTTCATGCTATGTTTGATCTTGGTGAGATTGTGGAGAAGAAGCAGGCCTCACTCACAGCTGATGCCCCAAGGACAGAAGAAGGAGATGAAGGTTCAGGAGCTCACGATGGGACTCAGCATGGGTATTGATATGCTTTTTTAGTTGGCTTTGGATAAGTTATGTTTTGTGAATACAAAGAAGTGTTGAATCCATTAATTACATTTTGTGTCATTTGTTTTAAGGGACGGTCACGTTGGTGTAGAGATGACTGTTTTTCGGAAGGTTAGCTCAACACCTCCGGTGCGCTGTAGCTCCCAGCACTCTTTGTTTGGATTGAACCAGGTGTCGGTAAGAATCCAACTCATATTTTTTTTTTATGACACTATATAAGTTGTTTACGGCACCAAATATAACTGCAGATGCAATTTGATTTTTAAAGTTCACTACTAAGGTGTTCTGCATATATGTTTATTTCAACTCTTTGGTGTCAAAGCTTTGTTACCAAGAACAGATTTATATTCATTACAGATTTATATTAATTAAAAATGACTTTTTTCTGTAGGAGTTCATGCCCCAGCTGGAAGATGCAGGAGGCAGTAAGGGTAAGTATCTGAAATCTGTGTTATTTTCTATTTCAAACTTTTAAGAGATAAAATGTACTTATTTTCCCAAACTGTCCTGTCCTGAGTGTTTCCATTTGTTCACACTTTGAGGGCTGTTTTTACCCTTTTCTATTAGATATAAAGGAGTTGATGCGGGAACAAGGAAGCAATAATGTAATTGTGACATCAGCCCACCGTGAAGTTCTTCGTCAAAGTTCCCAGGACACCTTAAGTAAGATTCTTACTATTCACCAATCAGCACTGGAAGCACTTTATTATCCTGCCTGTTTGAGTACGTGCGTACAAATCTTTTGAATTAAGTGTGTCCAGAGATGCAGATTTGGGCAAATTATTATTAGAGTTTTATTTATGTTTTATTTTCTGATTTTGGGCACAGGGGCTCCCAGTGTGGTCCAGTCCTGCCTTGCTGCTGCTCTTGGAGGGGATTTCACTGGTCTCATAGGAGTACCTGGAGTTTTAGCTGGTGTTGAAGAACCTGGAGATTGCTTGTCAATTCCCCCTTCACCTTCAAGTCAGGAAGATGGCGGCGAGAAAGAACAGTTGGAAGAGTTGCCAGAACAACTTTCTATTCAGAGTCCAGAGGACAATGGGCTTGGGATTTATTCTTCTCTTGGCCCTTCTGCTGAGTCTGAAAGCCTGGGAGACACTCCCCTCAGCCCTCTTATAAAAAGCAGTCTAAGTGAGGAGCTGAGTGAAAACCTTCTGGGTTTAGGCCTTGACCCTGGGACGTTTGCACCGGGGACAGAGCACCCCGGCAGCCGCAGTGGGGTGGCACTGGCTGCTGGATCCACAGACAGTTGTTTCAGTGCAGGTGGTGCTACCACAGACCGTGAGACCCTTAGCACTGTTAGCAGTTACCGCAGTGAAAAAACTGATTCAACTCAGCTGGAAAGTCCTTCATTTAGCCAACCACGTCCTGCAGATGGAGAGGCGCCTGCCTCGGCACCAGCTATTGGTTGCAGTATTGTCAACATTACAGAGGATATCACAGGACAGGGTAGTAGTGATACTGACAATCTGTCAGACAGTGTGCTACTCCGCTCCCCTTCCAAAGAATTCTCCGTCAGCCAGGGGCTAGACCGGACGCTTGTTGAAGGTGAAGATTTGCCTCCTATAACCTCTGATGTTGCACAGCCCCGTCCACTACAGAACTCTTCCCCTTCAAGTAGTGGTCGTTCAGAGGTTTGTGACTTAGATAGAAGTGTCCCAGTTCCTCCTCTACCCCCACCTCGGCAGGCCAATTCAGTGCCTTCAGGGCTGGCCTTGGGTCTAGTGTGTTCTGAGCCTGCTCTGCCTATATCCTCTACACCCTTTTTGCTGTCTGACCAGCCTGTTATCCAAGCCCAGCAGGTTGTACGCCCGAAAGACTTGAAGCTGCTGCGGGCCAGCGGCAGTAGCATGGGCCACAGGCCAGGCCGAAGGAAAGCTCCAAGAAGGCGAGCTGGGGCTGGAAGCAGTAGTTTTGACTGTGGCTCTTACAGGCGTCACCACAATCACAGACAACACAGAGATTACATCCCAGTACGCAACCAATTGGGCACCAAAGCCTACAGTGAAAGTTTGTTTGAGGATTCCAGTGATGAGGACGATGGTAGTGACATCAGCGCTGGTTCTAGTATGGGCTCACAGCGCCGATATAGCTCAGACGACGACGATGATGACTCAAGTTCCTCTACCTCCTGCTACTCCCCAGATCTCGCTAACACTGGCATTACGTCCCCTCTCCCCAACGCTACACAGCTGCCCACTCCTAGGGAGGGGGACTTACCTGAAACCGCTGGCCCCTCTCATCCCCGTGCTGCTCAGCGCTCTTCAAGCACTGCCAGTGCTAAGACTCATGCAAGAGTGCTAAGTATGGATGGGGCAGGTGGAGGCCAGAGCAGTGCAGCAGCTGTGCCCTCTACCCTACTGACCATGCCATCCACGTCCACCCCTGCACCGCGCACGCTCACCATCTCCAAGTCCGATCTGGAAGCCCGCACTATACATACTGATGGCTACCCCGGAACACACCACCATCGTCTAGATTCTCTTGGAGGGTCCTGGACTGGAAACCAGATGGGTTGGAGGGCAGGAGAGTTGATAGAGGAGGGAGCTGTTGGAGGGGGTAAGTTGATTTGAGGTTCAAAATGTAAGACTCAGATACACCCTCCTCTGAGATTAAACAGTTTTGAATACCCAGTAACATTCTTGAATTAGGATGTCAGAGGGTCTTTTAAGGTTTAAAAAACAAGTAACATAAATATTATAAGGTATTAATAGTATAAAAATGCGAGATGAAATGTGAATATGAGTCTTTGCTTTAGAAGAGATGTTTCTTTGAAAGTGTGAATTGGAATTGCTGGATTTCATTAATCTGGTCATGATTCTGAAAGTAAACATCTCCTTTAGTGGAATCAGAGCAGTGAAGAAATCTGTATTTGTGATGTTGACTGGTAGAGAACAACTATGGCTCTTCACATTTTGGGCATAATGCAAGGTGTCTGAAAGATAAAACAACATCACCCTCTAGCATTGCCTCTAATTTACACTTAAATAAATGTTCCAATAGGTTGCTTATCTAGAATACATTTTTAAGAGAATGGGCTTTAGGAAAGTCAACCCATTCTATTTGTTCTAAAAAAGAGTTTACAATTTAAAAACTAAAAGAATAAATAATGTCACATATTTCAGTGAAGTCTCATATGATCCTTGAGAAAAAACAGACGTGATTAAAGTTTTAAGATCAAAACAGTAATATTTAGTATGCTAATATAAACTCTGTATATGTGTGTGTAACATCGTCATTTAATCATCATTGCATTCAAACGTAAGCTTGTGTTCTTCACTGCTTGTTTGGTTTATATATCTGCACTGAAGAAAAGAAAAGTAGGATCAGAAATTAGACAATGTTGTTTGTCCTTGCCCAGTTTTGATGAAATGGTCCCTTTTGTTGCTTACACTAACACTGTAATGTGAACCAGCACATTGATGTAACTGATAACTCCTCTTCAGCCTTGGCTGCAGAGGATGGAAGCAAACACGAATCAGTCAGCAGTGTTAAGAGGACCCAGGCCATACGCAGGAGACACAATGCTGGGAGCAACCCTACACCACCTCCATCAACTATGGGATCCCCTCCCAGGTCAGCCAACGAAGCAGAAAGGGGAACTGATTCAATCTGACATCTTTTCTGAGATAGATTCTATAATTATCACAGAAGTATTTTGAAAAAGTATTAAAACCTGAATCATTTACAGTATATGTTTGTAGAAATTAAAACAGCTACCATGGAATATATGTTTTTGGCATGTTTTATAAGGCATGAATTATATGGCATTAATTCAATGTACCAGTACCTAAAAAATTAGTAGTAGATTTGCCTGACAATTTTTTTTAAAGAATATACATTTGGTCTGTCACCGGCAGTCTCCAGGACCTGCAGCGGACTCGGACTTCATCTCATTCACGCACCCGCACACTTCCCTCAGCCTTACAGTTTGCCTCTTCACTCCTCCTGCCCCGCAGTGGCATCCACGAGGCCTCCACCTTCGACGACACATCAGAGGGGGCGGTGCACTATTTCTATGATGAGAGTGGTGAGTCAATGGCTTTGAAGCAACAGTGCCAAGTATGATTATTACAATCTCTGGCAACAAAACATGAAACCACCCCACTTGGAATACGTTCATACAGCTGTGTTAATGGCTGGCAAGAGAAAACATCATAGCAAAGTTTTTATAGAAACCAAGCCTTCCGCCTTTATAAAGCGAAAATCAAAGAAGCTAAATTAAGTGGTCTGCGTGAATGGCAGCAAAGTTATAATCAATGATGCAATACATAACCAATCATAAGAAAAAAGGTATTGAACCATTAACATAGAAAAAAATACTTGGCTTGTATTTTGTTGTTCCTTGAATTAGTTTCTGTTAAAGTCCCCCACCACCACCACTGTCGCCCTCTAACCCATGCATGCTCAGTCTGTGGCTGATTCTCTCTAAACCACTGTAACTATCACTTCAGTTTCCAGAGCTTTTATCTTTCTGAGCCTCTTAAGTGCATTCAGTTTAAATTTTCTTTGTGGCACAACAGGAGTGAAGAGGTCTTACACGTTTGGACCCGCTGGAGGTGGTTATGAAGACCCAGTTCAGTAAGTTCACTTGGTTCCACTAACTTGACTCTTTTTATCAAGAAGATTCATCTTCATTCATCTCCAGAAAACAATAAGGCTATAAAATGGTGTTGCAGGGAAAGAGAGAGGCAGTCTCAGTCTTCAAGCTTTACCTCCACTGAGGTCCAAGAGGGGGCACCAGTCCTGTCCATTCTGCAGCCTCGACCAGTGGTGTTACAGGGCATGCAGGTACGCAGGGTTCCTCTGGAAATGCACGAGGTGAGGAGTCTATGTTCAAAGTCATTTTATAGGTCAGACGATTCCTTCATCTGGACTGATCACATATTTCTCAACTCTTTTTCTTTTTGACCCTAAAGTTTGATCTTGATCATGAATCTCTGCAAGAGTCCCATGAAAACACTCTTATGATTGAGGAGAAAGCCAAGCCCAAACAGTACTATCGCTTTTGGGTGCTACCAGGGAAGTGGCTGAGGGTTCGATACGACCGTCTGGCTCTTCTAGCTTTGTTAGACAGGTAAGAACGCTTCGGGACCAAAGGGGAGACAACCTTCTGTATTACTTATGACAAAAAAGTTGCAGCACATTCCACATTTCTTAATGATGCTGGTAGTAATATGTGTTTACTTGTTATGTGAATGTGTAGATAAGGTAATCTAAAGCCCTTCTCACACATGCATGGCAAACTTCAGCTTTTTTAGAAAAATCTTCTTAACTTGCACAATTGTGTGCAACATTCACTGCTGAATACTGCGCTCAATGCTTGGTTAGTTTTTTTCTCCCAGCCTCATATTAAAGTGAGTGAGAGGAAGTGTGAGCGTAGCCGCCCGCTAATCATCCAAAGGATTTTCTGCCAGCACGCAGGCCAGTAAGAATTGCTGCTTCATTCTCTTTTTCTCTGTTTTTTTCTGCTGACTTGCATGTTGTTTTCCACTTGCTCAACGACACCATGCATTGAGGTGCATCTATCATGATGTTGTGGTCTGATATCGACACAAAAACAGCCATCACAGCTCCCCATGTTTCATTCTTGACGTGATGAAAGGAAATGCAGCAAACTCCACAGCACACAATTTACGTCATGCGCTGCCTCTTACACTCTGTACATCAGCTCTACCCCACGGCCCTCCCTCAGAGCTCACGCTGCGAGAACAAATCTCCTGCCCCACATCACCTACAGCCACGTGTGAAAAGCAACTGTTAAAACTGTCAGGGGCAAATTGTCTGCACATTACCCTGAACATCTTTGGCATTCATGTGTGAAAACGGCTTAATTTGATTGAAAAGACCTTGAGAAGGAGCCTTTAAACGTGTTAATGTCCCCCGTAATTTTCTTACTTTTCAAGTCAATGTAGTACATTGTTGAGAAAAGTAATTTTCTTCTGAATAGGTGCTTATTACTTGGTAAGTATGAGACAGTATGGATAATAGAAGCTATAGAGCACACATTTTTTGGCTCGATGTATATCCATGCTACAAGGAGGGGTTTGTTCTGATGTATGCATTATGCCTTAACAAGCAGACACAGAAATATGTCTGTTTGCACATCAGAGCTTGTTATCTCATATACTCATCCCTCTGAATACTGAAGTTTATTGTAAAATAAACATTTTAAATCTTGTTTATCTACTGGCATAGTGATTAAACATTTGTGTCATTATTATTATAAACAATGGGAGTGTTTCAGCTGTATTACAGACAAATACATGTGATCTTTATTTATTTTTTTGTACAAAAATCATGGCATTTACTGCCATTTTTAGAAAGCAATGACAGAGTGGAGCCTAATTGTTGCAGAACTATTTCATTTTCTCTTTTTTGTTGGCAGAAACCGCCGGGTGGGAGAGAATGTGTTTGCTGTTGTGCTGGCCAGTCTGGTGGCTTTCCTGGGGTTCCTGCTGCTGCTCCAAGGCTTTTTTAGGGACATCTGGGTCTTCCAGTTCTGCCTGGTCATTGCCAGCTGCCAATACTCTTTACTGAAGGTACTTTACCCCCTGGAATTCATCAAAAAATGTCTATGTATTTTTGTCATATTGCTGTTGTAAATGTCTCAGAGTGACTCCAATGCTAAATGGTTACTCATAAGACTCTGGCTAATTTCTGCTCCCCCTGCAACGCAGGCTATACGTTAGAAGAAGTACATTAGACTGCAGGAAGCTTTTAGGGGGCTGAAATTGGGTTTAAAATCAAATTTTGTGTTTTTTCTAATTTTTTTTAAGGAAAGCTCCTTCACAGAAAAATAATTTCAAATGTTTTTTTCTTAAGAATGTAAATTAAACCTTCATTTCTCCTTTTTTCTTCTTTCAGAGTGTGCAACCAGATGCAGCCTCTCCCATGCACGTGAGTGCAGGTTTCACCTGTCATATTTTAAAATGGAACCTGAAAAGGAAACATTTCATATTACTGTACAACAACAAATAACTGTTTATGTCTATTTTTCTTTTACAGGGTCATAACTGGATCATCGTGTACAGTCGGCCGGTCTACTTCTGCTTGTGCTGTGTGCTGATCTGGATTTTTGACGTATCTGGGCGCTCTGGAAGTCTGCAGCCCTTTTCCCTCTATGGCGTCACCTTCTTTTCTGCACACTTTCTCCTGTGTGCTAGGGACATGCTGATTGGTTAGTTTTGATGTGTACTAAAGTTACTGGTGATAACAAAGAAGCTTTAAATTGTTAGACGTGTTCAGAGCTATTTCTGTGTATGACTTTTTTTCTCTTTTTTTTCCAACAGTTTTTGCTTTGTGTTTCCCCGTCATTTTCCTGTTTGGGTTGCTACCTCAGGTCAACACTTTTGTGATGTGTCTGCTGGAGCAGATCGACATGCACATTTTTGGTGGAACTGGTAAGGTCATGTTTCATGTTTAAGGTCATGTTCATTACTTTGCTAAGAAGTTGGAGAAGCATTACAGTACCTTAAGATGTCTATGCTAGAAGCTGCTTGCTTATTTATCATCTCCTTCCTAATAGACAGATGTAATGTAAACAGATTACACAAAGTCCTTTAGTCTCAAAAGCCTAAAAAAGAAACAGGAAACTAACCGGACTTCTGTAGTTCCAAGAGAACGGCATGTGTTTTCATTCAGTTGTCCCATTCCCTGACAATGGAGCTTTTACCTGACACATATTATTTCTGAATCTTCTCTCCTTTGTCCTCAGCCACTACCAGCCCCCTCTCATCTCTGTTCAGCCTCATACGCAGCGCTCTGGTGGCTGCTCTGCTGTATGGGTTTTGTCTTGGTGCAATTAACGTAAGTTTCACATACATGGTACAAGTATGATATTACAAAGTAAAGTATTCCTCTTTTAGTGTTAGAATTAATTTGGACACTTAATTGATTTAACTGGTCTATGTTTTATCATTAGGCACCTTGGGGGGATGCCCATGTTCCAGTGCTGTTCTCTGTGTTTTGTGGCCTACTTTTGGCCTTGTCATACCATCTCAGTCGCCAAAGCAGCGATCCCACCATCCTGTGGTCAGTACTTACTTTTTCTGTCTGGGTTTGATGCTGACATGTCATGAACATATGTTTATTATTTATTAAAAACCTCACACCCGAAGAGTTAAGTCCTAAGATTTAGCAAATATTTGTTTTTGTGACATTTTCCATCAGTTCTAAAAAAAACAATTCCAAAAGCTTCACTTTAAGAATGATCCATTTTTTGAAAATGTAATACTTGAATGCATTTGACCAGCATTATGTGTGAGGGATTCTTATCAGTGAAAAGCCCATCCTCTGAAGGCTGATGTCACACTGTTTGACTTTCTATTTGTATTTTACCTGTTTTAAATCAGGTCGTTGGTCCGGTCTAAATTATTCCCAGAACTTGAGAACAGAACACCAGAAGAACCGCCTGTGGAGATCAAAGATCCTCTCCCAGAGAAGCTGCGGAACTCCGTGGTAAAAAGTCGTTTATTTCCCTGAACAGTAAGAAGGATTTTTCAAGATCCTATTATCTAACTCAATGTCTCTGCAGAGCGAGATCCTTCACTCAGACCTCGTCATGTGTCCCCTCATGGCTGTCATCACCTTCGCCATCAGTGCCAGCACCGTTTTCATTGCTCTTCAGGTTAGCGGGACTTCAGAAACGTCTTCTCTATCAGCTGTGCACAGATTTCAGATGCAGATGTTAATTTTTTTTCCCACTTCACCCACAGCCTGCTCTCAGCTTTGTTTTGTACATCCTGGCTGGAGTCATAGGCTTCATCACGCACTATCTCCTGCCTCAGCTTCGCAAACAGCTGCCATGGTTCTGCCTGGCTCACCCTGTGCTCCGCTCCAAAGAGTACAGTCAGTTTGAGGTTCGAGGTGAGTGGCTGATTGTACCTTTACTGAGAAAATACTGTGGAAAAACATCCTTAATCCAGGTGTTTACAGACTGAAAAATGAGGAGATAATTGATTTATCTTCTCATGAGAAAGACGTAACTTTATATTTACCCAGCATTGCCTTTTTTTAAAAGATTATAGCTGTGTAGCTGCTTTTTTGTTTGTTGCATGAAGTATTTTATATTCTTGTAAAATAGTCACATTAGGTCCAGTGCTTCCTCTTGTGCATCTTCCTTCCAATAATCCTGAGTTGATCTATTTTTAGCAGTTATCAACAGCTAGCATTTGCAGTGATCATACATCATTATGTTATGTAAACATCTTTTTTTCCTCCTTTCAAGAGCTTCAGATTTTAAAGCTTAAAAACGAGACAGCAGACTTTCAGCTCTGAATGTTCTCAAGAGCTGTGTCAGATATTTGCTTTCTGTTCGACCAGATGCAGCTCAGTTGATGTGGTTTGAGAAGCTATATGCTTGGCTTCAGTGCGTGGAGAAGTATTTCATCTACCCGGCTGTGGTGCTGAACTCGCTGACTACTGAAGCTCGAACAGTAGGCCAGAATCATAAAGAGCTGGACATCTAGTAAGCATTTTCTCATTCTCTTTGTCTGAATTTAATGCCCATGTATCACAATGCCGTAAATCCCAGCAGTTATGAGTTATGAATTATAGAACTAATACATACTGATCTGCCTCTAAACAGCTGCTTAGCACTAAACAATGGATTAAATGTTTCTTTTTTTTATATTCTCAAATCAGACCAACTTTTATTGTTGACTATATTTAAGATGTTCAGCAAATCATGGGAATATATATTATTTGTGGTTTATTTTGTTTGTTTATGTTTCAACATTTCTTTATCATTGCAAAAGAATGTTGTTGAATAGCATTTTGAATCATTTTCTTTAAATAAGTATGTTGTATCTGAATTAGTAGCTCCAGGTTTCCTTGACTTATAAGAGCTTTATTTGTTTAATAGAGATTTTAGTTTTAGATGATGAGACATGTGAAATATTCAGTCATCTGTTGACATACCTGTGAAGGTTTTAGCATTGCTTGTCACTCATTTCTTTCTCTCTTTATCCCCTCAGCAGCCGAGCTCTCTTCATCTCTGTAGCAGGCATGAAGTTGCTGCGTTCGTCCTTTTGTACCCCGTCGCAGCAGTACGTCACGCTGTGCTTCACCACGCTTTTCTTTCAGTTCGACTATCCCCACTTCTCAGAGACCTTCTTAATCGATTACTACTTCATGACCATTCTCTTCAGCAAGGTTGGTGCTCACAACAAATCGTTAGGCTTTCCTTATGCAGGGAGACCCTTTGTTTGTCCACAGAATGATGCCTTTGTCTATTTTTTTTCCTGTTTCATGAATACTGTTGTCAGCATGTTTCCCTTGTCGTTGTTTTTTTTTATTTTTATTGTGGATGTTTATGTTTTTCTCTTTTTTTCATTTCAGATGTGGGACCTGCTATACAAGCTGCGCTTTGTGTTGACTTACATAGCCCCCTGGCAGATCACCTGGGGCTCGGCCTTTCATGCTTTTGCTCAACCTTTCGCGGTGCCCCGTATCCTTCATTTAGTCTGAAATTCTACAAGTACCAATGGAACATTTTACACCTTGTAGTTTAATGTGATATAACACAATATCTGCTATTTTTTTGCATGTCAGATGTAGTCTTAATATCAACAGGACATTATAAGCAGGTTTATAATAAAGATAGTTTTTTTCTTCTTTTTTTTTTATTTGTTTGCCGGCATCAGACAAAGGGTCCTTAACTTGTTTCCTCAGACTCTGCTGTGCTTTTTGTCCAGGCCATCTTTTCTGCTGTCTTTTCCACTCCTCTTAATCCTGTTCTTGGCAGCGCTGTGTTTGTCACCTCATACACCAGACCTGTAAAGTTCTGGGAACGAGACTACAAGTAGGCACTTGTCAGAACCACATGCACAAAATGACCCACTACTTCTCATACATTTTAACTGAAAGTATTCCTGGTTGGCCCTAATCTTTGTCACGTTTTCAGCACCAAGCGGGTCGATCATTCAAACACAAGACTGGCCACCCAGTTAGACCGCAACCCAGGTATGCCACAATGGCTCCTCACATTCAGCCATCTCCATCTGAGTCATTTTTGTTAAGACTTCATCACTCAAAACAACTGCCTGTTTTTTTTCCAAAGGTGCCGACGACAACAATTTGAACTCCATTTTCTACGAGCACCTGACGCGCTCCTTGCAACGCAGCCTGTGTGGAGACCTGCTGCTCGGGCGCTGGGGGAACTACAGCACCGGCGACTGCTTCATCCTCGCCTCCGACTACCTCAACGCTCTGGTGCACATCATTGAGATCGGCAACGGCCTGGTCACCTTCCAGCTGAGGGGTCTGGAGTTTAGAGGTCAGCATCAGGTTATGATAAGAGGTGTAACGTTCAGTATCATCTATCCATAGAAAAAGGTGCTTAAGCCTTGGAGATATTTTTTCTGACATTTTCAGTCTTGAAAAACAAAATAGTGCACATGAATTTAGGTGCCGCTTGACAAAGAAGGTTTGACATCTAGAATGATGAATGGAACAATGTGTTATACAAACTTTTTACTGTTTAATCCTGTAGGTTCTTTGCATAGTAAACTAGTTAAAAGTTACGGTTTACCTTTGGCTGAAATTCCAAAGATGAATATTTAATGTATTGAGACATTTCAAATCTGTCCAGGTACCTACTGTCAGCAGAGGGAGGTGGAGGCGATCACTGAGGGGGTGGAGGAGGACGAGGGCTGCTGCTGCTGTGAACCAGGTCATCTGCCACACATGTTGTCCTTCAATGCTGCCTTTGGACAGCGCTGGCTGGCCTGGGAAGTGGCTGCCACTAAATATGTACTGGAGGGTTACAGCATCAGTGACAACAATGCAGCCTCCATGTTGCAAGTGTTTGACCTTCGCAAGATCCTCATCACATACTATGTCAAGGTATGCCATTCTTCAGAGTCTGTCTTTGAACTGGTCTTGCAACATGCTTCTTCCATCTTCCTGTTCTCCACCTTTTCTCTCTCTCTGAAGCAGAATATCTACCACTGTGCAAGCAACAGAAACAGTTTTGTCATTTTATTGTACATCTACTTATTTCATTTGACTGATACCTCTTTAAGAAAGTTGGGGAATTTATTTAAATGTGGGGAAAACTTTAATTTGGACTGGATGGACAGAAATGCCTGTTACTGCTATTTCACAGACTAGAGGTTTCACATTCAAATGACTAATAGGATCAAATATTAAAGCAATGGTTTGTTGTATACTCTTTACATCATGGTGGTCTGAAAAAAGGAAAACCAAAGCAGAAAGAAAGACAGCCTTTGCCAAAAAAAAATAATTTATACCTGAAAGTAATGATTGGCCTCATGGAACAATGCATTAAGCATCCATTTTATTTCAACCGGAACTTCTCTATGAGAATCAGTTCAGTGGTCAAACATGATCTTCTTTTTTTTAACCTGAAAAGCTAATTAAGATCCCGTAGCACTACACACAACCTTTTTTAAGTCTCCAGTTGAGTTATTAATGTTTGCTTTAACAATAATTAGGATCTGTTTACTCCAACAGAGCATCATCTACTATGTGAGTCGGTCCCCTAAGCTAGAAGAGTGGCTGACTAATGAGACTATTCAGGAGGCTTTACGACCGTGTATTGGGGTTAACTATGTAGACAGCGACCCCACATTCAACTTGAACATTGATGAGGACTATGACCACAGAGCCTCTGGTATCACCCACTCGTCATTCTGTATGGTTTACCTGGACTGGATTCAGTATTGTAACAGCCGGCGTCAAACGGTGAGCCTCCAAAACAACTACACTAGAATCTAACATGGGTGCTTTCTTTAAGTCTTCTCTGTTCTGATCATTAACTAAACTTTTTAGTATATAAATCACATTTTTCTAATTTCTTATATATTTGCAGTTATCTCATTTGTATTCTTCATTGTTCACTAAATACATTTATAAATTTCTGAAAAGGTTAAATGCTGTAAAACACAAGTCATTTTCAATAACCTTTGTTTAATTTTGCCCTGACTCTTTTGTAGCCGGTGACTTGTGATAGAGACTCCCCACATGTCAACCTCTGTTTTGGCCTTTGTATTCTGGGAAGAAGAGCCTTGGGCACAGCCTCCCACAGCATGTCTGCCAGGTGAGACAACCTGTCCGTATTAGCACTTTGATCATTGTGGCACATACCACCCACATGCTCTGCATTATTCAAACTTTACTGTTGTTTTTCTGTCTGACAGCTTGGAGCCATTTCTTTATGGCCTTCATGCACTCTTCAAAGGAGACTTCCGAATCACGTCTCCCAGGGATGAATGGGTATTTGCAGATATGGACCTGCTGAATCGGGTTGTGGCACCAGGGGTGCGAATGTCCCTAAAACTACATCAGGTAGTTTTTCCCTCCCAAAAGCTGTAAAATTAGTTCTGTGTCAACAAGTTTTTGTCTCAGAGCCTGTTGAAAAATTTGGTAATAAGTTGTTACCAAAGTAAAAAATAAGCAGATGAATGTCAGTCCTACCAAATCCTGCATTTTTAAGTCCAGTTTTTGTAACCACTACATCATATGACAGAATGCCTACAGTAACTTAAATAAAAGGTCTGCACACTAAGTATGGACACAAAAGAGATCTTGCATTTCTTCCAGGATCACTTTACATCTCCAGACGAGTACGAAGATCCAATGGTTCTGTATGATGCCATCACTGCCAACGAAGAGAAGATGTTGATATCGCATGAAGGGGACCCCGTGTGGCGCAGTGCTATCCTGGCAAACATGCCCTCTCTGCTCGCACTGCGCCACATCATGGATGATGGCAGCGACGAGTACAAGATCATCATGCTCAACAAAAGATTCCTCAGCTTCAGAGTCATAAAGGTGTGTGTGTGTTGAAAAGCATTTTTCCAAATGGAACCTTCTGCCATCTTATGTGTGTCAGCTGCTTTCTGCGTCTCCACCTGTAACCTGTGTCTGCGCTGCCCCCTACAGGTGAACAGAGAATGTGTGCGTGGGCTGTGGGCGGGCCAACAGCAGGAGCTGGTTTTCCTGCGTAACCGTAACCCCGAGCGTGGAAGCATTCAGAACGCCAAACAGGCTTTGAGGAATATGATCAACTCCTCCTGTGACCAGCCCATTGGCTATCCCATCTACGTTTCCCCCCTCACCACCTCATACGCTGGCGGGCACGGTCAGCTCCGGTCGGTGTGGGGAGGGCCGGTCAGCCCCCACAACATCTACACCTGGCTCATCAGTAGCTGGGACAGGTACCTGTTTTTCGCCGTATGCTGTGAATAAGCAGCCCGTCCCTGAGCAGCAGCCGCCCTAACACACCTGTCTACAGATTGCAGAAGGGCTGCGGCGCCGGCTGTAACAGCGGCGGAAACATCGAGGACTCGGATTGCGGAGGCGGCTCCACCTCCATCTCCACCAATCCAGCCATTCACACCACACAGAGTACCCCAGCCTCCAGCTTCCCCCAGCCACATATCACCACTGTCCAGCCCTCCATGGGTGAGCTCTCACAACAGATGCAAATGTGTTGGCATGCCTACTGGACACTGACGATGCCGGTGGCAGATGATTTCCAATGTCTCTGCTCAAACGTGCCTTTGAGATGGCCGTCTGCCTTAACTTTGCAGAATGTTATGCAAGCTCAGTGTTATCAGGAATTCGTAGAAGTTAGATAATTAATATTGAAATGTCCACTGTATTTCAGGTACAGAAAACCCAGTTGGCCCCACCCAGAGCTGGCCTCACCACCCCCAACCTCTCCCTTTAGCTCTGCTCAGCCAAACGGAGGGCAGGATGGAGCCAAGCCTGCTCACATCACTACAACGCACGTCCTCCATCCAGGGGCTGCTGGGCCAGCAGCTGTCCAGCTCCCAGCTGTCCTTCAGCAGCTCCGTGGCTCCCCCACCTCTGCCCCCCTCAGAGCGCTTCTGCCCGGCTACTCTCCTGGAGAACTCAGGGCACAGAGTGGGCCAGCGGGCTGGCAGCGGACTGCACTATGAAAGCCACTTTGGCAAATGGAGTTTTTCTGGGAGGAAGGGCTTTAATGGACCAGCTTCAGCGGAGGGAGAGGGAGGGCTTCAGAGCATACGCACTCAGGTAAATCCACCAGGTGGTGTCACCTCACTCTATTGGAGCTTCATGTTAAACCCATAAAATCTTCCCTGACCCCTTAAATAACAAGAATCCAACAAAAGTTGTCCGCCAGTTCTCATTCAGAGGTTTTTGTGTTGTTGATAGTCAAAAGCGCCTTCATTTGCAAAGTGAAGCTTCTCTGGCATCTAGATATTTTTATCTAAGGAAATGCCACATTTCTGTCCTCTCAGCTTCTAGCTTCCTTTTCTGACTGAGAACTGTGCAGAGGCGAGTAGGTCTCTGATCACTGATGGTTGTTTAAATGTAGATTCAAATGTATCTGACCTCAAACATGATAACCAGATACCATCTTTATAGAAATGCTTCCGTTTCAGCAGACTGGACTGTGGTTTGTAATCGGTTGGTTTCTTATGCGTTACAGCCCACCCCACCTGTGCCACTACAAGAGGCCAGTCCCACTCAAGATCCTCTTGGAGTCACTCAGATCATGGATCCAATTCCATTGTCTTCAGGGGACCCCCCCACCCCAAGAGAAGAATCCACAGAGCTGCCTTTACTCGATCACCTGCGCTGAGTCTGCACTGGTGACGTTTTCTACAGCGAAAGCACAGCGTGGACCGCACCCGGCCCACCCAGACTGGACTCATTCCAGCCTTCGGGACTCATTCCATCAACTCTCCTTAAACCAATTCGGTGCAACCCTGAACTGTAAATTCTTTTTTTCTGGCCTAGTGCAATGCTGGCTGGATCCGGGTCTCCACCTCACAGCCGTCTGACGGTACGCTGAGCCGCCCACCTCAGAGCAGGCCAGCAACTCTATTCCAAAGTCAGGTTTCATCAGGATTTCTTTGTTTTGTTTTGTTCTTGTTTTCCTCTGACAACGGCACTCCGTGTCCCTGTGGACAACATTTGGTTGTAACAGTAGTGACAGGCCAGAAAGGCCAGTGCAATTATAAGGGATATTTTGCTTGAGGATTGTATATTTTTTTATATTGGAGAATAGAGGACTGCTCCTGACTGTCGCTGGCGCGGCGCTTCTTTTACATAACCAGTCAAAGCAAAAGGAAAAAAGAGCATCAGTATGTTACTGTATGAGCAAGTGAAGGACATGCAGAAACCACGACAAGCCTTGTTTTGTTTCTCCCCTTTCTATCATCCTCACTGGACCCTTTTCAAGAGCCTCCGCTTATCAAGAGACTTCACTATTAGGACACATTAGGAAATCCAGCCCTTCCTCACTCTCTGGTCTGATTCCTGCAGCCGTGCCTCACAACAATAACACTACTACGTTCTGTCTTAGAGCAAGCTTCAGGGAACACAATAATTCCCTTCCATCCGAGCCAACAAAGTGGTGCTTTAACTGCGGCCTGAGCGCGTCCGGCTGTGACCAGACCCGACCGAAGGTGACCACGGACAGAGCCGGTCCCCATCCATCAGGATCAAATGGAGGCTAATCCCATTCTGTGAAAAAGAAAAAAAAAATGTGTTGATCACAAACCTACAAACTGGGAGTGCTAGAAACATCAAGCCTTTTTTTTCTCTCTTTTTTTTTTTTTGTATCTGGTGAGTGGAATGTCTTTTGTTTTACTTGAAGCAGCCCTCTGTTTTTTTCTCTGGATAAGCGGCCGGCAGCGCCCCCGTGTCTGGTCGGATGCAGTCGGACATTCTGCTCTGTGGGGGGGGAGCTGTGTTTTCTTTGCCTGCAGTATTGTCGCGCCCCCCCCCCTTCAAACGTTACTATACTACTGCTTCTGCATCTCCTACTACTACTACTACACCCACTACTGCTGTTTCTGCAACACCTCCATCCAGCGTTTTAGTTGGAGCGGATCGAAGCTGAATACGTACTGAGAGCAAAGGTGGACTATTTATTTAATATTGTCTCAGATATCTTTAACTAGGTTTGTCGTTACGACATGCTGGTGTGTGGAATTGGAACTCTGCCTCATGTCGGCTGTACCCCCCCCCCCCCCCTCCCTCTGCACCACCTCTGTACCATCTCACCAATGTCTCTGCTTTGGATTTGAGCTTGTAATATAACTGGAAGTATTCCTGAGACGTCACTTGAAGTTGGTTTCTTTCCCATACTTGCACACTTTTTCTTTTTCAAACCGGTGTTTAAAGAAAAGAAAAAATAATGAAACTAGTAAACAGGCAAACAAAAATCTGCTAGCAGTCCCACCAGTGCCGGCCATGAGCTGCGGTGTGGTGTGGGCAGCTCTGTCCACTCCCCCCCCGGCGTGCCATAGCATTAATCCTCGCATCCTATTTTGTTCAAGTCATTTCTCAAAAGCTGTGCTCCCCTGTTAGAAACTTGAAAGGAGGCCAGCATTCTCAGGGTCTAAAACGGGAAAGAAATTGATTTCTCTAGCAAGAAGACTTTGTCCAAAGGAAAAAGGAACAAGAAAAAAAAAGGAAGAAAGGAGGCATCTTTTTTTTTTTTTTTTAAGGTCAGACTTTTGTGGCAGGATGAGTACTGGGTCACACCCGTATTCCAAAAGATGCCCATGTCCAAAAGACGTCCCTCCAGCGGTCACATCTTTTTCAGCTCACTCTTAGCTGCAGCCCCCCCCCTCCCCCCCCCCCCCCCTAACGGTGGTCCGTCGGCTTTGGAGAGGCGCTAACGGGGGAAAAGTCAGCGTCCTGAAAGAAAACACAGAACTCCCACAACTCAGGAAAAACAGAGACTTGATACATCAGCGCTGTTTTCTGTTTTTCTTTTCGTTCAGAGCAGCCCGGAGGTGTGAAACTGTTCTTTTTTTCTTTTTTTTTCTTTATTTGCTGGGAGTCAGGGAAGCACAAGCCTGCAGTCAGACCCGGGTGTCAAAGCAACAACAAAAAAAAACAGAAAAAAAGGGATTTCCTAATCTCAAAGACTATGTACAGCATGTTTGCTATATAAATATATATTTAAAATATAAATCTATTTTATTATTGGATTTTTTTGGGGGGTTCTTTTTCATCAGAGACACTATGCGGAGGTTTTGGGGAGGCATTCTGGAGTTTACCCATCAGAGGGGGGAGCCCAGTGGGGAGAGGCGCTTTAGTCCAGGAGGAATCGGTTCAGTCTTCTTTTGCACAAGATGTATCATACACCATCCCACTTTGTTATCGTTCAGTTCTTTTGTTTGGAGGGAGCTCTTTTATTTAAGAACTTTTAGTCAATGTATGTCCTGTACAGTTTTTTTATGTATTTTTTTTTTTCCTCCTATTTAAATTAAAGGTTTCTGTGTCTTTGTTTGCAAATCGGTGGCAGCGAGTGGTTTATTGTCCAGTGAAATCTTTATTTCCTCCTTGGAGGAAGATCACGTGAAAACAGTCATCGTCAGTCGTGGAAATTCCTGCTTCAGTACCACACATCCTAAACTGTGCAACAACAATGTAATAAAAGGGGGAATAAACCCTCTAAATCCTCCAAGACTAATTATAGAAAGGAGCCACAATCATAGTTGGTCAGAGGGTGGACGTCTGGGCTTTGCATAAGCCGAGAAGAAAAGGAGCCAGGTGGACCTGGAGCTGACCGCAGCTGACCCCTGACCTCAGGCAGGGAGCATCACTCAGGTCTAACGTCTACATGTACGCTAGTCATCAAGGGCTAACTGACTAACTTCACATTTGAAGTGTAATTCATCCCCAGTGAACGCCGGAATCTGTGGTCAGTTTGGACAGAAGTGAAGGACGATGCGTTTCTTTTGGTTTTCTGACACTCGAAAGCGGCCGCACCTGAAGCTCAGAAGTTCCGGGTGGAGTCTGACCAGCATGTGGCTCAAAGGGAAAGTTTGAGGACGGCATAGGAGATACAGCGTGGGGTTAGTTCTCAGATCTTGGGACGTTTTTCTAAACATTTACAGGCACACCCAGCAGTGGGGGGGCTGCACAAATCCAGGAGCTACACAGATCAGTAAAATGCCAGAAACACTTGGAAGTCTCTTCCCCCTGTGGTCCCCGGGTCGGGGTTCCCGGCGGAGAGAAGGGTCAGACGAAGGAGCGCTTCATCTCGGATGGGGTGTAGCGGATCTCGTTGTAGCAGGCCTCTTCGGCCTTCCTCTCCCTCTTCCTCTCCCTCTTCCTCTTCCTCCCGTCCCCCCCGGCGCGGCGCAGCCAGAGCAGGAGCAGCAGGAGGGCCAGCAGCAGCGCGCTCATGGCCAGACACAGCAGCACGGCCGGCAGGACGCCCGGCGGGCCGGCCGGGGCTGCCGGACACACGGGGACACGGGTCATCCACACAGCCCAAAAAAAACCCACAAAAACACAAAGAAGAAGAAGAGGCGCTCACCGCTGTAGAGGGCCACGTTCACGTAGCAGTTCTCCGTTCCCAGGACGTTGGAGGCTGAGCAGCGGTACAGGCCCGCCGTCCGGGTGGACACGTTCACAGTCTGACCCCAGCCCCATGGGTCCCCTGAGAGAGAGAGAGAGAGAGAGAGACATGTTGGGTTTTAATGAGAGAAAGCTTCACTTGTTCCTCTTTTCCATTTCTCCCGACTTGGACAAGCATCTGTGTGATGTCCTCTGCATGTGGCTGAGACAGAAGACTGGAAACTGTCCCAGCCCCCCCTTTAGAAACGGGAGATTAAAGTTAACTTATTTCCTGGGATCTGATTGTAGACAAGCTGGTACTTTTTAAAAAAGAAGCGGATATTTTAGAAAAACATTTGAGCTGATGAGTGAGCCGCTGGTGTCCCACTGATAAAGTGCTCCGGCTGTGAGTCGTGTAACCTTTTCTGTGAAAAAAACGGACACCTTTACTTTCAGAATCAAGGGTGGCAGAAATAGGTCCTTCATCTCAGGGCCTCCAGCATGTTTTGGATATTTTACCAAATACAAATATGGATTCTCAACATACGTTACCTTCATCTGAACCATTATTTGTCAAATCCCATGTCTGGTTAATCCATGGTCTGTCCATTAATCCAAACTCTCCCTTTTACAGTGTTCTAGATAGTTTATGTCGTCCAAATTGATTTTTAAAATTAAAAAAAAAATTTTTTTGCAGGAATAAAAATGAACAAAAGGCTTCTTTTCTTAAACTTACTAGGGGGAGTCATTAGACCCAATGCAGGTTAAAAACATTTTTTTTTATTATTCTCTTTTCAAAAACATAAATTAATTAATCTTATTAATTAGCAATAAGTTTGCAAAATGTATAGTGTGTTCATCACATTTTTCCTACATTCATCCCACTCTCTATAAACTGATTTTTAACTTAACTTTAAAAATTATCCTTTGTAAATTCCATGTTTGAGTTTGACACCACAACGCTTTTCAGCATCTTTCAGATCTTAAGTAGACTTCAGTCCTGACAACGGTCCCTGAGGGGATTTTGTAATCCAGAGACACATTCTGACATCCTGTGTGTACTGACCCTCCATGTTGATGGGAAGTAACACTTCCTGTGGGTTCATCTTCTCCCAGCGGACGTCTGGTGTGGGGACACCCTCCGCCACGGAGCAGGACAGCCGGACACTTCCTCCCATGTCCATGTCTCCATCCCACTGGCACACGGGCAGAGAGGGCGGCTCTGCAACGCAACACAGGGAATTCCTTACCGAAATAAATATGGGGGCTAAATAAATATGGGGTTTTAGCCTCTGCTTCTAAAGATGATGACGTGCAGATTCGTAACATTTCGAGTCCATTTATTCTCCATAATTGTTTGATTTACGGAAAATTGTCCCCTCACCCCTAAGTGGGGTATACATATGTATAAAAGAATTTCACAAATTGACAATAGACAAATCTGTGGAAATCGCATGCTTCTAAAATAAATGATGTTTTTACATGTGCTCTGATATGAGTAAAAAATCCATCGACCAGATGGAATTACAGTAGCTATCAGAAACCAGCCATACCCCCACATTCCATGTCAACTAAAACACAGGGCTTTTTTGTCCTTTATTTTTCTAAATCCAATTTTCAATTACATTTTGAAAACAATTTAAAATATATCAACAACAATAATAGAATTCCTCCTCAGGGCAGGACGAATGTCATGGCAAACCAAAAAACACCCAATCTGCAGCACATGAAGGAGGGTAAGTGCTGATGAAGGCTGGTTCTTCTACCTACCCAGAACGCTGAGCACCAGCTCTCCGATGCCAGGATCTGCCACCTCAGGGGGGTTGTTGACCATGCAGCGGTAAGTCCCGGCATCCGACACCCGGGTGTCATTCAGTACGATGTCAGCGCTCCAGGGGAGACCTGGAATCCAAGGAGAAAAAATACATCCAATTTATCTATATATATATGGTAGTAAAATGACTAAAAAGAGGTAAAGGGTTTGAGTTTTTATGAATGTGGTACCTGTAAAACCCACCCTGCCGGTGAGGGAGGGGTCCTCAATCACCTGCCCGTGGTCGTACACAATCACCTGGTGGTGATTCAATAAGAAAGAAAGATCCAGAACACGCTGATACTGCAGCTGAACAGTTTGTATCTGCATGTGTTTGGGAGACCCGGACCTGAATCGGGCTCTCTGGACTGGCGAGAGGGTCCAGGGTCCAGATGATGTTGAGTCTGAACAGAGGGGTGGAGGTGGAGAAGGAGCAGGGGAGGACGATGAAGTTCCCCCGCACCACCTCCAGACTGGATTCCATCATGCTCACTGTGAGAGCCGCTGTGTCAGAGGGGAGGAGAGGGAAACCTCTGAGAAAACGTTAGGGACACTCTCACTCAAAGTCAAGCTTAAAGCAAGCACACGAATCTGTTCCTTCAAGCCTTTTTACTCTTTATTATTACGATATCCCCCCGAAAAATCTCTGTAAAGCCTCTTGCTGGTTCAAAATGCTGCAGCCATTTGAAATGTTTGAAGTAAAGTAGAAAGAGAGATCGAATTTCTCCAGTTTCATCTTCTCCTTTGGCTCCCTGTTAAATTCTGAATATAATTTGACAGTAAGTCTGGATTTCGTTCAGATTTACCGTCAAATTCATTGTACATTGTTCATTTGCTGTTGAATCAATAAAACTGAGTTGAACCACGAATGAGACACATTAAACATAGTTAATTAGACAGTCGTATCTGTCACGTACATACCGGTTAGTTAAAAGTAAATTCACATTTTTCTGCTTGTTATTCTGTCCCAAGCATCCCTAGTTTTGCTGTTGTGAGGCAGTTCTCCCTCTCTTCTTTCATTTCTGCAATAATGAGCCCTCTATTCCTCCCCCCTGTCATCCCCAGGCTTTTTCTGTGTGTGTGTGTGGGTGTGTGTGTGTGTGTGTGTGGTGGAAGTGGGGGAACGTTTCAGCGTGCATATTAGTTGTTAATTACACTTGACAGCTTTGAGGGTGAGCCAAACGGGTCACAGACCGACCACAACAACGGGACACCCTCTCAAGATGGGTTTGCGGAAACACAATGTCTGTTCACACTATTGTTTTCCAAGTAGATCGACCATTTTGAAATGTCAGTCTTTAGAAAATCTCTCCAATTAAGTCTAAAGAGGTCAAAGCATGAGATTCATTAGTTCTGATGCGGTGACACGCTTGAAAATAAATAAAAAGCACAACTAAATTCAGATTAAACGTTGTTTTCTCATGTGTTTGTTGAAGCCTGTGCCGTTTGATGAGCTTTGCATCCAGTTCAACATATGTAAGGAAAATGAATAAGATTTAGTTTTTCATAATCATACATTTTTGCTGATTGTACTGCATTCATTCATACTCATGAGGATTAGCTTGGAGGTTTAAAGATGGAGGTTTTCTGACATTTTTTCCCCAAGTCAGAGTTGAAAACCAAAGTTATCTAGGTTAAGTCTCTGAAAACTATATATTACTCATCCAAAATACCAGAGCAGACAGGCCTACTCACCGATCTTCGGGGCAGTAAAACACAAAAACAGGGTCCAGACCAGCCATGTTCTGGTGGAACCCATCGTGGACAGGGACTGAGAGGCAGCCGTCTCTCTCTGCTCACAAACTGGTGGCTAAAAAAAAACCCAGGCATGCATGATTAATCTGTCAATTGCCGCAAACAAGCAGCCCTCCCCCATCTTTGCTCCTCTTTTGGTTTTTTCTGTTTGGGAAAATATGTGTAATTGAGCTGTCAGGTAAATGACTGCAGGGCTGCTCCAATTAGGCGTTCATGAACCAAACTAAATGCTGCTGCACCTTTAGGACTGACCTTGTTGTCTAATTAGTTAGTGTGGCATGAAGAACTGCAGCCGCTCCGTGGAAATAATGAATTATTCCACTCAGCCTAAACTGAGATCTGCAGGATTAAGCTTTTCATGCAATCAACCCTTTTCATATCTGATCTGTATCAATGTTTGAACTTGCAATGCATCCTCAGTTGAAGAGCTGACAGATTATTGCCATTACAACCTTTAGTTTAGATAGATATGGAAATGTATCTATATCTGTATATTAATATTAATATTTAACTATATTTATCTTATCTATTTATGTAAATAAAATAAAAAAGGTAATTTATTTGCTGTGAGATAAAGATCCCTTGGTGTCTTAGACAAACTGGAATCAATCGGATTTTGGCAGTACTTTCTGTACAAGGTCAAAGTATGAAGCAAAGAGTGCCGCCACACTCAGAAACTATTCATTAAAAAAAAAACAGCAATTTAAGTCTTTGGAACACATTCTTTATAAAATATCAGAATCATTACAATTTTTTCATTATATTTTTCCTGATGAAGTGGATAAAATTATAATATCACTTTATGATTTTCATTCATTGAGACAAATAGCCTCGTAAGTCTTCATGTGTAAATGAGTATGCTCTTAAAGGAGATCTGGAGGAGCTTAATGAGCTGTTGCATCAGGATGATTGGAAGATACGGGCTGCTAATAAGAGGGCACTCAGCAGGGAAACGGGGGAGAGGCTTTTGTAAAACTCCACCAAGACTCATTTTACTTGTGGCAATGTGAAACGTTTGAGTTGAAACACTAAAGAATTCTGGTCAATGATAGGGATCCGTGCTAAACATGAGACATGCGTCAAGCTGTTACATAAGAAAGTTGAAGCCTACTTGGAGAAAAACATTACTCAATAGATCCTCAAAGATTCAAGACAATATAATAATGTTTTTTTTTTTCTTGGTTCATGTACAGAATGAAAATGGGGAGAAAAAGTAATAAAATGACATAATGTTGAGCTGCCTAAATCTAAAGAAAACTTTGTGTCACGTCTTTTTTTCTTTTTACCCAAATAAACCTCTGAGCAGACATCCCCTTCAAAAGTAGTGACTGTGCCATTTTTGCCAGGAGTTCAAGCATCTTCTTCACCTCGACGAGGTTCTACAAACGGACGAGTGTGTGTGGGATTGAGAGGACGGCCACTTTAAAGGCCGGGCCACACACACCCGGAGCACAGGCTGATGAATCACTCCTCTCCAACCTGCCGCCACACAGACGGATTCTTTTTATTTTTCTAAATGAGTCCACAGCCCAAGACGCTCATTTCAGCAGAGAAACAAATAGTTGTCGTCTGCGGATTTAAGCGAGTAGGAGATCTAAGCTTGTCAGCGGTGGGAAGAAATGTTCAAAGTTGTTTTTTTTTTACACAAACAGCAAGCCGTGTGGTGATAAGAAGGTCCTCAGGTCGTGACCTGTGGGCTAAACAAAATTCACTTTTTCGCTGCCTTTTGATGGATTTACATAAAATGTGTTTGTGACTCATGAGTTGATCCGAAAGCGCCGCGCTCTGGCTCGCAGTTGTGCCATGAGCACCGAAACTTTAAGCCTGTCAACGTGCCAGACTTAATGAACTTCATGTATGAGAATGAGAAACGTTGCAAATTCTTTATAAGTGTGTGGTGATGCGTTCAGGGTCCTCTCTGCCTTTGGCACGCTAGCACTGACCATGAACTGGATAAAGTAGATAGAGAAAATGAATTATTAAATACAGCCAGGGAGCTCTAACAGTTTGACGTGCTTTACAGCAAAAGTAAACCAGTTTGAAAAAAACTAAACAAACAAAGCTGGGAAAAGGAAACCGGGACGATTCTTCAGGCAATGCAGCAAAGCAGCAGGTGCCCTTTTCAAGCGCTCACGCCTGACCTTTGTGTCTGGGTCTCGTCACCGGCAGCAGCTGCTTCACTTCTCCTCCCGCAGCCTGTGTGGACTCCCGCCATCCTCACCTTCTACCTCCTGCGTTACTATGGAGACTGCGGTGAGAGAGTTAGTCACTGCTGGTTGTGTCTGGCTGCCATGCAGGGCCGCATCACTCCGGCTCGTTCAGGGCCGGCGTCGACGGGGCTTCTCGCTGCAGCCGCTTCTCTTCTTGAAGGGCCGACCTTTTCTCATCACAGTAAAGGGTTAAATGCATTTCCAACGTCTTCACGATGGCAGTTACATTATTTGGTCTCCGTTAGATGCAGATTGTTTGCAGACATTTTCCAACTTCATGAGCCAAAGATTTTCTGATAATGCTTTGATTTAGTGTTTTCCCTAAAAATGAATGATAGAAATGTAAAATAGTAATAAATAAATCCCATTTTCATGTATTTATTAATTTGTGTGGGGGTTGCATGAAACAGCAGTGACAGCTGACCAAAGCATTGAGACAGAGGTTTACCAGAAGCACAGATTACAAATGGTGGAGGAGTCTGTGGTTTCTCAGACTTGTGTATCTGGAGCTGCACTGTTAAGTCTTCTCGTTACAATTTAAAACCACTGAACCCATGGCAACAGGTTGTAATCTCCCAATTTATTTCATCAACACAAACATCCAGCACCAGACTTGTGCGTTTCATCTGTGACTTAAGAGCATTTTTTTAGACTAAAAAATAGAACAGACTGAGAGAGAGAATTGATAAAACCGACCAGTTTTTGGCTGTAAGGTGTTCGCAACCATTCAAGAATTTACACTTTTTGTTGGTGAGGTCTCCACGGTGCTTGGCTATTTCAACCAAACAGCTCACCTCCATATACATAAATATACAGCACTGTGTTCATCCACAGTGAAGAATATACACACTGAAGCATTAACCCACAGAAAATTAACCATTTTATATGTGTGTGTGTGTGTGTGTGTGAGTATGTAGGGATCTGGACAGTGTGCACCTCAGCATTAACTTCCTTGTAGACCCATTTTCCTGCCTGCCTAAAAACTAAATTCCACCCACAGACACAGACACTGGAACCAACAACCGGCGCTTCCTGTTGTCACACAAAGTCACAGATTAAAGTGTGTAGGAACACACACACGCACACAACGCATGGGATAAACCTGTTAGCTGGATGGACAGGTAACACTTCCCTTTTTGTATCATTACCGATGTTAAAGCGATGTAGAGCCGGCCTCTATTCTAGGACAAAATAAACCTAATTCTGGTCTCTCGTGAGATGGGGCCACAATAAATAGAAATGAGTCTGAAAGGGTGAGGGGACAGAAGGGAGAGGCAGGCAGACAAGGTATTGGAGTGAGTTCCGCCTCTTCGCCTTCAGGGTAACTGGGAGTGACCTGGTGGCAGGCCAGCCAATCACAGGAGGATCCAGACCAATCGGATCTCTTCGGTGAGAGGCCTCTGCCGCTAGCTGCTGTTTTCGATGGCAGTGCAGTCTGATCACAACAGCATGGTGACGGGTTTCTCCAAGAACTTGCGGAACTCCGCCAGCCACTGCGCGCCCACCGCCCCGTCCACCACCCGGTGGTCACAGCTCAGCGTCACCGACATCACGCTGGCCACGTCGAACCTGCGGGGCGCACACACAACGGGCTTTAGACGTGGGCTCACCCCCCCCCGCCCCCCCGGTGTCACAGCTCTGTGGGCACGACGCTGACCCTTTCTCGTTGTCAGCGGGCAGGAGCCGCTTCTCGGAGCCTCCCACGGCCAGGATGCAGGCCTGGGGGGGGTTGATGATCGCTGAGAAGTTCTTCACGCCAAACATCCCTAAATTGGAGATAGTGAATGTTCCTCCCTGGTGGGACAAAAAAAAACATTTTTAAATCACTGTTAAGATGATCAAATGTGCAGAGATGTAAGTGGAATGAAGAAAAGTTGAATGAGGAGTGGCACCTGGAACTCGTGAGGCTGCAGCTTGCCGTCTCTGGCTTTGGCGGCGAGCGCGGACACGTCGGCGCTGATGGAGGCCAAGCCTTTGGTGTGGGCGTTGAACACGATGGGCGTGATGAGGCCGTTGGCTGTGCTCACCGCTACGCTCACATCCACCACGTGATTCCTGTTGGGATTTAACAAACGACAGCGGTCAGCGTGACTTTGATGCTACGGCAGGGGGTGAAGGCTTGTGCTCGGACTGCCCCCTGCTGGCGCAAAGAGGAAGCTACAAGGCCAGAGAGCAACCTGCAACAAACAGGGGCCCTTATTAATCCCAGTACCGTGGGATACTCCTCCATTTTGCTGTCCTTCTTTAAAAAACTAAATTTACTATATCTGCATTATGTGTCCAGTATCCGATTGATGTGGGCAGGACCAGCCGCCTGTCAGGGCAGCCAGACACCGGGCTTACCTGCGCCTTAATGACAGAAACTAGTACCCAGAGTGAGGGCTAAAGGGGAATATAGGGTGGTCGTCGCACTGCATCTGTTTCTGACAGACTTATAGCGTCTTTTGTTTGTCGTTTAAGCTTTGTATGTGTCCATGTTCCCGCAGAGAAAAGAAGGAAACACAAAGCCCACTGTGACACCACTGTGATGACGCGAGCGCCGCTGTGTGTCATCTGGATGTGTGTGGTTGTGACAGACAGCATTAGTACCACAGCTGACAGAAGAAGAAGAAAGTCTGACAAAGGACTGGGTGCCATGGCTCCTGAGCTAACAAAGGTGTGTTTTCCGTGTGTGTGTACTCACTGGCGGATAACAGTTTCCATCCAGGAGGAGTTGCACTCAGGAACCTTGAGGCAGGCCAGGGCGCTGGCTTTGATGATAAAGTCATTCACACTAAGCTTGATGTTCTGGGCTTTTACCTCCTGGAGAAGGAAGAGAATTTTGGTCATCACTCTTGGCATATATCCACCTGAGTCCAGCCAACCTTCAGTCCATCACACGCACTTCCGAAATGAAAAACTCACTTCATTGAGCTCTTTTCTGAGCTCAATCACTTGGTCCATGTTGACATCTACAGACAGATAGTAGTGGGGGATGGTCTGCTTGGACTGCATCAACCTCTGAGCGATAACCTGCGGGTGGAGGCACACGCATGCATGTAAGCTTTGATCTGAGTCTGTACCTGCAGAGGAAGGAGGGGGCGGCACGGGCCAGAGGCAGCAGAGCAAACGCCGGCTTTGAACCCTGTCCGGGGGGGGGCTGTCGGGGCATCGTGCTGGATGAGAGGCCGGCGGGGACGCCATCGGGGACTCACCTTGCGGATGTTGCTGATGGGGATGTCGGTGAAGGTGCCGGCAGGAGCAGCAGGAGCTGCGGCGGGTGTGGGGGGGGCGGCCGCTGGGGCGGGGGCAGCGGCTGCAGCCTGCCGGTGGGAGGGGTGGGTTTGGCGGGAGAGCAAACCAAAACAATTAGTTAGACACGCGCAATACTGTAATATTTGAAAAATGCTTGATCAAGTCCAGTCCAATTCACAGCCGGAACACCAAATTAAGTAAATAAGAAGTCGAACAGCCTTACTGGTGCAGCCTTAGGTGGAACAAAGCTCTCTACATCTTTGCGCGTGATGCGTCCGTCAGGACCAGAACCTGTGCCCAAAAAGTCAGTCATGGTCCCCATTTACAAAGTCCCTCACTTAGTGTTTGACAAACAGTGCTAAATCCACATCCCTAAACTTCACCAAGTGCATCTCAGTCACGTACCGCTGACTTGTGCCAGGTCGATGCCCTTCTCGGAGGCCAGTTTCTTGGCAAGCGGGCTGGCGAAGACGCGGCCTTTCCTGGATGCTGCCGGGGCAGCAGCTGCCGGGGCGGAGCTGGCAGCTGCAGCAGCTGGAACTGCAGCAGCTGGAGCTGCAGCCTACAACGCAAACACAGAAGAGTCTTCAGACCGCCAAAGGAGCTGCTTTTTAGGAGAATTTGTATAAGAAAAATCAATGCTGAGCAGCACATCCAAGACAGCCAGGACGGTTAGCTTCTACCTGAGACTGCTGTATAGCTACCTACCTCTGGCTAATCCCTTAAACACCAAAAGTACTTCAGGCCTGCTGTGAAAACAGCTTAAGTGTCTTATGTGGCTTTTCCATTAGTATCTACTCAGCCCTACTCGCTACAACTCTGATTCCAAGAGAAATCCTAACAGGAAGATGGGCTGAGCAGCCCGTTGTGTCACTTCTATGCGTTTTGCTTCCATGTTTTTACAATTGACGGGGTTCTCGCTTTCATGACTAAGCCTGCAAAGAATCCCAGCCGAGTACGTGCTAAAACTGTAACTGTGAACAGCCGCTAATAGAAAATGTATAAAAAACGGGTCAAGTTGAGCCGAGCTCAGTGGGCACTAGTGGAAAAGCCCCACCGGAGTCTCACCGCAGCAGGAGCAGGGGGGGGTGGGGGCACATCGACCACCCCAGTCTCTACGTAATCCTTGAAGGCAGCGATGTCACTTTCTTTTTCTACGATGATGCAGAGCGGCGCTCCCAGAGGAACATCCCGTGTTCCCTCTGCCACCAGGATTTTAGCCAAATACCCCTCCTCCTGCACCTCAAAGCCTGCACACGAGCACATGGAGGTGACGGGTCAGGTTTGGGTTTTGTGCAGTAATTCATCAGGAAAGAACACTTAAAGTTGTTTTCAAACTGCAACGGAACAACAAGGCAAATTAAAGCTGAACAACTTCTCGTGGAGCATCATCTCTTTGGACTGACCGATAGTCGCCTTGTCAGTTTCTATCTCAGCCAGCAGGTCTCCTTCACCGAGCTTCTCTCCGACCTTCTTCTCCCAGCGCTGCACCGTTCCCATCGTCATGGTGGGAGATAGGGCTGGAAGTGTGACCTGTCACATAAACGTGGACAATCTGAACACTTAGAAGAAATCAGTAACAAACTCATGAGGTTCAGCTGCTCCTTCAACAGTGTCTCATAATTCGGTGAAATCTACCGACTTCAAAGGATAACTTTTAGTTTCACTTCGCAAAAGGAACCAAAAACAGCCCCGTACTCTCCGCACACATCCCATAAATACCCCGTCCCGCAGAGAATCTGCAGGCCTGACTGCTGAAGACACCGTAAACAAAGCCAACATCACCCCGCTGCTCTCTTATTACTCGACACATGGAGGTGTTTCCATGCAAGAGCGCGCTTGCCTTCATGTGTGTTGGGTAAGAGCTGCCCGGGGCAGCGGCGGGGGGAGCGCCAGCTGCAGGAGGAGGAGGAGCGGAGGCAGCAGGTGAAGGAGCCGCACCAGCGGATTTAAAAGAGTCCAGTGTCACATCCTTAAAGGCTCCGATTAAGTCTGGGCTGCGGGGGAGAATACGCACACAGAAATTAGAGAAAAGAAAAAACAGCTGTTTTTTTTGTTTTTTGACATCAGTTTATAGACAAAGAACACTGACCTGTCAACTGTGATGCAGATTATTGCTCCAACACCCACATCTCTGGTTCCTTCAGGAACCAGGATTTTGGCGAGATAGCACTCCTCCAGCAGCTCAAAACCGACTGTGGCTTTGTCCGTCTCTACCTATAAAAAAAAAAAAACAGAACAGTCTTTATTTTTTATTTCCTAAAATTCTGAAAAGCATCTGATGATGGGAACACACACACTGAACTCCTAACCTCAGCGATAAGATCGCCCTCACTAATTTTATCCCCCTCCTTTTTCTCCCAGCGAGCGATTGTCCCCGTCTGCATGGTGGGTGAGAGGGCAGGAAGCTCCACCTGATCAGAAAAAAAGTTCAAAAACATACCAGTCATTGGACATTACAAAATACTGCCAAATATCAGGTGCTGCAGCCACATTTGCTGCATCATCATCACCTCATTCCACAGATTAATGAATTACCCACATGACCTTTATGATCACTCCTGAGGTCAAATAATAACAGAGAGAGATAAGACGATGCTACTGTTTGTGAAATAAATAAAACCAAGTAGAGGGTTTCCTAAAAAAAATACATGTACATTAAACAACGGACGATGTGATGCAAACTAGACTAAATAAAAGTGTCTGCTTTGAAATCATACACAAGTTTAGGGTGGCTGTCATGTATCCTTCTAGAAAAACAGCCGATTATTCAGGAGCCACTTTCGCTGTGCACGTTCCCTCAAAGGCCTTCAAACTGCACACACTACCACAAATGTTTGTTACAAAGTAGCTAAACAAATACTAACTCACATTTATTTCTCTGGCGGCAGCAGATGCTTAAAATCCACTTAATAAACGCCATTATTAGATAAATGTCTGGTCGCCTAAGAAGACAAAACATATGAATGAATGAGCCAAATAGAATGTAGAGAGTAAAAACACCTTTTATTCTAATTTCCAAATCACTCTTAAATGTTTCCTAAAAAAAAGTTTTTGATCAACTACGCCTTTAGAGCACTTCTAGATAAAAAGGATAAATCTGAACCAACCTCTCTGAAACAGTCAAACAAATACCTATACACGACTCAGATATAAGAATACTCTTCTTGAACTGTAATATTTAGATCTATCCCCCCTCATTTATAACCATCTTCTTCAAAAATCAAAGAGTTACAAAGTCAATTTGAAGAGAGTCCTGCTAAACAAAGCTTATCCAAACCTAGTTTGGTTAAGCTCTCTGGCTTTAAAGGTAATGGAAACAAGCAGTATGGAAACAGGAAACAGGGCACCAGACCCATCAAGCTATGAATGACCTTTGTGGCATAACACCCCCCACCCAGTGGTCCCCATTTTTAAGTTAAATGGCTGGCTCTTACTAACAAAGAAGAGGCACGCCATGGATAGTCCTATAGTTCCAGGTTAAATAAAACGCAGTGGTTTCGTTTGGGGGTTGGTGACAGCTGCCCACATCAAAATCTTTAGTTCGAGCTTCCAGCTGACACGCCGTTAGCTGCATTTGACATTTCGATCACGTACAGCAGGATTCTCCATCTGTGACAGGTGGAGTAGTGGGCAGCCCTCTGGCTGATGCTAACGCGTAGGTCATGCTAGCTGTTGCGGTGAACATCGGTGCTACGGCGGCGGGGGAAAGCCGGGCAGGTCACGTTACCTTCTGGTGCGGCGGCAGGCTGTAGAAACGCTTGCTTTGACAGCCCCCCGCCAGCTGGGAGCACCGCAGCAGAGTCGCTCTGTGGGTGTAGCCAGAGCTCAGGGACGTGGTTCGGGAACCCGCTCCGCTGTGAAGCCGCCTCAGGGCGCCGGTTCCCGGCACGGAGCGGGAGCCGAGCGCAGCAGGCCCAGCCGGGAGGGCACGGGGACAGGAGCGGCCGGTGGACGGCCTGAGCCGCAGGATCAGACGAAGCATTTCGTAGAGGTTGAAATACTACACGAGGCTGTTGAATAATGGATTTGCCTTACACCAGCATTAGAAAATACGCTGGCACAGAGTTTCCGTGTACCCCGAGAGCCAGAACGTACTTACTCCTCACTTTCTAATGACCTCCTCCGGTCCAAAACACAACGCTTTCCGGCTCTTCTCCTTGTCCTACCGTCAATTCACAAGAAGTGTCGTAAATCGTGGTCGTACCAATTCCAACCACAAAATGCTAAAAAAATAAAATAACAAATAACACCCAGACAAAATTCTAAACTGACGTCAACTGAAATTGTCAAATCTTTTCGTTCAAACGAAAGAATACTGCAAATAACCAACGTGACTATTTAATGCAATCCCGCCAATGGCCACGTGGTGGTAGATCTGACCTACAACCATAGGAATCTGCTGTAAAAACTCTTCTTCCAGTTTTATGCTTTGATTTATTTATTTTTAAGTTATTGGAGGCCAAAGTGTAGTCCCTTGTTTGAAGTGATATCCAAAATGTAATACCACTTTCTCAAAAAAATAAATTTGCAATCTGTTCGGGTGATTATTGCTCATTAAAGACATCTGGAGCTGTAAAAAATGGGACAAAATATCTTGCATTAGACTTAACGAACACCCAATAAAACATAGAACAGACTATGTGATATTTAATCTTTAGTAATACCAACTGCCAAATAACACCAGATTGTTCTAAAACTAAACAGAGAGGAAAGAAATCAAAGCAAGCATTGTCTGTGTTGGTGGTTTAATCAAATGGACATGGAATGACTGGCCCCCTGGCGGTCCCCGTCCAGCACAAGCGACATAAAAGTAAAGGCTGAGCCTTAAAATACAGTTTTTTCTAAAGAGCGCAGCATGTGAAAGTGAAACACTGACATCTCAATAAAAACAGAAATCAGGCTTTATTTCAAAATGTATGTCTCAAACATTTAACAAAGGCAATTCTTGGTTTTCTTGAACACATAGTATCCATATATTTGAAATGTAAAAAAAGAAGAAAAAACATCTCACTAGCAAACAGTATATTCAGGTAGCCACATCATTCAAATGGAAATTAGAATCCAGACTTAAACATATTTCTGTTGGCTTGTTTATGAGGGAATACACTTTGATCCAATGAGATAAGTGTAAGAAATAATGTGTTACAGTCACTTTAAGTCCTCAAACTCATGCACACATAAATAGCAGGATAGCTAACTGTTGCACAACAAAAATCTCTTTCAACCCTCCAATACAAAAATCACATCATGGTATCTTTTTTGACAAAAGAAAAGACATTTGCAAATAACCTCTTTTATAACAAGTAAGAGCAATAAACATAAAAAATGTTGTTCAATATTTCCAAATATTAAAGATACAGTGAAAAACAAACAAACCCATAAAATGGTTAAGAAAAAAGGCTTGTTTGTTTATGTATTTACAGGAACTAAAAAGTTCCAGTGCATAACGAGCGATATGTGCTGGTGTGCTACAGACTGCTATGAAAACTCTGGATTTGGGTCCTATTTTAGTTTGAGTTTTTGTTTCGGTTGCAGTAAACTTTTCCTGTGGACATCTCCACTTGACTGTTGACCCATCATCATACAGTATTGCAACTAATGTAATAACCACTTTTCATCAATACATTTTTTCATATATTTTATATATTGTCTTGAATTAGTTAATAATACTGTTTTTTAACTTTACTTTCACAATAAAAAAACGTCAAATGTGCCAGAGTAAAAAAAACGACTGAAAACAGACATTTTCATAATGTGTTGAATGTTCTGAAGGCATAACTTCAGAGAATTAAACTAAACATTGGAAATGTAATTTTTCTAGTTCCTAATGCAAACATCTAGCCCCAACTGGAGGCAATACGAGAACACCACAGTTTTAGGTACAGGAAATTAAAAAGAATATTCCTGACTACTTGAGTCCTGTAGGATACTTACACTTACAGCCTGTCAAAGATAAGATCGTGGCAGAAACAGTTTTCTTTTATAAGGCACGGAGTTAAATGCTATCACATGACATCAGCTACCGATGTGCACAGCATCCAGAGCGAGTAGGGTTTCTAGGCTGGTCTGGTACCTGTAGATCAACCCACATCTCTCTCTTTTTACAGTATTGTGCAGACAAGTCCAGTTTCCTACGAGTGCTCTTTTGCCTTTTTCTGAACAGTTGGCTGGATGTGCAGGTTGATGTGTGGGATCAGAATAATCCAGATCCTCCACATAAAATCTACAGAGCCCTGAGACAGAAAAGAAAATGAGTTTCTCATCACAGAGAGTGGAGAAAACAAAATGAGAGCCACAGGATTGACTTTTCCTTACCTGTGCTCGCCGCAGTCTTCTTCCAGCCAAACTAATATTTTTCCCTCCCAGCCTGGAACGATTGCTCCGTCCAGGAACACCTGTGCCAACACAAGATTTTATCTTCATGGACAAACAGTTGAGCAATTAACCCGTAGGTTTTTAAACAGACTAAGGACGATGGCTCTGCTCTTGGGTTTTGTAAAGTGCAGAAAAAAACTCAACCCCATAGCAAACCCTGCTATTACTGTCACATGATCAACTTACCTCCTCTTTCACAGTTCCAAACTCTGGGTCAAGAGCCTTGAAGTGGTACCTGTAGTTCCCCTCTCGGTCAACAGCTGTCTTAACATCCTTCAGAGTCACCTCGCCCAACCTGCAAAGTGTTTGACATGATAATCTCTCACCTTGCGTGCACCTCATTTTATTAGCTTCTATTTAGGGAATTTGCTCTAAAAACAAAACAAAAACAGGAGCCCTTTTTTTGTTTGAGGAAGAAAATAGCTGTTCACACTCACACACTGACCTCTTTGGTATACTGATCATGGAAGGTGTTGGTGATCTTCCCGTAAAATAAAGGATTTTAGTGGAGGGTGGAGAGCCATTGTGAGACTGATCATTCTCTGCCAGGAAAACAAGGAATTAGAAAAAGATGAAAACATTTGTGGAGGCTCTTAAGCTGTCAAAGCGCCTTACTTGTGGAGGGCCAGGAGTCCAAACCTGAGTGCTGACCTTTGCGTCTTGGAGATTTTCCCCTTCCCTATGTACAGCAACAGAATGTAAACAGCTTCTCATCAATTTAGGCTACTTTTCAGAAAAATATAAATTTCTTGTCCAAAGTCTGAAAATAAATCCAAAGCTATCATTTAAATTTAAAAATCTTAATAACTCATTGCAGTTACACAACCAGCTCCCGTGATATGAAACATTTTCAAATGTTAATCCACTTAAAGTCAAAAGAAGACTTCAATCACTTGCTTTTATCCTCCAGAAACACATGAAAGGCTGTTTTATTCATTGAAACATTGATTTGTAAAGCTCAGAATACCCTGTGTGTGTGCAGAACATGCAGTCTGTCAATAAGGGATACTATTCCCTGCTCCAGGGTGTCCAGTGTGTGTTGCTGCGGGTCGTGATCTCTGAAGTTGTTCCTCAGACTCCCCAGTGCGTCTCTGAGAAGCTGAACCTCCTCTGCCTGCTAACAGAGCACAAATGTGGCCTTCTATTGTCCAAAACTGCTGTTTCTGTATAAGCTAAGCCTCTTAGGTTCCATGCATTTCTAAAAGATAGGTTATTGGCTTTCATGTTATAAAACTATACTTACTCCTGACATCGAGGGGGCAGAATTTCCGCAGTAGGAATACCCGTTATTTTCCGGGCTGGTGGAGGTCTAACAAAGATGGAAGGAAAGCGAGTTGTGTAATGTATATGGGAATTCAGAAAGCATGGCGAACATGAAACCTGGGCAGACAAAGACTGAGCACAGAGACAAAGTTACCTGTGTGAGATTTCTGCTCTTTAGCTCCTGCAGCATGCTGGTTTTATGCTCCAGCTCTCTTTCTAATTCAGTCTGTCAATTAGAAACAAAATCCCCTGTCAATACACATGAAAATGCAGGACAGATTTAAAACCTCAGGCTCTTGAGTGACCTTTAGCCTGACAGTCTGTACCTCATCTCCAAAATCCAGAAACTGGCTGACATACCTGGAGCTTTTGGCATTGTTCCAGCTTGTGTTTGAACTGTTGAAGATGTCTATCTCTCTGTCCGAGGTCCTTCTGTTCCCAAGCAGAACAAAAAGAATATTTAGGACTTTATTTTAAATCAACCACGTTAGAAGACATCATAAAGTTACTACAATAGAATTACATTATAGAAATGTATCAAATTAATCACCTTGGATTCGCCCCACAGCCTGTTGCATTCTTCGAGCTTCCACCGTAATTCTGCCTACAACACAAAGAGCAGTCTTAATATAAAGAAGCGTTACCGTTCTCAGCGTTTTGTTTTTAAAATTTTACATTCTGGTTGCTGAGCTCCTCCTTCATCATGCTGCCTCTCAGAAGCTCTTGCTTCATTTGCAGTATTGATGCTTCCTGAGTGCAGAGTCTCTGCTGCTGGGCACCCTGCACATTCACAATGCAACAGAAAGTCAATACTTAAACTGGCAAATTCTCTCCAAAAATAAAAAACAACGATGTTTCTTTTTCCCACCTTGACTCCTTGCAGGTTTATTATCTCCTGCTTACAGCGTAATAGCTCCCTCTGATGAATAAAAGCAAAAAACAGTTACTCAAACATCAATCCCAGGGCTATGCCTCCGTAAAGATGGCATGTTTTTTCTTCTTCTTAGCAGTGGAAGGAAAGAACATATTGACGAACACAGATCACACATTCCCACCTTTAGCTCCCGGACCTCCTCCATGCTCTGATCCAAACGGCCGCGAACGACGACCTGGAAAACAGAATGAAGAGGTTTGTGTGAAAGAACCACAATGGAGGGAAAATAAAAGGAAACCGATACCCGTGTCACTCTCTGACACACACATACCACACACACACACACAGCAAAAAGGAAGTAACAAGATCTGTTGTGAGAAATAGGAAAAAAAAGAAGAAAAAAGAAAGATACACAAAATCTCAACTGAGAATAGATAGAGTCAAAGACTGGAAACATTAAAAGCTTATAAAGAAAAAAAAAAAAGATTACCAGTTGTTGCTCAGGGCTACATGAGTCCAAAGTCACCGACACGTCTTGACCATCCTCAGGCAGAGAGCCTTGCAGCAACAGTGCCTACAAAAAAAAAAAAAACAGTACAACATGTGACACCAGTTATTGCTTTGCAGTTTAGTCACTGAGAGGGCGTGTGGGTAGACCGAATGGTGAGGACTGTGTATAATTAACAGGCTGTATATTCAAAAGGCTCTAAAAAAAACTGTGATGGTATCTCATCAGGTCGAATTCTAACAAGTAATCATTATAGTGTATTTAACTGCGTGAAAACACTGTTAAAGTAACATGATTGAATTTCTCCACTGTCTTACAATAGGTAATTAGCACTAATGTCTAGAAGTGTCATGAAATTTGATGCAGACGTAAATAAAAGAGTGCATTTTAACACTGAGAGAGGGAAGAATCTGCTCCACATGCCTGTAAAGCAGACACCATTTTCCGAGTCTCCTGGACTTCCATCTCCAAAGCGTCTCTGAGAGAATCCTCCCACGCCATCTCCTCTCCAGTGTGGGATGATTCTGCTCCACACACACACACACATTTTAAAAAAGTCACATTTTTGGAGGATTTTTGTGTGTCTGCTTAAGAGGCTGAACAGGACGTACCATAGCTCTCCTGAAGCGGGCAGTCCTGCTGCAGAGCGTCTGAGTGGCTGCTCTGCTCAGCTCTGGGTGATGAGAGGGGGCTGACAGCGCTGAGGCTCATGGAGGACAAAACACTGGTAAAGGACTTCATTCCAGAACAGCATACTCAATTTAAAAAAACGAACATACACACAGTTTTAATTCAATATTTGAAACTTTAATCCTTTCTTCTTCTTCTGTTTTGATAGATCCGAAGGTTTATATGCTATTCTTTGTAAAGTTGAAAACATAAAAAACTAGACAACTGTGGGTATTTTTAAAAAACCTTTTTACAGGACAAAGTCAGTTATTGCCTGTTTACTTGTTCATTTGTTGCTTTTAAAATATCAAACCTTTTCCATACTTTAAGCCCAACTAAGGTGGACAGATATGTTCAAGACTGCCAATTCAAGTTCAGTATCAGAGGGTCCAAAGTGGCAGCAAGTGTCTGCAGCCAGCCTCCCAGTAGAAAGTCACAGATAACAGAGCAGAGCAGGGCGCCGCCTGCAGAACTGGCAGGATCAACACACAATAAAAATCTTGCATCTGTAGGCTAAAGGGTGGAATTTCATGCTCTTTTAAATGCGTCCTAACTCTTGTGGACTTAAGGGTGAGTCCTTCCAACTGAAAGAGCACATTCTTCAGCTTTTAATGGGACATACTGGCTTCCAATGAATTACATAAGGATTTTTCTGTCGGTCTGTAAAAGCTTTTTAAAATATTTTTAAATGAAGCCCTGTCTGCAGTTTCAGGGCGCACAAACATGATTCAAAATAACACACAGGATTAACAGAATCACAAAAGGTCCGTTTGATGAAATTCAGTCTCACTGTGGAATAGATAGAGCGAAAGAGCGTCACATGACAATAAGGCTGTACTAGTTAAAGTAAATGTCTGTAAAATTCTAACGCTTGTCAGCAAACAGGCATGAAGTTGAATGTGGACACATTCAACAACACGGCCTCAAATTCCCCTTACCATTTCATCTGCGTCCCCCCCATTGTGGATTTCAGGTGGTGTGAGCTGTTCAGCACTCTTTCAGAGAACCTCTGTTCCTCTTAGTCTGTATCTACAGCATCAGCAGGTCTCAAACTCATGACAATTTCTGATTCTCCTTCCACTACCAAATCCCACCCTCACCCTCAAGCTGGCAAAAAAAAAAAAAAATCACCACAGTGACCTAAGCAGCACATAGTTTTCTATCACTCACTTAAGAAATGTATAAATCAGGTTGTTACGGCTTTGTTGAAACTGAGACTCCAAAGAAAGGGGGGGAAAAAACCTTGTCATAAGTCAGTAAACAAATACAATAATCACTGACTTTCTAAGATAATGGGAATAACTAATACACACAGAAACAATGGCAATGAAAATAAAAACATACCCGGACACGCGTCTTTAAACCAGACATGTGACTGGAAGAAATAAAGACATATTATTTCTTTTCTCTATCGTCCGTCTGTGGTTTGCCAAGATGTCTCTGAACACACACAAATATACACAGCAAGATACTGCTTGCAGTACTAGGACCAAAGTCATATGCTCTTTCAGGCAGTGCGATCCAAACACGCACACACAGAAAAAGACACACTAATAAACCAAAGAATGCAATCTTCTATTTGTAAAATGTGGAAAAATAAGTGTTAAAGATGACAGATAATGAGAATAACTAGAGGCTAGATAAATTGGAAAAGGCTATAATTAGCTACAAAGTAGAGCATATTCTCTTTATATTGTTGGTAGGTGCTGTCTGATTTAAAATGTTTTGAATTAACTACCTGGGCTGACCTGAATCATCACACCCTGGGGGACCCCAGGGGGAGACTGTTGGTGGACATTTACTGTGTCCGCTTAGCATGGACATCTGCCTTCAATTGAATCGAAACTCTTATAGTTAACAACTCAGAACCACTCACTGAAACTGTCTTTTTTAATCAAAACCAATCAACTGCTCAGTAATGAAGTGAAGCCCTATGGTAGCTCCTTCAACTTTTTTAAGGAGTAGAAAAATATACATTTTTGTTAAATAAAATATGTATAAGCCTTCCAGAGTTTTGAAGGGTTTAGTTCTGTCAAAACAATTTAATGTTTTTGTTATCAATGTTAAAAACAGGTGATGACAGTCTGATATTTGCCATATCCCACCTTGGCATTCACATCTAAATGCAGTGAAGGCGTGTGGGTTTCGTATGGATTGGAAAGGTGCATTTTCTGTCATCCTATTAGCTTAAATCGCAACTATTGTTTGTTTTCCTCTGAATGACATCAGTGTTCACACACCTTTCCCTTCATTCAACCTGCTCCTCTTACAGTGAAGTGTCAGCTAGCCGGTGTTTTTTGTGCAGTGTGGATCAAATTACATGCAAAACATTCTTTTCTCTCCGTGTGACAGAAGAGCCTGAAATATCACAAACACACTCAGTTTTAGGCTAAACACAAAGAAAGCCCATCCCTGGCAAGAGTTCACTGCGTCTAACTACAGCCGTGTTACTGCACAGCAACGGCTTCCATCCTCTCTGTTTTTTTCACTGCCTGGACTAAAACGGCTTCAGCTTTTGGGATTACTGGGGTTGGAGCCAACACCAGCCCCCTCATGTACCACTCCACTGTCTGCTTTATTGTGTTTGTTGTCTCCCTTTTGTCTGTGGCCAGGGCATTGGTGAACTCCTGCCTCACCCAAAGCCCCCGCTCTCTCCATCTGACCAGTCACCCCACTTTTTGCAATGTTCCTAAATTAGGCAGCAAATGAAGCCATGCTCCAAACTGGGAGAAGATTTAACCTTTAAGAGGTTCTGGTGTGTAAAGTAAGTGCAAACCTGCTGTGCCCTCTTTTCCAAACAAGCAGCACCAACTACAGCAACAAAAATCTCAAAACAACCGTTTTATCCCATCTGGGTGACTGTAGAAGTCTGTTATTGTTAAGGTGCACAACAATGCAGATGTAACATGCTGTAAAGAGATTATTAGAAAAAGGAAATTACCTGCAAGGCTGAGAGTTGTCCTGCTCATCTGCCCCTCCTCTCTCATACTGCTGAACCAAGGCGCGAACACACACGTTCTTATCCCCATCCAAAGCCCTGCCACTAGAAGATGACAAATAACGGCTGTTATTCAATATATGAACATATGTGACAGATACACTGTTTATGGCGGATGTGTGAAATGGGAACTGGTGGTGTGTGTTTTTTTCCAGCAGAGGACAGCAAAGACTTCAAGGCTGCTGATAAAACCCCTTTGCAAACCACATAACTGACCCATCGAGAGGGTCCAGCTAAACCACAGCAGCTGCATAGGCTTTCATGCTCAATCAATAATCTGCCAGTTGTACTAAAATAAACTGGCAGTGAACAATTTTTTTTATTGAAAACTAGGGGATCATTGTTTCAGATAAACCATCTGTCAGATAGCCTGTACACCTCTGTGTCTGAGACCAAAATCACTTGTCGAACAAATGTTCATCTTGAGAGATTTACATGACTGATGTTTTTATAGATCAGCGGGAATAACAAAAAATGTCTTTACCAGGGTTTTTTCGTTCATTGTAAGATGATGCTTACTGCTGATCATAACATTGATGGCCAGCCTACCTGTGGATCCTTGTGGCACGTGTGGGTCGAGAGGCATCCAGTCGGGCAGATGCCAGCGCGGCAGCAGCACCTTGAGCTAATGCAACAGTGGACCGAGGGTTATGGCTTGTAGGGCCTCTTGTCGAGCTCCTCCCGCCTCCACAAGCGGCCCTATGACTGGCTGAAGGTTTGAAGTGGGCTGCGAGGGCCAGAATGATCCTCATCACAGATTTCAGATTACCATCGACAATATCTGAAATAGAAAAGAAGAAAAGGAATTAATCCTCTGATAAAGGGATAGTGCTTCACCAACCTCAGACATCTGGAAATATTTGTCAACATTACTTTTGCAACACCTGTGGCTATGTTAGGTAAACTAGCACAAATCCACTTCATTTCAAAGGTTGAAGAGATAAAACTGTGAACTCTTGGTCACTGGGATTTCATACAAATATAGCATTCTTTGGAGAAAAAAAGTCTAACTTGATTAAGTATGAGTTAGGAGATAAATATACACTACCAATGAACTAACACTACCAAAGTGCTGTGTTATGTCAGGGCATGGACCATCATCCTGTGGTGTCTGGCACCAGATCCTTGAGTCCTGTGGCTTGTGGGGCCTATTTGGAAATGGCTTCTGCCAACACAGTCTGTAAAGACTTTACTACACTGTGGTCTAAAGAATTTGGAGGATGGGTCAATCAACCCAGCTCTTTGTTTAGTTCCAAAAACTGCTCCAACACATTTTTTCTGTGCGACAGGGTGCATTGTCTTGATGTTGCAGGCCATTGGTGGGGGAAATACCATTGTTTAAATGGGTCATACAAGTCTATGTAAAATTAATGTGCCAGGATTTACAGTTTCCCAAACAGGACACCATTCCATCATTAAGGGGAGACTTATTATGTTGATATTGGGGTATTTTTGGATATTTGAAATAGTGCAAACTGGATTTTTTTTTAACCACTTACAGGTTTGAGAGTAAATAAAATCGTCAGACTACAATGCAAGCTGAGCAGTCAGAAAACACCAGGAACACCTGCTCTAGAAACACACAGGAAGAGCGTGAGAACCTCAGCACTGCTTGTGATTTACCTCTTGCGGATATGTGAGGCATGCAAATGTGTCTGGAGGAAATGAACTGCAATACTTCCTCCACATTCTTCCTGCTCTCCTCCTTGTTCTGGGGAGGAACATACACTCCCTCCAACACTTCTCCAGCTGTCAAACAAAGGAAAATAGATAGACAAACTTCAGTTGAATTCTCATTCTGCAGGAAACTGTAAGAAATCAACTTTGACAGACTTAACTGCAAACTATACATACTTAACAGGCAAATCAATAGGCAGCCATGCTTGCGGCACAGTGTGGGCATCAAAGTGTCTTTTCACTAATAAACTAGCTCATTCCAACATCCATCTTGTCCTGGCCCCTCTCTCCACAGTAATGACACAGTGTGTAGCATTTGTGTTAGAATCGTGCACGTGTGCATTTACCAACTATCTCGATTAGCTGCACAAGCACAACTCCATCCTGCAGCTCGTGCCTGAGGTCTGTGATAGGCTTCAGGCCCGGTTTCCTCTTCAGCTGAGAGTTCACCCAGGACACATAGGCTGCCAACTGTTGCTGCAATTCATCAATCAGATGCATAAATCCAAAACAATACAAGTAAACCGACACACAAATGCTGGGCTTAAAGCTTAGACCAAATGACAGCCTTTGTTTACTATACTGGGTCACGGATATGGGAGCAAATTCATCCTATTGTCCTGTTTAGAATTTTACTTTTGTCTGAGGCCACTTGTTTATTTCTTTAGATTTATTTTCACTCAGTTAACTTCGCTCCACCTTTACTGGCGTGTCACGTGACAGCTCGTCGTCCATGGATACCACACAAAGAACTCACACATTTTGCACACAACGGAGAAAATGTCATTTTCCAAGTTTGGTTTGTCTGGCCTCTTTTGTTTGGTAAGCCATCCTGGACGCAGACCCCTTTCATTTTTTCAAAGATTTTCTTTAACATTGTTACAGACTTGTTGCAACATTTTTAATTTTTTCGAAAAACCTCATTAACGTCCACGAGACACGACTGAGCGTAAATTCGCTGCACAACCAATACAATACTCGCCATTTATACGTAAGGTTGGAACAGAAGTTGGTAACTAGCAGCACGCACTGCCTTCCGCTGGCGAATTTAGAGCCGACCAAACCAAAACATTTACTTAAGTAACGCTGGTAAACGTTACCTCGTTGTAGCCCCCATGAAGAACCTCATCCAACAAACTTCCTCTCGAGAGTGAAGCGATCATCTTTCAACACAAAAACCCATTTAACCAGACTATCAGCGCTAATTGACACACCATTTTCCTGAACAACGGGCGGACCCCGTTACGAACTACTGTTGTAGTCCAACAAACGTCAACACACGCAGACAATTGATGGGGCGAGTGTCGCTACCGTTACTCTGGCCAACGACTGCCGTAAAGCGACAGGGCTGCATGTCTGCAAACCTTCCGGTTTCAAAATAACTTAGTTTAACCACTACTTCCGGAATTTTGATCGTTCTTCAAGTGCTTTATATGCTTTTGGATCAGTTTATCATTTTTTGCAATATGTCTGACATAACATTTAAGGCAACAATAACCAACATTTATTTGTTGAAACTCTTTCATATTTTTACACTCAAGCTGTTTGTCTTCATTGTTTTTTTTTTAAATATGTGTTTTTGTAATTTAGCATCCACCTGCAGGCCTGCTCAATTTCTGTCTTTTCCATAGATTTTCTCTTACTTTAAAAATATTCCTTTTCAGCGCTTTGGCTGTGATGATGATAATTTGTACTTTTTTTTTTCTATCAAAATTTAAAGCCAGTTCTACTTACTTATGGTAATGCCATTTTAAACAGACCCACAAATACTTTCTTTTTCAGAATTGTTTTACGTCTATATTGTAGTTCCAGACAGCCACTTCTGTTTTTCCTATCCACACTTATCAACATTCATGTCATTTGTTTGTTTGGGTACATTGCAATGCAAATAATAATTGTTTTACCCCGTGTTATGCATATATGTAAAGGTTATCCATTACACAGAAAATTATAATTGCCCAGTTAGCTTCGTAGCTCCAATTATATCTATTGTTTCTTTCCAGCTCTTGTTTTCTTAACTTTTAGGTGTCCTGGGAGATTAGAAAGCAAACAAGTAAATAAACACTTAAAACATGAAGAACCTTCATAAAAAAACTCCAGTATTTTCAGTACAAGCAATGGACAACTTATAGGTTACAACCATTACAAGACCTATCCGTATTGTACATAATTTGTTTTTCAAATTTTAAAGTAATGTTGTTGTATTATTTTGTATTATATACTCATATAGCCTGTAAACAAACATAACATTATAGTACAGCTGACTACATTATGCATCATGTCACACGTTTACCCACAGAATTATTTTCTTACAAAGCAAAAAAACATAGATATAATGCACTTGACTCAGTTTTTAATTCAGTATCCAGATATATTTCCCCCCAATAAACCAGAGTGACAGACACTAAGGACGAGAAGAATTGGTTTCGAGTCCCTCTTATGCAATGCGCACTATTTATTAGAGTGTGGAGACTGGGCAGGCCTCTCCAGAATGCCAGGATTCAAAATGGAACCTGCAGAAACAGATGCAGTTGACATGTAAGAAAATAAAATAAATTACTAACTAAATTCCGATTTTTGATCAAAATTGACTAGTTTCTGTAAGAAGTACATTTTCTTTTCTTTTTTACAGTTTTTTATATGTTCTATAACCAACTGATTGTCATGAAAATGCAGTTTGTTAATGTTTTAGCAGCAAATGTAGTAGTAGTAACACTGCCTCTAATTTGGTAAGTTAGTTACTGGGTTAGTTTGTTTCTGTTACATTTACATAAAAGTAGGACAGTCTGAATTCTTAAATCTTCTATCGGGACTTCAAATCTGATTACTTATTTCCTACCTTTCAGTGTTTTTGCTTTTTTTATATTCAAGTTCCTAATTTACCAATCTGCAAAGTGATTTCATTCAGTGTGTCGATGTGAGGAAGGTAGATGTTGCTGAGTCCAGGGGGAGAAAAACAAAGTTCTCCATCAGCCAGCATCACATTGTCATCAAAAACACGCAGCTGTAAGAGACAGTAGACATTGGAATTGTTATAGTTATACATATTGTATTCTTTCAAAGTAATGAGAGAATGCGTAAGTAGACAGTAAATATCTGATGGTGCACCTGCTTCAACAAGAGTTTCTGTGTCAGTTGCAGAAGTTTGGCGCTCTTCTCTCCTCTCAGATTGCTGAGCATCAAAGTGGCTCGTGCCAAAGTTAGAGTGGAACCTGGTGGCATGTATGTCCTTCCTGAAAGCAGCCTAACTGCTTCCTACATGAAGGTAGGGACATGTAGTAGGTGTTGAGTTGCACTAATTCACAAAAAATCATTAGTGTGTTTCATTTCAACAATCTTTTCTCAGAAAGTTATGGCTACTTTTGGTTAAATAAACACAAATAAAATAAGAATTTAGCTTCCCACTTGTTAAAAACATCTTATTTGACCTTTTTCTAATGAATGCATCACCCGGGTTATTAAATATCATTATTAAAAACTGACAAAGAAAAGATAAACAGGCGTGCATTTGTATTGGCACCTGTAGTGTTACGATGCTGTCATTTATCTTCCCTCTCTGTACTTTCAGTTTGGCCCCTTCAACCATCAACAGGGCTTGAGTATCATCGTCTCCCCATCGCACACACTCATCAAGACCTTCTTGTAACAGCCGAGCTATGTCTTCATTAGTGTTCAATCCTTTAAAAGACAAACACAAATTAAAAGTTTAATAACTATTTTACTATACTACTTACTACTAACAAACAGCTTTTGATTACCAACTGCTTTATGACATTGCATTTCTGCAGACAAAACAGACGTGTCAAGTAGTAATAACAAAATGGGAGATTAGTTATTTGTTTACATGTTTGTAATTGTTGTAATATTTGTCAAACATGGTTTACATTGAATAAATCTCTCAGAAAAAAAGTTTACAAAATCCAATGCACAACCACACCTAGGGAAGGTGCCACGGTGTCAGAGGTGTTGGCAGCCAGGCTGCGGATCAGAGCCAAGCAACAGCGTAGCCACAAAGAAACTCCTATTCTTTCTCTGGCTTCAACAGCTCTGGGATTGTCACCCTGCTGGGGAGACACTGCAGTCTTCACTGTCCTTTGAGCATCCTTTAGACAGGATATAACACGCTTGAATACATGCATGCACTCATGCAAGAAAATAGTGAATATGGATTGTGATATTTTTCTACAAAAAAACATAAAGGTTGCAGTTGTAGTACCTGCTTACTCTCAGGTTTGGGTTCTCTGAGAATGGTAGGTGATGTCTGCAGCAGCACCAGAGATGAACCTGCAGTTTCAGAGCTGAGGGAAAACCACAAAATGGTTATGTAGCTACCCTCTGAACATTTTACGCTCAAACCCCTTTATATACAAGCCACATTTAAGGTCGAAGTACCTTAATCCAACCTGCCCTTGCTGTAGAAACAGGTTTGCTTTAAGAAGGTTTGTTTCTATTGTCAGTTCCAGGTTCTCTACTTCACAACATGAATGACAGGTCAGCTGCTGTGTTACGGAGCATAACAAAGAGCTAGCTGCTTCCAGTAGCACAAACTACAAGAAGATAAAGAAAATAGAATAGAGATGGCCCAGTAAGGTTTCAAGAATAAAAGAACTTGCATGTTTGTCAGAAACCCCATAAGAATGGAGTAAACCCTCTAACTTGCTTGTTTGCTGCGTGAGACTTGGTTTGTGAAAGTAAAGGTTTTATCATAGAACAAACCCATGACCCTAAATAGAGATTCTAGTCAACTGAAAGAAAAAAAATTATAGCTATACCTGAAATCTCATATCAGTCATACCTTTATCTTTTCTGGAGAGAGGTTGTCCTTCTCACTATAAAGAGTGAAGATGTTTGTTTCCTCTCTTTTCACATAGGAGTTGTCTGTTTCCAATCTGTCCTGATCGTGGAGCTCTGAGTTCATCAATCTGTTTGGTATCTTACCCAAGGCTCTTTCAGAATCTGAAACACATTTCCTCAATGTGCATGGAATATATATATATATATATAAAGTGAAGCTTTCAGCATTGATATTGATTATATTAAAGGAAAATGGTAAGATTCAGAGCACAGATGCGCATCAGTATTTACGCCTTCTGTATAATGCACACTTACTTTGTTCACTCCATTTCAATGAGACACATCATATATTACAACCACTGAAATGAACCTCCTTATTTGAAAAAAAAATGTTTACCTGGGACTGGACATCCATGTACAGAGTTTGAGAGTGCTAGGACAAGCTGAATACGAGCCAGGTTAAATCTGGCACACAGTGTGGGTCCACACAATGCGCAGACCACCGGAGTAAAGTCACACTTCACAAGGTCTTCCAAAGCCTATCCACAAGTAGCACATACACAAAAACAAATGTATTCGTTTACTATTTAAATCCAATTTAAATAGGAATCAGAGAATCACTGAGTTAAAACTCCTTAAATTGTGATCCATGTTTATACATCATTTAGGAAAAAAAAGTTATTTTTAATGGATTTACCTTGAGATTGTTAGGTAAGGTTAATGTCTTTTTATAATTACATTTTTCTTCAACGATTTCTATTGATGTTAGGAGAGTCTGACCACTGTGTAATGGGGCTTTCTTGTGGGCACGACATGAGTGAAGATTAAGCCTGGTGTGTCCTGAAATACGTCGGTGCCACCAAATAAAAAAGATTCCTGGAAAAACCGACTCTTTGTTTTTGATCAGGTGTTGTATTACTATAACATTAAGGAGCTTCCTTTCAAAGATTTTTTTTGGTCTGTTTAAACCTCTTAAATCAAATCAATTAATACAATAAACAAAAAGAAATCCATAAAGAGAATACCTCCAAATTGTCCAGAAGAGGCTTGTTGCTGTAGAATGTCTTCGTGGGCTGTGTAATGAGAGCATACACTGAAATTGCGCACAGAAATTAACACGTGTCTTGTGTTTGTGCAGAGTTGGGTAGAGACACAAAAGACATAAACATTTTTGTGACCTGACATGATAAATTTAGACAATGAGGAAACGCAATGAGCTCAAACATTCTTCAAAGAAGGAGCCAAAAGAAAAAACAAGTGCACACAAACAAATTATTCAAATATAATTAATTAAATATGTGTTCAAAACTATTCCCAGTGACAGCACAGTGAAAAGTAGACAATGAAAAAGAAATAAGAACCTTCTAAAGGAACAGCATAAAATGACATACATACTTGAAGATTTAAATTGGCGCCGTAGTGTCCATAGGGCAGGAAGACACCTACTCCTTGTGTAAGCTGAACTGCCTCCATCAGAGCTTCAGCAAACAAGCATAGTTCTGTCAGGGCGCGGACCTACAAAAAACAGAAACAGGACAAAAAGCTCTACTATAAAATGAAGAATATTTAAATTGAAGGACAATAGACAACTCAAATACTAACCTTAAGAATTTTGCCTTCAATGGTGCGTTTTACATCTCGGCATACATGCCCCACAAAATGTAGGTAAAGGGCCAGTACGGGCAGAAGCTAAAACAGCAACAGTTAATTTCTTACTACATCAATTCTTGAAGTTGGGTACTGAATTCTATGATAAGAACTCTGTTTACCGTGATGTAGTAGCCTGTGTTGAATAGCCAGTTACAAATGAAATGAAGGCTTGCTACAGTGGTGCCGAGGTGGACCCTGTGGGGCTCAGAGAAAAGGTCAACTCCAGGAAACAGTTCATCACTGATGCTGTGGGAGGCATACTGCAGGTCGGCTTGGGGCTGAGCCACTGAGCAACACAGCACACACTAGGAAAGATAGTCATAATCACACGTAGATATCGTAATGGACACAAATAGTTTTTTTTTAAAAAGGTAGAAACCATCCTTGTAAGAAAATATATCAGCACTTGTTGGAGGAATTACCTTAAAGAGGTAAGCCGAGAGCAGAGAGTACTTTGTTCGCTGGGTGATATCAGACGTTAGGATAAACCTGGAAAAAAGATGGTTGGCCTAAACAGCATGGCAACACACAACCAGCACATTCAAATATGAGCACAACCTACTGTGCTATCTTAGCTGTGAGCACTGCAGCCTGTAGACATCCCCAAAGTCCAGCCTGTTTTATGGTTTCTTGCAGGGAGCCACATACAAAGGACATGCCGTCCCATCTCTCTACTACACCTGAAATCTGGAAGATGCAATCTATGGCTTTACTCCAGCATGAGTTCGCTGCTCTGGAGAAAGATAAACACAACAGAGGACTGAAACTATTAGAAAGGAAATCAGAACAAGCAAAATTTGCATTTACATTTTTAGATAAAAATGCAAACAACAAATAGCTGTGGGCTCGCTCCAGCTCATGTAAAAACACACATATAAACGAGATTTCTAACCGTGTGTTTCCAGTGTAGAATTGTAGGTTTCCCAGTTCATGTAGAGTCAGAACTCTGAGGGAGTCTTGACCGTTAGCCTGAAGGTACTCTAGGAAACATTGAAATAAAAAAGTGGGAGAAAAAGTGAGATCGCTGAGCAAATGGCATCCCAACTCTTCCAATCTGTTGTCATTTGATCTGCAACATCTTTTAAAAAATCATAATTCACCATATGCTTCATGAGTATTTAGTGTCCTTACTGACTGAATTGGAGTACGCAGCTGTAACAGTTGATATGTGGTCAGAGCTGATAGGGAGGCTATAGATTGCATTTGGAGAGATAAAGTCCTCCTCATTCAGGTCACAAGGCTGGATGTTTGGGGTGGGTATAGTAGCTGGACTGAACTTCACCTGGCTTGCTGAACAGCTGAGGCCTCTGCTCAGACGGAACTGCGTCACCAGGCCTAAAGGGGACACCAGTAGTGTGTTTTAGTGTTGAATAAAAGCACGTTTACATTATTGATCCATCAGCGGAGGACTCACAGGGCTGTGTGTTTGCCAGAAGCTGCACCAACAATGACCGACTATGTTGAAGAACTTGAAGGAAATATGGCATTTTCTCGACAGCTTGACGGTAACAGCTCAATGTGTCTTTGATGTCAAGAGGAACACATATGAGCGACTTGGAACGCTGCATCACTGCATTTTAGACATATAATATTAATATTTTAAAACATTACAATTTCTCTCACCTGTTTGATCTTTGTACTCAATAAAAACACAGTTGTCATTTAATGACTGAAAAGTTCAGTTTTTTCATCGAGTTTAGAATTGATTTTGACATGTCTTTTCAAACCTTGTAGTAAAGCTGCATCTCCAGGAGTGGAGATTGTACGTGCTGCTCTTTTGTGCTTGGACTGTTGCTGTGCAGGGTTAGGGGCCCACCCACAGAGCAGCTGGCAGCTTGCATAGCTTCTATAAGTTATCTAAAATGTAGGACAAACGACACCACAATCACACATATACAGTACAAACCAAATTATATAAGGAAAATGATTATCATTATATTGGAAAGAGATTATTTGCTACTTCATGAAAACTACGGTTACTTTTGGCATGCTTTGCTTGTCTTAATCATTTTTTTAAATAACTTCCATTGGATAAATATTGAGATCTGGTATTACAAAGGAAAAACTGCAATAATCAAATTTTTTTATAAGATCTTTTATAGATTTCATGTTAATTTTTTTATTTTGCTACCTCTTTGCCTGTGACTCTCTGTGTCTTGACATGGTGTGGTTGTGGCACTGTAGGTCCTCCAAGATAAATAATTCTTTCAAGCAACCTCCTCTGAGCATGGACCAGCAAAGGAACTATGATCACGGCATATCGTTCCCTAGGTCAGACATTTAGAAAAGGTTACACACACAACCAAAACTGTCTTAAGTGATTTAATGGAGCTTAAACTTTATGTACAAATCTCATATTCACCGTGTGTATGAGTTGAAAAGTAAAGCATAATGGGCCAGGCTCTCCCATTTGCTGGTTTCATGGAGCCGTTCCAGAGTGTGCAAAACCAAGGTGCGAACCCAGCGCAGGTCCACCTGTGTGTTGTCATCCAGGAAAGGCGAAAAGTGAAGACTTGACTCCAGTTCCTCTTCAGTCATGTCATGATCGTACAAACTCCAAAGCTAGGACAGGCAAACAATGAAAATCAAAAGCCTTGTTTGCAACCCGTGGTGACATGATTGGCCGCTAGCAGAAGAAAAACAACACACATTAAACCTTACATGCATGCACATAGAGATTTGCATCACTGACCTGTAGTTTGTTAAGCATGTCCATGATCAGATCAGTCGCCAGCACCAGCAAAGGGGTGAAGATGGTGTGCAGCTGGTGTGCTGTGACAGGGGAAGGTGTTTCAAACTGAGCAGCTGTCTGCACCAAGAGAGTGATGCGGCTGGCTTGGTCCCACAGAGTCTGACAGACACACTGTAAAGTATTCCAGTGGCTACCACGATGGGCCAAAACCTGATAAAATAAATAATAAAATATGGATACACAAAGTACACTGAAGAATACTTCAAATATCTGTAGAAAATACTAAAAGCTCCATTGTTAAAGGTACTCATAGTTTGAACATGCTTCAGCAGTACCATCGCTCTTTGAAGATGTAAAGCAGCTTTGTTCAGTAACTCTAGCAGCGGAGAAGAGTTGCATCTCCGCGTCTCCATCTGCTGATCCACATTTTCAAAAGAGTATTCCACCTCATCACCATTCTCAGTGGCTGAGTCATCTGCTGGAAAAAAGCTTCAGTCAAGTGATGAATGAGGGACCTTGTAAAAGACGTTTTTAGTGAGCCACTAAACTCACCACCCTTTTTCTTTCTGTCTGTGTTTGGAGTCATCAAATAAGCAGAGTGAGAGGAGGCCTTCTCTGACACATCATCAATATCAGGAGGGTGCACCCGTTGTGAATCCCTCTTCACCAGGATACCAGAGTATGCCAAAGAGAAGCTCAGCGAATTAAACTTGCTGTACCTAAGAAAAGCATAGATTGGTTTATATTATCATATAGTATGTGGAGAATTAATCAAGAACACCGAAATAGATAATGAACAACTATTTTAAACAGCCACATTATCTATTTCACGGCAGTTTCACTTTATGACCTCACTTTTACTTTTTGCTTTTCATTTGTCTTGTTTTACTTCACTACCTTATATTCACAGTAAAGTAATGAGTAAAACATTAATGACTCTTATTTTTTAGACCAGGATACAGCAACAAATTATCAATCTGATCAGAAATATCACATGTATAAGGCTCTCTTCCCACAAAACACCGAAATAGTGTCTCATATTTTATTTCTTAGCTATTAGGACGTTTTTCAGAGCCACAATGAATGTAAGACATGGATGGATGTAATTTCAGAATTATATGTGGCGACGTAAGCAGTCAGTGATTTTAATTTAATAAATCACTCAACAATGCATTAGCTTTCCATTTCTTTAAGCTACTGAGCTGAAGTTCCCTGGTGTGGCCATAAGTAATGGTAACAACTGAACGACAACATGGTGTGTACTATGTGTATAAACCTGTGCTGCTGGTTTCCTCTGTGCAGCTGCTCTAGCTCCTGATAAAGTAGTGCTAGATATGCCTGGGCCATGCAATAGTTGAGGTGAGTTCTCCAAACACTTTCCTGAGAACAAATGCTCCTCAGCTGAAGATGTTTTTTGTGGCGTTGCACCACAGACGCCATTGCATTCAGTAGGTGCTCCGCCATACGCATGTCTCTAGAAACACAGGCACAAACACACATGAGAAAAATGTTTCCAACTCAAAGCTGTGATGAAATAGGTAACATCATCAAACTGATAATTGCATACTGTAGGGCACCTGTTGGTTCTTACACCCATGCTGGTCGGCATTTTCTGTTTGAGCTTCTTTCTGGCATCATCGTGTGAATTTGTGTTCTTGCTCTGCTATAGTAAAACAAGATATTTAGAGAATGTAATTAACATGTAGAAAAGTAAACAAAACCGAATTGTCAGTGTCTTTGTTCCTCAGTGAACTGATGATGTGGGTATTGGAAATGAACAGAATCTCCATAGCACCTTCATCTATCATAACAAAAGAATTCAAAATAGAGTGTGTGTGTGTGTGTGTGTGTCTATGGTGTATGCTTTATTTTTCACCTGAGGGGCTTCATTTCCCTTCGGAGCTTGACAACCACCTCTCTTTTTGCTTATGCTGTTTGCTTCCAAACATTTTGTCGACAATCTCAAAATATTGTCACGTCTAAGAAAAAGAAGACAGTCTATTTACTGTCAGATAAGGATATTTTAAATGAAAAACTTCTTCTATACTTATATTATAAAAGTCTTAATAATTTTAATCACTGAATTTAAAAATATCTAATCTATATTTTCATTTACAAATATCAGTTGAGATGTGTGTAGTAAAAAAAAATACCTTGATAGAAATTGAAACATGTTTTTCCCCCATGTCAACACAAGGTCTAGGTGGCCTTCTTCCATGGTCCTCTGGATTAGAAGCGCAGCAAGTTCAAGAAAAACTGGCTTACGTCTGAGCTTCATCACTATTGAGAAATCACAAACATGAAGACATGTGGGGCTGAACAAAAATGTTCATTCATTGGATAAAATATTCAACTGTGAGGCACTTACCGCTAGAATAGGCGTCCTGTAATGTGCTGCTGGAGATAAAATCATACAGTAAAATGGGATCTTCGGAGCCTGTCAGGGCCTGCAAACTCTCTGCTGAAGAAAATACATTTGAATTAATTTAAAAGCATGAAAAATAACCCTTTTTAAATAGATTATATGGGTCTTATTAAATTAGAGTTATTCATCTGAGAACTGGAAAAAAATTCTTATATTAAAGAGAGTTTGTGGGATGTTTTATGGAATCAAGGTATACACTATTATGATAAGTCACATTCATGAACAGGTCTGAGACTCCTTTTTTGCATCTTTTTTCGTACTTGTTTACTGTATTACAACCAAAAGTGTTGAAAAATCTTGTTCCTATTGATTAATGCTATTATACGAATTAGCTAAACATTCCTATGAATAGCTTAATTTTCTTTGCATTACCATTGTCTGCGTTGAGAGAGATCTCTGAAGATCTTTCTTGGTTATTTTTCCTATTCAGAGCGTTCAGCTGTAGGCTTATATGATGAGGGACAGTACCATGACGAACGATCTTACGCTATAGGATGTCAAAACACACAAAATCACAATAAATGTGGGAAAATGTATTCTCAATTTAACACTAAAAGTAGAAATCTTAATAAATGCTATGAAGTTGCAAATCTTACAGTCTGAGTTTGGTTTAGGAGCTTGTTGATCTGCAGCTGGGCATCGTACACCTCCTGAAGCAGCCTGCGACCACAGTCCATCACTCCAGCAGCCATCTGATGTCTCCCAAGTTCACGTGATGCCTGTATTGAATTGAAATCAGTAATTATTTACTGTCTGGTTGTAATTTTAAATTATAAGGCACAGCGAGTGTATAAAATGTGAATAAAAATGAGTCAATTGTAAATCACAGTCACCACAAAAAGCAAAAAAGGATGTTATTTGTATATGGAATTATGTACATTTTGTGAAGGCACAGTAGGTCTCATTAATCTGCGTATTAAATATGATAACAATGTTAAAGGGCTAAATGACACCCATTATTGTAATCTAATCAATTCATGTCATATTCCACACATTTCCACACATGCACCTTTGACAGATAGAAAGTGATGGAGGCTATCATATGCATCAGTGATTCTGAGGTGTTCCCTCTCCATCTGTCTTTGAGAAGGCCTGAATTCTCCTCCAAAACCACCAAACACTTTTTCAGCACCTGAACATATAAACACACACACAACTGTTATCATCAAACAACTTACATCTGCAATACTGATTTATATGAGGATTTTGCATACTTGCACTACAGGGTCATCTGTGATCTGATGGAAGATTAGGGGCGCTAATAGTTCATAGCAGGTAACAACAGCCTGTACAGCAGCACTACCGTCATTCAAAAACATTGCCAAATCGATAGCTATCAGCATCCGCTCACACTCTGCCAGTCTGGCTTCCTGCAAACACACATAACATAAAGATAATGCCTGCATTTTACATAACCTCAAGAGACTAAGGCAGTTTCAGATTGTAATACTGCTAACAAAGAGAGAAAAAGAGGGGCTGTGTTATCTAGAAAACATACATATTTTGTGCATATTGACTTAACTTAGATCAGTTTTTACCTTTTCCCAGATAAATGGTCCAATGTCACTGAATGAGTTGCAATATAGTGATCCCATCTTATTATTGATCTCTGTGTCAACGAAGATAGAGGTCAGGAACAACTGGCATTGATGAGGCGAGCAGTGTTGTAGGGCTTGTAAATGCAGCCTGAGATATGGAGAATGGGAAGGTGTTGAGAGTTGAATTTAGAAAGGCTGCATTATTGATTTATCTGTTTGTATAGCGTTTTCTATCCTCACCCTCTCGCAGCAATTCTATCCTTTTGGCTGTTTAACTCAGAATCCACATCAGTAAAATGGCTCCAAAGTTCCCGACAGGCTTTCTTAGCTATGTCATACTGCTCTGTTTGAAATGCCACCTGAGGAAGAAACAAAAAAAAATGAAATATTTAATCCTGTAATGCCTGTTTGTCTGCTTCATTTCAATTTCAATATTAAGTGTTGGACCTGAGCGAGGTGAGCCCATGTGGAGAGCAGAGGAACAGGCAAAGATGCCAAAAGTGGTAATGTTGTCCCCCCAATGGTGTTTCCCAGGAGCTCCCCCTTGCCATTGTAGGCTGCAACTGCAAATACATACTTCTGGTTGGGTTGCAGGCCCCCTACAGTTAGCACACACTCACCGGAAACAGCTGGTACCTGGAAAAAAAAAATCAGGCTTAGTTTCATATGCATATAATTGAATCATGTTTCACGAAACACTCTTCTGTGAAAAAGTAAAGGGCACCATAATCCCCGTTCCAAGCAAACTACAGTCGCTGAGGCGAACTTTCCGGTCAATGCCTTCAGCTGCTCGTCCACAGAGCTGGTACCAATGCACCTAAGAGGTAACAAAAATAAAACTATAAAGATGAAAATAACTGAGGTTGTGTGGATTATTTATCTATTTCTAAAGTAGTGTGGTAATCCCACATCTGAAAGCCAATCTCACTTGTTCCTCCAAGCCATATGGAGCTGGGCCAAAGGTAAAGGAGTGGTCAGTGCGTGAGAGGAGGATGGGAGGAGGAGGAGGGTTGTCTGATTTGCACTTCATTGTTTCATCCGTCTTTTCAGCTGGAGTCTTAGAAATGGTCATATACAATTTTCTCTCCTCCATACATGCCTTTTCTACCAGGGCCAAGGCCTCCTATGAAGACCAAGAGAGAAGTCCAGTGAAGCATTAATCATGCGGACGCTGGCAATATATTGTCAGAAATGTTACAACGAGAGAGTTTAAAATTAAGTTGATTGATTGTTACAATTGATTAGCTGGTAGTCAGTTAAAAGATCATTTTATTACTGAGTAATTGTATTTTTCGAGTAATAATATCAAGTCGATTAAGTTTCTAAACTGCATGTGTAACACTGTTAAAAAATCATGAAAAAGACACTTATGAAAATTATGATTACTAGCAGCTTTTCACTTAATCATTCAAACAGGTTTGATTTAAGCAGGTGATACAGTATCTTTCAAAAGAAAGATGACATGATTTGTAAATATTAAGCAATGAATTTTCACTTATGAGAAACTGTGCATCCTTGAATATTAACTCAAACAATGTTTCATTACATTTATAAACAGTAAAATGTAGTTTTATCTAACCTCGAGAAGACTTTTAGTTTTGCAGCTGTTATTTTGAATCACACTGTTGTGCTCCAACAAAGCCTTCTGGGCCAGATAAAGAGCTTTTGACAACTTATTCTGTTTGATCCGATCCAAAAGCTCAGACTCAGCAACTGGACAAGAAAAAACATATAAATACATCTCAGGGCAGATAAACATATCTTGAACCATTTTTTATTTTTAAAATCAATGTCACACTTAAATTCTGTTTGCAAATCAAATTCAATAATGAATTTTTCACCATCGTAAAATATAATGATGACTTCAAAAATGTTTCAAGAGTAAGTGACTACCGTAAATGTATGTGTGTGACAGTGGGTCTGACCTGCATTGTCTTTCAGTAATTTGAGGGAAGCCCTGTGGTGGATGATGTCCAGCTCTAGATGGAAGTCTTTGGCCAGGAGAAATGTAGATTTGGACTGAATGTTCTGACAGCCTCTCAAGTCTGTTTCAGCTTCCATTTCTTCTTTTCTGCACATACTTATTTCATTTGTGCCTTTTCTTTCTTCTGATGATGTTGCAGATGACATGGCAGTACTTTGTGCATAACAGTGGATCCATTTCTATCAACAAGAGGAAAAAGAGATGGCTCAAGGTCAAATTAAACTTAATTTAAGTCAACAGTGCAGTGTGAATATGTGGTAACCTCTACAAAGTTTTAACTGATTACCTGCATGAATGCAGAATCAGTGACTGCTGAACAGTCTTGAAGATTCAGTAAAGATACATGTTTTGCCAAAGCGTCAAGTCCTCTTTTTACCACCTTACAAACCTTCTTTAGCAGCTCTGTACTTGATGTCTGCAAGTGCACACACACACGCAAAGAAACCTCAGACATAAAAAGCCAGTTATTTGTTCAGTCATTTGCATAATCTAAGTTATCGTTTGATAATATAAAAAGCAAATACCCCAAGAAGAGAGAAAGAGCTTTGCTTCATGTTGTCATGATCTCCTGCACAATCTGATTGAAAACATTGTGGAGACAACAAAACATTAACAACATTGTCACAGCTATTCTTTCTGTTGTTTTTAATGTTCAAGATGATCAAGCCCAAAAAATAATAGTGTAAGTTTCAATTATTCAAAATAATCTCACCTTGTTCTTGTGTTTGACAAAAACATTCAGCTGCCCTCTCAAGCTGTACACCCAACATGTAGATCATCTCTGCCATCATTATGCAGTCAACAGTTGCCACTTCCAAGACAAGGGCCACCTCACACAGCACAGACAAACACCACACCCACTGTTCATGAGAGAGATAACATGTCTCTAAGTAATACTTTTAAAATGGTAAATGTTTAGGTAAAAGTATTTGACAAAAGGTATAAACTCCATATGCGTTTGTGGGACTGCTTTCCTCTTTAAATACAAACCTTGTCATTAGCTGGCTTTTGAGCGTGCTGCATAAAGCTTGGAACGTGATGATCCTGCATGACCACCTTCACCTCATTCCAAAGAAATAACACAGTATCCAAAACCAGGTCTCCATCTGGTTTCAGCTCCTATACATACACATGTAGTATGTGTGATACATCTGCACACTTAAAACCACCTCAAACATTTTTTTTTTATCTGAACATGAATCTAAAACTACAAGGTTAACAGATGACAGAATGCAAACTTACAGGACCAGAGCCACAAACAGACATGTGAAGGGTGTCCACAAGACCAATGAGCTCATCACTCATGCAGATGAGTCTGTCTTTGGAAACATTAAAAAGGGGGGGAAACTAAAACATATTAGAGTGCATGAACTTGACAAAAGCATGTAAGATATTACCCAATCACCTATCAAAATGTGTTCATTTTTGGGAAAATAATGTTTAGCCTTTTTGGGTAAATGTAGATTTAACAACAGCAATAATTGACTTCCTAAAAAAAATCACTCAATTAATTAATCAATCAAAAGAAAGCCCTGTGGCACAGTTTTGCTATTGTTACCATTCTTTATGTTGTCCTCTCTGGGATGGCTCTTCTGTGAAGACATCAGATTGTTGAAACTCTGAAGTATTGCCAACTCACACTCTGCCTTTCTGAATGGCTGTCCTTCCACACCCTGGCAAAGAAAGAACTTCCATACTCAATTACGATAATGATAATTTAAAGCTGATTTAACATGAGCTACTCACAGGCAGAAAATTCAGCATCTCTTTGGTAAGCTCATTGAATGCATCCTGCTGCTTATACTGAAACAACAGTTTGATGAACCTCACAGCACACAGGATGGATATCTTGTTTTCACCTGGTAATGCATAACATCACATAATCATACATCAATCAATGATCTCTCGACACTTTTAGCATGTGATAACCAGCTGTATGTACCGACTGTGACTTACCTGCAATTGCTAAATCTATCAGGGTTGATGCTGGTGTCAGCACAATAGGAGAGATACATTGGTTGTCATCACAGCGTTGCTCGCCAGTTCTTGTTGCTCCTTAACACATATCAGTGAAAACTAGCATGACTTACCAATGATTCCCAATTGTTTTTCTACGTAAGACTTGTATACATAGATACCTATATACCGTGGTTTACCTTTGGTGTGTCTGTTCTACCCACCAGATAGTATGTTGATGCCAGCAGACAGGAGTTCCAGGACCACCTCGTGCAGATCTGTGTCTTCTGGCATCCTCATTTGTAGAGGGCGTCTGTTGCTGTCCCACAGTGCCTCCAAAATGCCCAAGAACTGTCCTGCACTGCAGTCGAACAGGCCCATCAGCAAACGTTCTGTTGGGGTACGAGGCCAAGGCCCCTACAGGTAATACAGGCAGATATAGAAGCATAAGAAAATGTTAAAAGAACAGCAATAACCTACAAAATAAGATGACAAAAACCCTGATTGGGCCTTTTATTTGACAGGTGCTTAATACATGAGGGATACACAGGACATGTTAACCTATATGGAGCAAACTATTATTAATTTCAACTACTCATTAACCAATCAATTATTACACTATGCCAAGTCAATACTAAATTAAATATTAAGGAAGTAGAGTGGATAAGAGGACAAATATCAGTGCAAGTCAAATGACTATGCAAGTCCATACTGATGAGTAACCCATGTTTGGTTTTATTTCTAACAAACTTCCTACGTGTTAAGAATGTGATGACACTGCACTAGAGTTGATGTTGTTACATTTGGAATGTCTTTTAGAGTATTTTTAGTTTTGACTCGAAATGCATGTTTGGATCTTCTTCTGGTCTCAAACGCTGCACGCTTGAAAATCAAGGCCCCCAGCTGAAACAAACAAGCAAAAATGGTTCATAATTATCAATTTGAAGGTCAATGCATTTAATTTATTTTACATCAGCATGAAAACAATGCTAACTTCTTTTGTTTTTAAAGGCAAAGAGGTATCAGTTAGTGATGTGAATAATGATTTTCCCACCAAAACTGTCATCACCATAACCACGGCAAAGTACAATGACAAGAGTCTCCTGCCTTGATAGAGGCCTCTCTAAAAGCTCTCTGAGTCTCTCTGCTGGCAGGATCTTCACACTGCGCCTCCAGCTTTGCTAGCTCATTGATTTTTCCAAGGGCTCTTCTGGCAAATTCCTGCAGGTATTTGATAGAAAACAAAAAATTAAAACATTGAAAGCAAACATCTGTATCTGCATGTTCAAATACAACAAGTGTTTTTACCAAGGTTTTGTGAGATTGAAAAATAATACCGCAAAAAATTATTTCTACTTTTTTCATGTCAATTTAATTTCATTCTAAAAGATCCATAAAAAGAGAAGAAACTCAGCTGGTGGTTGGTTCAATAAAATCTTTGATCATTAGATTCACATGATTATAAATAAAAACCAAAGTAATCTTCTTTGAGGTGATTTAATGGAAGGCTAGGCAACATACAGCAGCACATACAGATTTATGAATGAACAAATTCAAAGATGGGCCTGTGAATAGTCCTTTGTGACTGTGTGTCGTCTTTCACCTCTGCTTGCACTTCAGCCTGGTTGTCATAGTAACAGTGACATACGGCACAGTAGAGCGTGATGATCAAGGGCAGATATTTGGCTGTCATGAGAGTGACAGACAACTCTAAACTGATGCTTGCCCAAAGAAGGTACTCCAGTGCCTAGATAGGAAAATAAATGTTGGTATTAATTTTGAAAGAGTTCTAATGAAAAATATCAAAGGTTAAATGAAACAGCAGATTTGTTTAATCTAATTTAGATGATTTAGCTGATCTGCTTAATAAATGCACCCGATGATGCTCAAGAAAGTGAATTAAAAAAAAAGAACAATTAGCTGAAGAACACATTCAAATGGAACAGGAAATAATCTGGATGGAAAAATGAAGTACAACATCCATCAATCCATTTTCTGTACAACTTATTCCCAAGGAAAAAAACAGGATTACTACACTGGGAATGTTGTCCAGCATTCTCCCAGTCAAAGAGAAAATAATGCTGAATAGACTTTAAACAGTAATAATAAGGAAAGAGTATCAAATGTCGGGCAGTGTTTTTTCAATCACTATTACCCAATTTTTTATCACTGCCATAAAAAAGAAGAGACGCTCTACAGCTTATATAGGTTCCATCTGTCCAACAGTACCTGTGCACTGCATCTCATCGTCATCAAGTAACGGCAGATGGTGTAGATGTGCGATGAACCTGTGTGAAGTGAGAGAGAGAACATTATTATTATAAAGTAGGAAGATAATTGTGAACCAAGAAAAGGCTCAACAATGTCAACCTTAAAGGGGACATTGTCCAAAGGACAAACTTGCTCAAACAAAGGTTATTTGGAACAAGCATGACTTTTTTAAAGAATTTGTTTGTTTTTTTATTTACTTTTTTTTTTCTAACGATCCATTTTTGGTATGCAGGCTCTGTAGGAACGTAATTGTGGAAAAGTGCAACTTATTCTATAGAAATCTATGGAAAAAAGCCTAATTAACACAATCAATTAAAAAAAATGTGTGGATGAATTCTGGTTGAAACAGTATCAAGCTTCATCCCCTGTTAACTGAGGGTCACTTAAGTTGTTCAGATATCATACCTTCATATATATGCCAGGACAAGTGGTCATGTTGCTGAAAGGCCTGCATCATGATTCTTATAAAATCCAACACACACAGCAATTTAACGAGTCCCCTCTGGCTGAGAACGCTATGCTTTTTCTCCTCCTCAAACGTACACAGGGCACAGCCAAGCATTGCACGGACCTAAAACACACAATCAAACACACACACAATCACAGATAACAATGGCAGGATTTCAGTACTTCTTTCTAAAAGCACATTTCTCCACATGGGAACACAAGAAAGTATAGTACCTTCATGGCAATGATATCTTGGTCTGAGTCAAAGCCCTCGGGGAAGAAGCTGGATATAAAGTGGTCCACATCTTTGATGTTGATTATTTCCACCGAGCTAAAATGTGACAGGTAGAAACTGTAGCCTTGCCACAGAGCCGGCTGGTATAACTTCAGATGTAGAGCAGAGGGGAAGAAAATGTTAAACTGCAGCTGTAAAGTGGTGTCAGAAGCACATGCGCAAACTGGTGAAAATCAAACAGCCCTATGATGATAATTGATAAAATGCTAAAGTCCTTAGAAAATTGATACTGATGTAAACATCTGCAGCAGTGGAAACCCACTCTTATCAGTCATTAAAGCATTACCTTGAATCCAAACAGGAAATCTGCTATTTGCAGTATGTGCTCCAGGTATAATTTTTCAGGCAGTCGATGTTTGTACTTTTTCCATACCTCTGTGATCATTTTGATCCTAAAAACAAAATAATTTTAAGATGAAACAGAAATGCAACATGGGAAAGCATTTATCTCATACACTTGACATATAAAAGAACTAGCTCTCGTTGTTTAACTACCTACACAATTGCTGTACTGCTTTGAAGGAAAGATCAGGCTTTTAATGGATCATTTAATTATTTTTTAAAACTTTTTTTGAACAAACGAACCCACGGCAACATCCTTTGCTTTTACCCATAATTTGCGTCACTAGTGTTCCTACAGCAAATGCTATTAGAAAAGGTTTTGACCTAAACTAAAAGTAATGTTCCGGTTACAGTTGGAAAAAACGTTGCAAATGCGTTGCATAAAGCTGACATGAACTGAAATGAGCAAACGTTCAGTTTGAGTCGTTGTCTTACCCTTTAGCCATGCTGTTTTGGTTGGACGAAGACGCTACTTGTTTCATCAGTACAAAAAACGAGTTTATTTCACGTTTGAAGGCTAAGATAACCGGGTTTCTTTTATCAAGTTTACCGTAAAACGAAGCTGGTAGGTCCATTTCTGTGCACATAAAGGGCATTTGACTCAACTAAACTGTCTTAGCCATTGGTGTTATTTGCATCACCATGGAAACAAAGCTCACCTGCGGGGACAGGAAGTAGGTGGAGAGAAACAATATAAATACTAATTATTACAATTCAAATCACTCCATTGTTGTTAAAGCCCGTTTATTCCTTAGATGGAAAAAAAGCCGTGCGCACAAGTATACGCAAATGACTGTCATTCATTCATAAAATAAAACGAATTAAGCGTCCTTGCTCCATTTGAGGTATTTTAATAATGATCTACAGAGGAGGAACATGTGAATGTCCATGTTTATTAATAAAAAAAGCAAAGCATTTTAAATGAAACCACAAACCTTCACCTTGCTAGTTTAGTTTTTGCAGGATGGCTTTATATAAAAAGTCAGGACAATTTTGTCCTTTGCAGCAAGCATAATTGCAAGAAAATTCTAACAGTGGACGTCGGTTTGTGGCATGTTATTTTAAAAGTCTCAGAAGATTCTTCAATTTAATTATTGTGATTTTGCCACGATGACTTGTTTTCAATGAGTGGTGGGATGAAGCAGAAAATAAAAGCAGTTAGCAAAAACTCTTGGAAGGACTTTGTGTTTTAAATCTCAACTCATGGCTAAATGATACTCATACAGAGTGTCATCTAATGCTGTACCAGACAAACTCATCATTTCCTATTCAAGCATACATCCACTCCCCGAGCAGAACTAAAGCTTCTGGCACTCAAAGCACAGCAGGCTAATACTCTGTCTGCTATTTCCCAAACAAAATCACACACACACCGGACAGGGGAATTTCCTGGGGAATGAATATGGAGGCATCAGCAGTATTCCTAGCCAGTGTCCCCTCTTGGCCGAGAGTACAGGGAAGGACACAGGGTTAAAGAGAGCGGGAGAGAGAGACAGCCAGTCACAGTCAGACAGATAAAACAATGGTGGTTATAAACAGTTGACATCATTGTTCCAGAAAGATCAGCCTGTTGGCAGAGCCCCCATGTAAGTGGGTATGGGGGGTTACACAGAGCTGGAGGGTAGAGGACTACATGAACAGAGCAGGGGCTGGATGAGATGGGGGAGAAGGCCTATAAAAACAGTTTCAGAGAGCACAGCAGCACCAATCGCAGGTCGGACCAAGACGCCACGATCACCATGGATATTCCCATTCAGTACCCCTGGTACCGCCGGGTCTTCCCAAACCGCTTCTCTGAGCTCTCCTTGGCAGAACCTCTCACTGACTGGCCAATGATGATGCCCTTCTCCTTCCCATTACTGTTCTCACGCCCATCTATGATGCGTTGGTTCAACTGGGCTGACAACGGACACAGTGAGGTACCGTCCCATTCTGCTTTACTTCTTGCTTATGGTTTGTAATCTGTCATTTACTAAATTTGAAAGTCATGTTTCCATGAAATTTAGTTTACATTCATGTTAAAAGTGGCATTAAAGAACACTGTCTGCCCCTCAGCCAGGGCTCTTTCAGTTTAGAGAGACTGCTGATTAATCTACGCAGTGTAACAGGTGTTTTCTTTGTGTAGATGCGCATGGAAAAGGATCGCCATGTCATCTACCTGGATGTAAAGCATTTCTCCCCCGATGAGCTGTCTGTCAATGTCAGTGATGAGTTCATCACAATACACGGCAAACACGAAGACAGACAGGTTGGAGGGACCCATAAGATCAGAATAACAAAATAAGCTTCTTTGTAGCCATTTTTTCTGACTAATTCTGTTTTCAGGACGATCATGGCTTTGTGTCAAGAGAGTTTCTGAGGAAGTACAGGGTTCCATCTGGGGTGCAAGGAGCTGAGATCACCTCCAGCCTGTCATTTGATGGTGTGCTGACTATCACAGCTCCTCGGTCATCTGCTGGAACAGAGCGCGCCATTCCAATGACCTATGATGATGGAGCCCAGAAACAAAAAATGTAGGGCAGAGTCTGACAGCCTCTACACCATTTTACTAACTGCAAGGGGCCATCTGTTTTTATATTTAACCTGTTATTGTTGTCTTTGCATTACAGTACACATATAGATCAGGCAAAAGCATGTGGGCTTTATACAGATACAGTGAGATGATTTGATAAATCTGGCTTTTCCTTTAAAGAACAACTTCTCTCAACAGACCCACTTATTTTCCTGTATTTTATTGAACAAATTTATATATATTAATATGGCATTTGTGTCTGTACCAGCTCTGCACTTTAAAGACAGCATTCTATTATCTAAAGCAACCAAAAAGATTTGAAAACCTCTTAGATCTGCTCCTTAAGGAGGAGGAGCAAAATTGTAGATAATCTTTCAAGATTCTTGGTTTAGATGCCGAACGTGCTTTTTCCCCCATGTGAGAGCAACATTGGTTTCTGTTTATGTGAGGAAGGGTGGTGCAAGAGTGTTTACAATAATTTTTGATTTGTTCATTAAAAAAAGCCACTGAATGACTTGGGACCAGGTTTGTGCACTGTTGCAGGAAAAGCAGAAAGTGAATGAGACAGCGGGACATAGTAATGAACAGGAAACAATGTTTTGTCACTGGGCTTCCTTTTGACTTGGTATCCTGACCACTGAGCTGCTAAAGGTACTGTGTGTGAATGTACGGTCTCTGATAGTATGTGCATTTGTTCCTCTAGATTCAAGAATTTAACTTATAAAGCATTGGCAACAGCCCTTTGGCACGCACTAACACAGAAAAACAATAAATAGAACATATTCTGAAATCGAATTCAGTGTTGGGTGTTTCTTTATGTTTTAAAAACAATTTCTTCTTTGATATGTAGAACCACATACGATGATGCTTGATAAGGCATTCTATTGCTCATTACAGCAGGGCTGCATTGATTTTCCAAACTCTTTTTGAACATGGGACTTTTTTCCGTAATTTTTGCCTGACTTTGAGTTCCACCTAAGGGCTTAAAGGTCAGATTACATGAACAGTTGTTTTCATCATTAGACTTTACACACTAATATGTTAAAACATCTAAGTTTTTGCCATTTTCCATTGAGATATGTGTGTTTTGTGTTGATTGTCCAAACGTTGTGAGTGATTGCATTGATGAGAAAAAAAAGAGAAAATACAGACAGTGTAGTTATTGCACTACTTTAATACTTGCAAAACAGAACAATGACAACCAATGGGTAGGTGTTAGTAACACTTGTCACACACTGGCTTTTGTCTCTCTGTTTATGGTAGATTATTATTTTAGAAAAAACAAGCTGACTCTCCTTATCTTCCTTGCAAGTTACTTAAATAAGCATCTGCCTATTGCCTAAATGTTAATGTCATATCATGTCCATTCTACCGCAGTACAATAAATTCCATAAAACTGAGGTGCTGGGTAAAGGTTGAGAAAAAACATTCCTGTCATTTAAATGAAGACGTGGTCAGTTACAGTAGAAGTCCCATTTCTGGAAAAAAAACAATAAAAGAAGATAATCAGTGGAGAGGGCAGCATGAATGCATTTGCATATTGTATATGTTGACAGGCAATTGTTTGTTCACCCACAGTAGTCTTAACTTCAGTGGTCGCGGGCATCAGCACTTGTGTCTCCTCCACCACACTGCTGGGGAAGTGGCCAATGCGAGCCTCTTGTTCTCCATAGTAAGAATCTTGTACCTGTAAACATATGATTAAATTGGTTAACCTTATTCATTGGTCCTGCACATGAACTGACCAGATCTTTTATAGCCTATCTACGTTCACTGTTTCTTAGTCATAACTGTCCATGTTTACATGATTTAGGTTATATTCGACAAATGAAAAAAGTGTCTTTCATTTCACCTGTGCCCCACTCTTGCTCTGACTTTAATTTATACGAGGAAGTTGCATACTTTAAAGTGGGGTAAGTTTAATGACATTCAGCTTGGGGCTGCAGATTGCAAGATAAACAACCCTTGTCCACTCTCTACAGAATGCAATGTGATTATACTTACACTGCCAGCCCAGAAGAGGTTCCCTCTGTCTTTTAGCATTGAGTAAACATAGACAAGCTGTCCCTGTCGAATGGGGATGAACCTGCAGTCTCCTGGGTAGTAGTCCTGCAGTGCACGGGCTATTAAAATAGGATCTGTGCAGGAGTATAGATGGAAACTGTTGGGATTATGGCATATGGCATATGTAGGCATGGCTTTGAATTTATAAAATCTTCTCATGTCATTATTTGTTCATTATGCCACTTTAATTCTACCCGGAGCTAAATAACTTGATCAACTAGAGCAGGAACTGTCTGTTACTTACGGCTGCAATCAGAATCAGCGCAGAGTTTCTTGTCGGAGAGTTTTGGCATCTGCCTCCCAGCTTCACAGGTTACCAGCAAAAGCCACACTGATAGAGCAGGCAAGAATTTGTGAGCCATGTCGGAATGTAAAATGCACAAATACACCCACAAAAGTGTTTTCTGCTTGTAGAAGGTCCTGCTTGCCTTTGTATCCCTTTTGTCTGTTTGCTGAATCTGGGGAGGAGGTGCAATAACTGCAGCCCCCTTGTGTACTCCCCTCACCCCCTCCTCATAAATGGACACAGAGCTCCTTTGAAAGCCTTCAAGCAGGTAAACAGGACGAGGGAATGAGGTAGGAGGGACAAATTATTGTAGACAGACCCCTGTTTGTGTTGTCCACAAAGTCCCATCATGAGCTCCCTCTACAAAACAACAAGGCATTTCTCTTTCTGCGTGATTTCCCCAGAGTTATTCCGTGGTTTGTCTATCTTGTTTCTTTTTTAGCCACTAGATGTCTGAACAACATTTAACTCATCCCCTGTTTATCTTCCTGTTTCTCTCTCTCTGTCCCTCCTTCTTTTCTCTACCTTTTTTTAACTCAGGAAGAGGTGGGGCCATGGGTTGTATTTACATACTGTATGTTTCCACATCCAAGGAAACCAGCTGAGCCTCTCTTGTGCAAATACTTCCAAACACACAGACACATGCGCAGAGAGAAGGACACACTCCCCAAACAGGAAGGAATACCTGTTGGCCTGAGTTGGCTGGGAATTCTCAGGTAAGACAGACCAAAGTTTTGTTCCTTTAGACTCAGTCGGATTAACATGGGCTTTGCGTGTTCTCAAGTTCATTACGTATGCCACCTGATTTTGTGCCAGTAAAAGGAATAAATATGTGAATCTTTGGATGGTGATGTTATAGACTCATTAGTCATCACAGAGCAACTACATATAGTCTCATAATATCTTATGTGGGCTAATGTATCAAAGCTGTGACTTATAGAACCCATCTTGCCTGTATTGAAAAGTTTTTTTTTAGTTTTTTGCTCAATATTATGACTAAAATAATATCAAAGAAATACTTCCAAAGATATTTAGCTTGTTTTTCTATTTATAAGATGTAAAGTACCTGTGGAATTTAGGGAGGGAGCAGAACAATGACAGTAGCTGAGCTGGTATTTCGGTCAGAGTAACCAAAGTACCTGACGGACAAAAGGCTTCTTTCTATGCTTTGTGTGATTATATCACCAGAAAACAAGTATTCTCATTGTCACGCGACTCTTTCCTACAGATTCCTTACATAGGAAGAGAGAGGAAGTTTGGAATTATCTACGCATCAAGATATTTTGCTGCTGGAGGAAAAATTTTGGACGACAAAATGGAAGCATAAAATTGGACCACTCAACACCAGAATATCAACAAATATCCCAATCTGAGTGTAGACTGGAAGTTAAAGAGATCAGAAGGATGCTATTCTAACTGAATCTGACAAGCCCAGGTGTCAGATATGTTCACCCCTCGGAAAAACAGTCTTCCATCACCAAGCATGGAAGACTCCTTCTTCCCTCTCTCTTCCTCTTCTGCTGTTTCTCTCTCTTTTGCTCTACCCCCATCCTCGTCTTCGCCTGATGGTGTTGATAGTGGAGGAGGAATAGAGACTGATTTGATTCTAGCTGCAGAGTTGGGCCGGGCTTTATTAGAGAAGAATGAAGAGATGGCCGCATCTCTGGAGCAGAGGGAGAGGGACATAGAGGTAAGAAAAAAGCTAAGTCTGCTTGTAACACAATTCAGAGAGGAAGATAACAACAATGCAAATCTGGTTGAATTAAGTGAGAATGTGTAACGAATTGATTCCAGCCTGCCTTTGTTGATCATCATCATAAATGTTGAACAAACATTGCAGAAGACAACTGTAATTATGGGTGTCACATGTTCATAATAACAGCAATTCAGTCTACTGAAAAAGATAAAGATGTATAATCCACATGAAATGCATGCTGTTAATAAGAAATGTTTATTCAGCATGGCAAAGTACTTTTGGTGGTTAAATCTAATCTAGTAGATCCTGAAAACAGGACATCTGAACACAATGCTTTATGTTACTGCCTGTATTTTGTTACATACATCTTAACATATGCATCTAATCTTCCTCATAACCTGTACTTCTTCAACTTATATTTTAGTGTCATTTTAAGGTTTTCATACACCATTGAGGCTGAGAAAAAGGTCATGTTTCGTGTTGACCCTTACTTGACTTTGACTAATGAACTCACAACTAAAAAGTCAAGCGTGCTTTGGTCACAGAAGAAACACAAAACATGTTTTTTTTTTCTGAGGAGAAATCCTCTGACCACCTAATGGAGACAGACTTTTTACTTTTTTACTTCAATACAATACAATACTCCGTTGAACCAGTGTCCCTGAATCCACTACTTGAACATTTGCATTGATTTGAAGATTTTGGGGGGCGGGAAGAAAACTCAATTACTGGATGCAAATTATATCTGCTTCAAATATTACTACATTATTTACCAGAATCTTGAAACCAGTTAAAGTGAGAATTGTTATCTTAGGTTCTGAGGCAGGAGAAGCACCTTCTGCAGAGGAAGCTGGAGATGAATGAACTCGAGTCTGGACAGAAGGAGGCAGAGCTTTCATCAGATCTCGCTGTTTTAAGGGCTGAATTGGAGAAAAACCACAATCAGGGGCGTGACCGACGAAAAGATGAAAGTGACCAGTTGGTTCAGTTAGCCAACCATAACCAGCGACTGGTTGAACAGCTTGCAGAGGTTAGTACTTTGGGTGAGCAACCTTTTCTTGCTCCAACAATACTTTACGTCAGATGATAGTTTCACTAGCAGCAGTGATGCAGACAAACAGGTTTGCCAGCTTTTCACTTCCCACACATCCTCCAGGCTGTAACACTGGAGCACTCGTTGAGGACGGAGCTTCGTTCCCTCAGAGAAGAGATGGAAGATTCATCCTTTAGCCGAACTATCAGCCTCACACAAGTAGAGAACATGCAAGCAGAGGTATAACATCCATTATTGACTATCAAAATAAATCACTGTACAGATGGCATAACATTTGACTGTAAAATATACAAGTTTTCAAGCTTTGTGATGCAGGCCTGGTTATATTGCCAACTCCATGATATTATCAACTAAATTGCGCCCCTAAATAGTAGCTTGTCAAACAGTTCCATTTATTTTTATTTGCAGAAAAATGTACAATTTTGCTTCAAGTAACTGTAACTAAAACATTAACTGAAATAAGCATTTAATGTAAATATTCCGCAGAAGGATTTTTAACCTAAAAAATACCCTTCAGACAATGATTTTTCCTTTTTCTTTTTATCACGCAGAACAGAGTTTTAGTGGAGCGGCTGTCACACATAGAAACACAACTAACAGCCTCACAGAATGACAGCCAAAGACTCCGCATGGAGAGAGATGAACTGAAGCACAGACTGTCAGAGCTCCAGATGAAACTGAGCGATAAAGACGCAGAGGTGAGGATAGGAAAGGAATTACAAACTTTCCGATTCTACCCAAAGGCACAAACATAGAATTATGTTGTAGGTGTTGCTCATCACTAACAGAGGTGACTAACATGAGTAGTTCTAAGCCCGATGCGTGCTTGTGTCAATCTTTCACAGTGTGTGTGGGTGCTGTTAAGTGTGTTGTGTGTGTACCTAGATAGAGCAGGAGCAGGGGGTGGTGTTTGAGTTGCGCACCTTGAATCGCTCTCTTCAGCAAAAAGCTCTGAACCTTGGAGAGGAGAGCATCCTGGACAGTACTCACACACAACCTTTGTCTCTGCTTAGTGAAATTCAGCAGTCGCAGGTATTCATAGTAACACACACACACACACACACACACAGAATAACTTCATAATGGAACTCACCAAGTGTGTACTAACAGTGAGCCCTTACTGGCATGCTCCTTATTATGAACAGCTAGATTTATTATAAAATGTTTGAAACCCTATGATATCTTTTGCTAACCAGGCGAAAGAGGCTCTGCTGGCTCACTCTACAGTCCTGCAGGCAAGAGACGAAGAAATACGAGCACTAAAGGAAAAAGTATGTAACGGTCAACGTTAACACCCATAACTTTCTCACAATTGTCATTTTCAAATTTTGATGGACATAATGTTGAAATAATACCTCCGCTTGTTGCGGGCTAACAAAACCTTAAGTCCAGCGGAGGAAGGAGGAAGTATGTGATTGTTGTATTTTTCCCCACATGACAAGGGAACAGAACATTGTTTTGATATACTGTAAGTATCTGTAAGTTGTCTTTTTCAACAGAAGGATAAAATGCAAATTCCTGGTCTTATAGAGAAATTCATATTCATTACCACTCTTCATGCTCTAGAATGTGCTTGTTGGTAATATAGAAGCAGATGTATTTCTTACAAGCAACCTCATTATCCCCCCTCATGGGTGGAGAACATCTGTAAGGAGATACCTCATGATGAACCAAGGCTCATCTATTTGTGTCGATACAAACTAAATATGAGCCGATCTTTTCACACAAATCTATTGTGTCCCTGCCGTGATAGAATCATGGATTTTCTGATCTTTTTTCATTTGCTTTGAATGAATGGTTACATTATATAATCATATCATTATATGATTGCTCTTTTTTCACATTGCAGCTCCAAACTCAGCATAAAGAGCTTGAGTCACTGGAAGAAGAAATCAAGCCTTTCAGAAGCAGTCCTGACAAACCAAATTACAGGTAATGCAGTGCAATTATACACACACACACAGTTGTTGGATGTAACAGCCGGGTTATCAGTTATCAGATGCGTTTTTATCTTAAAAAGGTCACAAAGATGGCATCAAACACACATAAGCATCCTGATGACTTACAGGAAGGAAAACAGAATCTTTATTTTCAGCCCCTATGTATACTCTGGGCAACTTTTAGGCCCAGGAATGTGCCTGATAAAAGTCAATGACAGTTTTAAGATTCATACTCTTGTCTAGTTTCCCTTTGAATTTAAAACGATTAGAGTCTGATTGATAGTTCTAATTTAGCCACTTGTCTTTATAGTGCTCTAGAAAATGAGTTGGACACCATTCGCCAGGAAAAAGAATCTCTCGCCCAGCAGCTTCTCAAGACCATCCAACAAAAGGTGGTGTTGTCTCAGGAGCTTGATGCGTGGCAGGTGAGTCTTGTTCAGGCTTATGCAATTCTCAGCTTACTTTGCATACACTTTCTATGAATAATTTCTACCAACTAAAAAACACATCTTGTCACAGGAGGACATGCGTTTGGTCATCAGCCAACAGGTGCAGCAGAGGGAGGGGGAAAGGCAGATGGAGAACCGGCAGAAGAACGACAACACTGTCGGACTTCAACGAAGCAAGTCTTTGAGAGTGAAGGGAGAAAGAGGGAAAGGATTCTTTTCTTCTTTATTCAAGGATAAATAACAGACTGCAGAGGTAGTAGTTTAAAGTGACAGTGTCATCATTCATATCTGCCAGTGGAAACTTTCAGTGGCAGATTAGAAGCAATATCATCGGACATCTACAGAAGCAACTCAAGTGTTTACAGAGCTTTTTTTTTTTAAACATATTTCTGTGTAAATATGTACAATATATTATTATTATTATTATTGTTTTGTATTAAAAATCTAAAGTGACCATTGTGTGTTTTTTACAGTATGTCAATTGTCATAACAGGTAGAAAAGGGATATGCAAACTAAGTTTGCGGAAGGACTAGCATGACTTTAATTGCGTTCTGAATTATTTACTGTAACACACATTTTTATTTGGGGACGACTCCAGAAAACTCTTTGAGCAAAAGTGACACCAGATTTTCAGCACCGCCACTTTCATGCTCAGGTATCATCATCATGTTTCTTTAATGACCATCTGCTACCAGGAGAGAATATTTGTAAATTTCAAGAGGCTTAGTCATCAATTACTGTGCTGCACATCCAGAAGTCTAAAGAATGTTAGCTTTTAAAGGAAGAGGAGCTGAAACAACTCATTTAAAACAGGGTTAGCTGATGACTGCATAATGATTAAAAACGGGTTATAAAGTCCTTTTGTTTCTCCGTGAAAACTGTGAAGAATTTGAATGATTCTCCATTCAGCCTCTAATAAATATAAAGGAGCATAAATGTATCATATACATAACAAGTTCTCCTCAACAAAAGTGACAAACTACACAGATTAGATTGATGAGAATTCATTTAGCTGCTGATATTTCAGCAAATTTGTCAAGGAGTCACAACATAAATTCTAATGTAACTGTTTCAGCTTCTTGCGATCCCAGAGGAAAAATATATAACATGGGTGGTAGTTTTGCATTGGTTTGTACAACTTGCGTAAAAAAAACAACAACTTTGGCAGAAATAGGATTTTTAATAAATCACTCTCCCTTTTGCACGCCTGTCCATGTTAGTATTACATAACTTATAAATAATGTATATATGCATATAAGCACTCCCATACACTGACATCAATCTGCAATCTGATCCTTTTTGATGAGTTCAGCCATTTAGCAAATATCCCACAGACTTCTCTAACCACCCGGAGTTAACTCAATTTGAATAAGACTGATTTTAGATTAGGAACACAAAAACATTCCAACCAGCTCAATATTTACTCTTGTCCTGTTGTACTAACTCAGTAATTAACCTCATCTCAACTGTAATGGTAAGTAAAATGGTAAGTACAATTTCACTTTCAATACCAAACTGGAAGAGACGAAGAAAAAAAAAATTGGCTTTTGAAAATAGTTGGCAAAATTAACGGGGAAAAAAAATAGTTTCTGGTCAAATGTCCGAAAAAGTTTGAAAAAAGGTTTGACATTTTGTCTTTACAGTCTATACACAATATATTTCTTCATGGCTAGCTGTGTTATAAAAACAATAATCTAAATTTACTGTACAGTATGCCTTTTATCCTTATATTTTTGTTGTGTAGATGGGCATGTCTGGTCTCAGGGGGATGTAATATTTTATGCATTTCTTTTATAGTTCATCCATTCATCCAGTGTGATTCTCATCCAAAAAAGAAAAAACATCACCTCCTTGTTGAGAGGTAGGTTTCAAGGTGAGCTGCATCAAGTCGAAGACACAGGAAGTGTATTGATGGGGCTGATGAACCCTGGAAGGTCAGTTCATGGGTAAACTTCTGACAAAGGTTTCTGGATGAATGTGGATAACAGTGGATTGCAATTCCACCGGTGGTTTGTGGATTTTCATCCAACGTTCACACCAAGGCCCACCTGCAGTTTATCACCTCTGTGATTCACAAAAGCCCCCATGATCAGGGTGGCTGGTAGCGGGGTCAGACGCTTCTCCAACACGCCGCCTATTATGCACCGACTGTTTATCATACCTGGAAACAGACACATGAAAAGTTGCATATACACAATGATTTTAGAATAGTTGTGAACATTGCTGTGACTGACCCACTACTGCCAATAAAAACTATACCTCGAAACACCATGTTGGCCTCAGGGAGTTCCATTTGGTACCCAAATGAGGTTGTAGTCTCTTGTGTCCTGGTACTGGCTTCAAACTCCACCCCAACTTGAATCTTACCATCACAAGTTTACACAAAAATATAAAATCTGTATGCATTAAAATAGCATGTTTATACTGGGTTAAGGGGTTATGGGCCGTACCTGCTTGTTTGCTCTGTGATAGTAGCTGGCGTGCGCACCGCCTTTACCAGCATTCAGGGTCGCCACCCAGTTTGGTCCTGCAGAGACCGAAAACAAATTTTTGAAAACACCTGCTGAACTGAAAAAAGAGGTCAGCATTGCTCTAGATAAGTAAAAAAAGTACTGGATAATCGAAAAACAAAAACAAACAAAATCTCACTGGAGTACTGTCCAGCCAAAGTAAGGATTCCTCCTTCCTCTGCTCGCCCCCGATGGTAGACCAATTCCCCACCTAACACCAGACCAGATGATACACTCTGCAGGAAGTGAGCCACGAGGATCACTGTACAAGAAAAACATATAAATGCATGATACATTATGTAATTATATAGAAAGCTTTTTTAATCTGACAGTTACATAGTAAATGACCTAAAAAAGAAGAAATTATCAGGGCAAAATGCAAAACTATCCGGACATTAATGGATCTGAACCCAACATTAGCATGCCCTGTTGATCTATTCTGGCACAGCTGGTAGCTGACTCCCTCTGATGTGAAACTGTGCTCTTACCTGACTCTCTTAGCACGTCTGGGTTGGCCACTGTGACAGCAGCGGTGAAGTCGTTTCCTCTGTACTCAGTTTCAAACTGCCACGTAACAAACTGAGACTGCTGGGTCTAAAGCACAGTAAACAGTTGAAACAGCTCTACATTAGTTTTTTAGAGGAAATATCAGACTAACGTAGAGGCAGAGACTGAATATGGGATGAGAGAAGTGGACATAAGGAAAGCATTAAACACTTAGACCTCACCTGGAATACTGATCTAGCTCGAACACGCTCAGTGAGATGCAGCAGAGCATGCGCGTTCAGGCTACCTGAGGAGTCCATCTCCCCAATCAATGCTGGGGCATCCTGAAATGGAACAATAGCATTAATCTTGTCAGCACAAAAAGTAAAGTTTTTTCCACAGAAAGTGATAATACTCTCATTATTTGTTCCTGACCTTATCCTTGCTGTAGTCATCAGATTGCAGATGCTCCACGTGGAATCGATAGTAAGAGGGACTTACAGCACTGAGGTGGAGAGTATGACTAACCTGGAAGAATACTCATTCATTGAAATGAAGATGAACGACTAAAATGATGTAAATTAATGTGGGAGTGTCACCTTAAAGAAGCTGCTTAGGGTTTTATTAATGATCATCTTGATGCCCTCAATCTGTTGCGGAAACACTTCTGATGAAGGAAGAAAGAGAAATCAAGATTTTTTTAAAACAGACCAGAAACATTGGAGCACATTTTGTGAGCTGGTTTTGATCTGTAATTATGTGATTAGTCTCCCCTACATGTTACATGAGGGCTTACGTACTGCTTAAAAAACACATTTGAAACAAGAAATTTATTAACACAACAACAATGGAACTAGATTCTGGCTGATGCAGGGCACTAAAGCAGTTTTATGTATTAGGCAGCAGTATGAAAACGGTTCAACATGTCTTTAATCACTGTGCTCACCTGAGCACTTTTTATTAAAACACAACAACAAAAAGACGCACCTTTGCAGCTCCTGTGGAGGGAGTGAAAGCTCCCTGGGTTGGGTAGGCGGCCATCTCTCCTTTCCCACCGTGGCGGAGTGTCCCAGTGAGCAGGATGTGCGTCCCAGCGAGATGGAGGAGGTTCCGTGGCAAAAGGCCACTTCTGATGGCCTGGGCTAGAAGACAATGCCAGAACACTGCCCATGTGGGCGCAATGCTTCCTAGGGAGCAGGAAGAAAAAGGAGATTTATGACCCTTATATTTGTTTACCTGCTGTCTGTGGGAAGGCAAACAGACCATTATAAAATAATTTCTTCAAAAATAGAAGCAAAGCTAAAATATGGGTTTTATGCATTTTTAAGGGAAAGCAACTTTCTCTTCCTGGTTTTTAACAACAGTCTCAATTACAGGCAGAGCATCAAAAAGGTCAATGGGGTAAAATTACATTTTTATGTATCATACTTAATCATACTTAATCAGTCAGATGGAATATAGAGCCAAAAAACATGTATGCATATGATGGAAAGCTACGTGAAATTTTCTAGTGCAGGTGCAGCATTCCGTTAGCTAACATGACCTTAGCCTCAGGAAAAAACTAACATGTAGGGGTGAATATATTTTTCTACCTACTCCAAATGAGATCGAAACACCGTGCAACCCCGAGTAGAACCAAAGACCGTACATAAGAAATACTGTCAGGAATAATTTCCTACGCAATGAAGCTAACTCAAATTGCAAACTGATGCTGACATCAACTGATGCTGCAAAACGCTCCTTATTCAAGATGCAGTGCGTCGCCTGCAAATGCATCCTCCTGAAAACACGACGGGGATTCTAATGTTTGAAATGATCCCACCAGAACCTTTACATTTTATCTTATAAAAACATATATATTAGCTACATATTTTAGCTACCCATCTTTAATTTGAAATTCGTCATTTAGCTGTTTAGAGCATTTGACAGTATAACGTTCCTTAAATTTTGTTTCTAGTCGGACTGTTGTTAGTGACACAGCAGCTCCGGTTGCTACAGGTGATTTGGTTTGTAGGAATCGCTGCGTCGAGTAGTAGGATAAGGTCATCTTCTTACATTTTAGTTGGATGGAAAAACAATCTTATGATATTGATTCAATTTCGGCACTTTTATACATAGAGGACTTGGTTATCGGTAAAGTATGCCACTATTCTAATTATATTAGACCGCAAAGAAGACAGACGGTGAATAACTGTCACTTGTCCTTGCGTACTCCCAGCATCAATAAGAACACTTGGTTGCAGGGCAACTTTTTGAGGGAGCAAATATTTGTACCATTTTGACTTTTCCTCTGGGACATGTCTCCTTCACATTCAATACTACTGGTGGGAGAGGGGAATTTCTCCTTCTCAGCGTCTCTCTGTAAGTTGCGTTCGGAATCGGGGAGCTGTGTGACGGCCACTTGTCTGCAGCCGCAGGAGGAGGCACTGCGGCACGGAGGTGCAGCCGGGAACATCCAGGCGATCAGGGACTCGGGTATGGCTGTGTGAGCGTAGACGAACTAACAGCTACTGGTAATTTGATTTGAAATGGGTCTAACCTTGCTTCTCCCATCTTTTTCGTGTGTGTGTGTGTGTTATCCAGGAGGAACTGTGCTTTTCGAGGTGGACTGTACAAAGCTGGGGGAATGTGCCTCCCTGCAGGGTCGTCTGTTTGACCGGGTGGTGTTCAACTTTCCACACTGCGGGAGAAAAAGTGGGGTGAAAAAGAATAGAGAACTTCTCAAAAACTTCTTTCTTAGGTATCACATTTTTTTAAACATTTCATTGAAAATCTTATTTCAGTGTCGGTAAACGTCTGTTTGTGAACTGATGTGAAAACGTGTGAGAGGGTAAATGAAAAATCGAATTGAAGGTGAGGATGAAGTGTCAGGGCATTACACTTTGCACATTTGTCTTATTTTGGGATTTTTATAATTGATTTTCTTTTTAAAGTACATTGATTAAAGGAAACGTTTTTGTGTTGAAATTGGCAAATCTGAATGTTCCCCCTTTCTTGTCTTCTATGTACATATTGTATATTTTATATAGTTTAAGTCATTCACTTTTTTTTTTACCAGCTTTGTGTTTTTTTATGTTAAGATGCCAAGTGTTTTTTGTCTGTGTTTTCTTCCAGTTGTGTTCAGGTGCTGGCTGAAGATGGTGAGGTTCACGTGTCTCTTTGCAATGGACAGGGCGGGACACCAGCCGACCAGCCCAGGCGAGAGTGGCACAACAGCTGGCAGGTGGCCTCCATGGCTTCTGAAGCACATCTAATCCTCAGTGCTGTCCGTCCTTTTGAAAGTGAGAAATGCCAGAGTTACAAGTGCACTGGATACAGGTAAGGCCTTAAGGTGAGTGTTGGCGTGTGTCAAGCTGAAACGGCTGTTTGTGTTCCCGTGTGTTTTCGCACACAGACATTTTTTTTGTCATTGCTGTCGTGCAGGAGTCAGGATAAGGGCTTTCACGTGGAGAAAGCTTTGCTTCACGTGTTCACTCGCAGCCTCCCCTACAATTCTGTTCAGGTAGTTCAGGTGGAGGAGGTTCTTGAGGGAGAGAAGGTCCTTTACAACATACCGGCTGCTCTCAGTGATCACGTTTTCAGGTAAAGTGACACAGAGATTTAAATTGAATATGAAAAGAAATCCTACCCACGCTAATGGACTTTTGTGTCTTATCAGGAGATTTCTCAGCTCGGACTCTGCCCACCCCGCCAAGTTGGTGCAGGATTTTCTTCTTGAGGGACTGGAGGAAAAATGGACTGTCTCCATGGCGACAGAGTCTGTCGCCTTCCTCATGGCAGCCACGCAGCAGACGACGAACAGTTTCAGCACTGACAGCTCACAGTGCTACTTGATCCACCTGCTTCAAAGAGATCACACCTCTGACGCTGAGGAAAAAGATCTGGGAGGCCTGGACACACCAGATGCTCAACCAGCTGGAAGAGCTACTTCAGATAAAGTGGACAGGACAAGTAGCAAAGGAGATGAGAGCTCACAGTGCGCATGCTTCTTTGATGTTGATACTGAAGTGGAAAGCAATCTTTACATGCTGCGTCCATCATTACTCCCTCAAATGAAAGAGCCTCTTTCTAAGAAAGAAGCAACAATTAACAATGCAGGCCATCAGGATGAGAGTGAGAAGAATAATAAAGGTGCAGATGTTGAGGGAAACATAAAGGACGAAGCTTGCGGGGACTCTAATGGTGTTACTAGCTTGTTATTCGGCATTAGTGGCGTTGTGTTTCGGAACCTGCCCATTAGTCTCTGGGCTCTGCCTGCGTTTCATGAGCTTTCCCTCAGAGGCATTTTCCCTTCACAAAGTGAGCCAATCAAATTGCTTGGACGTACGTTGGAAAACCTCCTTGCACCCTTTGGGGTCACTATGGTAACAGAAGATGAAGGCCTGCATCTGATGGCACAGCCGATGGGTTTGGTTGGTACAGTCTTTGCAAGCAATACAAGTGACAACAGTAGCTATGTCAGCATTAGCATGTCTTTAAATTTGGACCTGCTTGCTGTTCTCTTGTATTCGCTCCCCGACTGGCGGCTGCTTTGGTCACATGACCAACGTTTCTTAAAACAGTTTTTAACCCATCCACCACCTGGGATGCATTTTCGTCCATTTTCCCTGTTCCCCGAGCCTTTAAGCTTTGATATAAGCTTCTGGACAGGGCCAGCGTGGGATGAGAAGAAGTTCTACACAGCGGTCCGAGAGGCCAGCCACGGGACAGTGGAGCACGTTAAGCTCATCGATACTTTCTCACATCCTGACCTAAGCCAGACCAGTTACTGCTACAGACTCGTATATCGCTCGCACACACATGCTCTGTCACACAGTCAAGCTCTCAAGTTTCACAAAGAGCTGGAGGTGCAACTCTCCTCTCGGTTGCAGGTCATCATCAGGTAGCGTGATACGGAAGCTCCATGTCCAATCCCTGAACAATCAGAGTTGAACATGTCTGTTTGCCAGTGCAAACACAGAAAATCTGTATAACTGTCGTCATGTTGTATTTATATTTTTGAGTCTTTGGCCGTTATATTAATCTGTCTAAAATGTGACATGAACTCTGTGTATCTGTATGTATTTACATCATATTGAAAACCCCCAAAAGTATATTTCTAGTCTTGTCAAGATTACCTTATTAATTATGATAAGAAGTCAACAAGAAAAAATAAAAACATGTATATGCTTATATAAGAAAAGCACACAGACTGTATTTGTTTGCCAACAAAGAAAATCTGTATTTTTTGCTTTAATACCATGTAAGTGGAATGATTCAGTGTTCATTTAGGGTGAGAGGCAAGACGAGTAAAAAAGATGAAGGCAATGATTCATCTGTGCTGAATCACAAAAGATTAAAAAGTATTAGGAGCCTATCCCATGTGTCAGTGACTGAGAATATGGGCATACCCTAGACAGCATAGCACATTTGTCTGCAATATCAACAATGCTGTCTTATGAACTAGTTGTGCAATTGGTGTTTAGCAGCAGGTTTACTTGCCTTCAATTGATTAAGCATTATTGCTATCGTTTTGCTGTCTTACTTTATTATAGTTTATATTTGGAGAGCACACAGAAACGTGATATTTTTATAAATCAGCTACTGAACAATTTTTTTTAATAATGACTGACTTTTGATCTTCTGTAGTTTCAGCTTTATTTTGGCTTTGCTTTTTTTCGATTTAAAAATAGTTTTTTTTACTATTTTTTCAAGATCCAGTTCATTTTTAGCTTAAACGCTTTTTCCCTTAGTATCTTTTATTATTCGTAATTAAAAGAATATGTTGGAGATTAGGAAAAATCGTTACATTTGCGTTCAATTTTCTTATTCAGCCATCCGCCTCACACACCACTCTACCCACGAGTTGCTGCGTTGCCAATGATGACGAGCTGTCAATAACCGGACAGAGACGAAAATGAACGAAGTGGTCGTTCGGCAGGGAAGCATTAGTAAACATGGCCGCCAAGGCGCTACGGCAGCGTACCAGGCGAGGTAGCAGACAAGATGCAAATAACGTCAACATTCCCAACGAAGCCCGGCCACCTAAAGAGGAAAAAGTCAGCGATGACAACAAAGCCACAGAAGCTCGGCAAGAGTGAGTTTAAGCCGGAAGTAAAGACGTTAGACTCGGTGCTCCTGGTTGCTCCATCTCCGGTGTGACTGACAGCTTGGGGAGCATGAAGCTACTAGCTAGCTAGCTACCACAAGTTATCACAAAAAAAAAACAATTGAATTACAACCTCTGGTCATGCCCACTTGGATGTCCACAAAACTAAGTGCCAACAGTTATGTTTTTAAACAACGGTGAATATTTATTTGTGCCTGTGCTCCAGCACCTTGCTCCTTGGCTAACGTAGTTTGACGTTTAGCAGCCTAACACAGTTCAGTTACCTGGCCAGAGTCATTCATTCTTCTCAGGTGCTCAGTCAGTACCAAATCTGTCAGATCTGACAGCAGCACTTTTCTGGGTCAACTCTTAATCTGCATGTGCTGATAGGTTTATTGCACATGACTGTTATTATCAGGTTCCTGTAGCCCTTTAAAGAAGTTGATAGTTGTGTAAGGCGACTTGTCTTCAAAGGCAATGTGAGGACTGGCGTTGGACTGAGCTGAGCCATCTAATCTGACTATAATCTCGTGATATGTGTGGTACAAGTGATACTTAGAACAAGAAATGTTATAAACACTTATTAAATGCTTTCAGTGGACTGATAAATAATCATAGATTATAATTATAGTTATTCATGGTGATTGCTAAAGGCTGCACCAAATCAGAATGCATTGGGGTGTCATTTAAAAATGACTAAACATTTTGAGTCGTACTAGCAGTTGAGTATGAATGCCTACAGTTCTTGAACTCTAAATGTACATTCATCTTTTTAAAATGTTTTTTCTAAGGTCAATTAGTCGTGGAGGGCAGGTATGGGCTCCAGAAGGTTCAACGGCATTTAAATGTCTGCTCTCTGCACGTTTCTGCGCGGCTTTACTCAGCAACATCTCAGACTGCGATGAGACGTTCAACTACTGGGAACCAGTGAGTAATGCTCTCTATAAGTATTTTTATTTGTATGTCACATAGGGTTGATTCAACAATGCTTGTCTTGAGCAACTTGTCATTACAGCTACTGTTCAGGGGTTTACCTTTTTCTGTGTGTTTCAACAGATGCACTACCTGCTGTACGGTACCGGCATGCAAACATGGGAATATTCTCCACTGTATGCCATTAGGTCGTACGCTTACTTATGGTTACATGCCCTTCCAGCATGTTTGCATGCACATGTTCTACAAACAAACAAGGTAACTATTCCCAATTCCCATTTCATTGTGTGAGGTTCCTATTTAAAGTTATAATTTCTTCATTAGTACTTAATCTTCATCATTCTTCATCAGTTTGCCTATTCTCTGCTGTTTTATGAATGAGTTATATCAGGATAAAATCCTGCAGGTGAACTCAAAATCTGTGAAGAAAAAATAAAGTTTTTGTCCTATCATTTGAAGTCATTGTGGAGATATTCTGTCTTAAACTGTTATTAAGCAGCAAATTTGGGGTAATTACAGGACTGTGCTGTGACTGTGTTGCAGGTGTTGGTGTTCTATTTTGTGCGATGTGTCTTAGCATTCTGCTGCTGTGTTTGTGAACTTTATTTCTACAAGTAAGTTTCTCCTGCGATATTCAACTTGATGTTCCAACATTTTCAAACACTGCATGTGAGGTGAAAATACATGTGTGACTTTATCATATGACACAGAGCAGTTTGTAAGAAGTTTGGTCTGCACGTGGGTCGTCTGATGCTGGCATTTCTCGTCCTAAGTACTGGAATGTTCTGCTCATCTGCAGGTTAGCCTGTTTTTTGTTGTTACTTACTTACTTATTATTTACTTATTTTAAGGTGTTAATCTTCTCGTGCCTTCTTTTTTTTTTTTTGTTTGTTTGTTTTTCATGATTCACCCCATTGCGTTCATTTCTCCACAGCATTCCTGCCCTCCTCTTTCTGTATGTACACAACACTGGTAGCCATGACAGGTTGGTTTCAGGACTCCACGCCATTGGCTGTGATGGGCGTTGCTGCCGGTGGCATCGTCGGATGGCCATTCTCTGCTTTGATTGGGTATGACAATAAACTTAATTGCCCTTTAGCTGATGATGATATTTTTCCAAACAGACTTGTAGACATGTATTGGTAAACTTTGTTCAAACAGTTTTCCCATTGCATTCGACCTACTGGTGATAAAGAGGGAGTGGAAGAGTTTCCTGATTTGGGTAGCTGTCGCCGTGCTTCTTCTACTGGTAAGACTACGAATACAAAACTTTCACAAAAAATACTACTTTGAAAATGTGGATAGACATGTGTTTCTTAAAGTCACAGCTGCAGTTAATGTCATTCACACGATGACAATAACTCAGCATATATATTTTCATGTTATATTGATTTATATATTATGTGATTCCTCATTGAGTGCAATTTTCTTTTTCCTGAAACTAATATTGACAATAACTTCATCCTTATGCTTTCTTCCTCTTTGTACTTCACAGGTACCCCTGGTGGCTGTAGACACTTTCTTTTATGGCAAACTAGTCATAGCTCCACTGAATATTCTTCTATACAATGTCTTTACACCACATGGACCTGATCTGTATGGTAATTTACAAAAGCACTTACAGTGATACAGATTCTTCTTATATTATTTATTAAAGCAGTCAAAAAAGTTGACAGCATTGTGTCATGTATTGATATTTCATTATAGCCCTATATATCTGATGATTCACTCACAACTCCCCTGCCGACTGCTCCTAGATATTAAACTTGCCTCTTAAATCCTGTTTTCCTAAGTTCGTTTCAAATGGTTTAAAATTGGGCTTAATGTCGCTTGTGTTTTAAAGATAGCTTAGGCACCATTGATACTGAGGGTGGCTGTTATTTTCCATCAGAGCTGGTTGGACTGATGTTTCTGATAATATAGTGCAGATAGATCTTGATTTATAAGTTTCACTTCACACCCCGAGAACAGCATCATCAGTACTTTTATCAGGTTTTAAACAAGCCTGAACAGTACATTATATTGTCCTCTTTAAGCCCATTATTCTGTACTGTTCTTATTAGAGACTCATTTGACACTGTTTATCAGTTGACTGTTCATAACAAATACATTTTGCCATAATTCTATAATTATGATTCTGTAGCATTTTACAATATGTGCAATTTCCTTCTTAGGTACAGAGCCATGGCATTTCTACTTCATAAATGGTGTCCTGAACTTCAATGTGGTGTTTGTCCTGGCGTTGTTTTCCCTGCCACTCACAGCTCTCATGGAGACTCTCTTGCACAGATTCAATGGTGAGGAATGTGTGCCTTTACTTCTCTTGAACAAACAATTGTTTGTCTTTACCAGTACAAGCACTAGAGTGGTGCCTTTGTAGAATCTGATCTTACAATCACAGAGAATCCAAATTTGACCCAAAATGTTAAAGCTTTCCCCCTCAGTGCAGGAAATAAGCAACATGTTAATGAACTTTAGAGTCTGTTATAATCCCCTCTTTTGATCTTGTGCATGTTGACGTGTGTTTTCTGCAGTGCAGAACCTGGGCCGTCCATACTGGCTGACTCTGTCTCCCATGTATCTGTGGATGCTGGTTTTCTTCACTAGACCTCACAAAGAAGAGCGTTTCCTCTTTCCTATCTACCCTCTCATCTGCCTCAGTGGGGCAGTGGCGCTCTCTTCTTTACAGGTGGGGTTTTTTTTTTTCTTTCAAAGAAAATTTGGTTTCATTTATTTGCTGATGCTTCTAGCTGACAAAAAGTGAACAAAAACTAATTTGATTTTATTTCCTACAGAAATGCTACCACTTTCTTTTCCAGCGATACAGACTGGAGCACTACACGGTCTCCTCCAACTGGTTGGCTCTAAGTGCAGTTGTTGTCTTTACAGTGGTGTCACTGTCTCGCTCTGTTGCCCTCTTCAGAGGTGTGTATACACAGACAATATTTTTCATGTGCATCAGTGAAGGTGAGAAACAACAATTTATTATCATTTTTTTTGTTATCCTTTCTGCAGGCTACCATGCTCCTCTGGACCTGTACCCAGAGTTCCACCGCATCGCCAAGGATCCAACTCTGCACTCAGTACCTGAAGGCAGACCGGTCAGTGTGTGTGTTGGCAAAGAGTGGTACCGCTTTCCGAGCAGCTTCCTTCTGCCACAAAAGTCAGTATACAGGAATTGCTACATGGATTTCCACATTAATCAAGATGTGTCTTTTCACGTCCAGGGGCAACTGTTGCGGAAGTGTGGATGAGTTCGAATCAGCATTGTTTTTTGGGGGGGTTTTACCAGTCACAAAAAGAAACTTCTGTTTTTTTCAGTACAAAGAGCCTTAACACTAATGTAACAGTTGTGTGTAGAGATTCACATAAATGCATATTTTGCTCTGCAGGTGTTCAAATTAGGTTTTAAATTAAAAAATTAAAAGTCGAAAGTTTTTCTTTTTCCTCTGCAGCTGGCAGCTGCACTTCATTCAGTCTGAGTTTAAGGGGCAGCTGCCTCAGCCGTACCCTTCTGGTCCTCTGGCCACACAGATCATCCCAGCTAATATGAATGACCAGAATCTGGAGGAGCCATCCAGATATGTAAGGCTCTGTGGCATATGTATGATTTTAATGCCTGGGTGTTGTGTAAGTACATTTGAACTAAGTTATGAACTGAGCTGTTTTACAGATGGATGTCAAACAATGCCACTACCTAGTGGACCTAGACACAGAAGAGGAGACATCACTTGAACCACGTTACTTGGCCAACAAAGAGGAATGGAGCGTTATTGCTTATAAACCTTTCCTTCAAGCGTCAAGGTATTATTGCAAAGTCATAATTGACCGAGAAATTCAACATTTTGGTGCAAAAGGGGGAAAACATCTATAGAACAAGTATCTACAAAGTATTTTTTTAACATATGATTTTTGTCTCAGGTCATCGCCTCTCTTCAGAGCGTTCTACATCCCATTGATATCAGACCACCACACCAGCTACAGGCGCTATGTTATCTTGAAACCACGGCGACAAAAGCAACCTCGCAAGAGGACCCACGGCTGAAATTTGAGCCTTAGGTTCTCCCACAGAACAAAACCTTAACAAGGGGAGTCAAACCCTTCCCTTCAAACCACTGGTATTTGTGTATGGGCGTACATTGGACTTGTTTCATGAAACGGATGAATCACACCATTTAAATAATTTTAGGTGTAATTTTGGGGTGATGTGTTTGTGAGCAATTAAAATGAGCTGTTGTGTGTGTATGTGTGATTGGCAGTCATCAGTTGGACATTTCGCCTACATTATTTCTCTATGGAAGTGAATGTCTTAAAGAGAATGTCCACTAATGGATTTAAGATTAAATGAAACGATGATGGAACACAGTGCATACATCAACATCCAGGTGTTTTATTTCATACTGTACTGGAAAATGTGGCCTGAATGGAGGAATTCCTCTGAACAGCTTATCTAAAAATATCTTGTTGTGTCTACTTGTCTGGTTATAAACGGTACGTCAGTGGTGGATGAAAGTGAGGGTGCATCTTTAATTTAAATTCATATTCTAATAAACACGTGACTAACTGCATTGCGAAACTGGGTTTATTATCATTATTATTCAGTAAAACCAATAGCAGACACAACGGGATGCAATTCTCATCTCTTTTTATTTGAATTCTTATGTAAGAAACATACAAAGTTCTCTCTCATAGATGAGAGAGGTCAAGGCATCATACATTATGAATAAAATACAGCATTGGTATTATCATTCTAATACATGCCATCATCTCTGGTAAGGCTGCAGGCACTGAAGGTCAGATCACTGTTAAAGCTTTTGCTGTTTAGACTTCTTTGAAGAGACAGAAAAGACTAATAAACAATGGAATAAGAACCAAGGACTAATAAAGGATAAAGACCTAAATGTTTTTTTGACCAAGCAATTGTGGCATTACAGGCCATGCAAACACGCTTTTTCGTGCGCACACACATGCACTTGTCTGCAAAGTCACAGGTGATCCATGATTGTGTTTCTCTACTGGTTTTATTCTTTTCATTTTGGCAAAGCAGCCTCAAATGTTTTCCTTAGATCTTGTGAATTTATTTTATTGAACTGGAGCTGAAACTGTTACCAGAGGAGCTAACCATGTGATAGAGATAAGATAAGTTCACTCCAGTCTGATTTCACGCAGTTGAGACTTTTTTTCCATTGAATCCAGTCTTATCTCTGGCCTGCAAATAACATCACTTGTTTCACAGATGACCCAAAGATGGATATTTTCATCTTAGCTGCCCTCTTATAAAGGCCTCTTCTTTCTGACCGGTACCTGTGGTACAATTAATAATAGGAAACGTTGAATTTGTAGTTCAGTGTTATCTGACAACGAGGACACGGTACTCGAAAATGTGTTGCTGAAACAAAATATCTTTCACCACTACTATGTATATTGGAGGTGGGGGTCTTACTTACAAGATACCACAGGCCAAACCAAGCCTCAGCTATCTGGATAGACAGAATAATCAGTATTGTTTGGGGTAAGATCTTCCTGCAGTTTCACGGTTTATATTAAACGTGATTCAGGATAGCACAAACACGCTGCCACAAATAAACAGTTTCCCCATCAAGGTGCAGGTTTGGCCAGAGTTGCTGTTCACTTGCACGATGCTGTGGGCAGAATGAAGCGGCTGTGTAGAAGATCAGTAGCTTTCTCTGTTGATCCAATCCTGCTCGTTAAAGTATCTCTTTCCACTGTCCAGATTCAGGCCGTTTCTGTAACAATCCAGATTCGCGTGGAAGGACTTTCGGTTTGCATATCCTCCGAGGCTGCTTTGGAAAATCTCCTGCTTGCCGTTGGTGACGTATGTCTGAAAGAGGTCAACTTTTCCAACGTGGCCCTCAGGCCTCAGTGTGGCATCGTACAGTTCAGTGCCGGCTCTGATGCTGCCGTCATACAGTCCATGCTCCCCGTACATGTTGCTGCTGTAATGCTCACTCTTTGTCGTGCGTCGGCCTAAGCTTCTAGCATAAAGCTCTCTGTGTCCAGAGCGGCCAAGACTGCCATCATTCGGCTCCCTCTTTCCCACGCGGCCCAAGCTGGTGTCGTAGAAATCGCGGGTGCCGCGACGCCCAAGGCTGAGCTCGTTCAGGTCATAGTTAAGGAAGCAGCTCTCTGTGCTCGCAAGTGTGACAAAGCCGCTCTCTGTGTCTCGGCCTCCCAGGTTGTCATAGTCGCCGGTGGGTGTATCAGGAGAGGAGCACAAAAATGAGGTGTTTTTGGTGTTTGGGCGAGCTGAAATCAGATCATCATCCTTCTGGGAACGAATGACGTTGTAAACATCAGTGGGAGTCGGGCTGGGACAGACTCCCGGGTCTGTCTGGCATACTTCTGATTTCTGCTGTTTCCTCTTTCTGTTGCACACAGAAATTCACACATACAGACATTGAAGCTCACATTATTTAACGGATAAAGATACATTACCCTGATCATGTTTCTCTGAGGGAAAACTGAAAAGGTAATTCATTTATTTGTTTATCTCAAATTAGAAGGGGTTTGTTGATTTGACTTTGACGTAATCAGTGACGGTCATGGTAAACTGACCCTTTCAATAACATTGATCCTTATAGGCAAAAATGTATTTTTCCCCCTCATAATTACAACCAACACATTGATGCCCAACACTGTTAAAATTATATTATCATTAATAGCGCTTTTTAAATAAATTCACACACATTCTGTTTGTATGAATCCACAGTGGTGAAAAAACGGTCTCTACAATTCTCTACAACTAATTATAAGAAAATAATTTACTCCAGTCAGCGACTTATAGTTAATAAATTAGGACAAAACAACCCGAAATGAGTAAGTGATGCCAAAATGTCGAAGCAATGTATGAAAAACTAAGAACAACCTAACTGCTTTTGTAGGGGTAGCAAGTCTGGAAAATTCAATTGCATGTTAACACAATGCCAATCAGAAAATATAACAGCAATGATCTCAGAGAAGTAATTGTTAATCAATTTGGAATGGGTTACAGGACAATTTCCATCATTCTACAGTAAGAAGATTATTAACAAGTGCAAAGCATTCAATAGAGCTGGCGTTCTTCCCAGAAGAGGCCATTCCAGCAAGTTCATCCCACCATCAGACTGTTCCAGGCTCAGACAAATCTACAGGCCTCGGCTTGCACATTAAATGTTAGAGTTCATGGCAGAACAATCAAAAAGTATAAGCTGTTTGGAAGGGTGGCAAGGAAAAAGATTATTTTCTCTTAAAGCAGTCGGATTTGAAAGGTTGAATTAGATCAATCCAGTAGACTGCTTTAGAGAGATGAGACCAAAGTAAAGATATATGCTCATAAAGCACAGCTTCATATTTGGAGAAAATCTACACAACACACAAGAACATAGACTTGATGCTAACTGTCAGGCATGGCAGTTTAAATCCCATTATCTGAGCTTGTCTGATTAGTACATACTTTTGCATCTTGCTTTCAGAATGTCAAACATGAACTCTGTATAAGTGTTCTGTGATCAGTTAGCCATCTGTCTGACAACAGGACAATGATCCCAAACACATAAAGCAAGTCTAATACTGAACAACTGCAAAATAGAAGCAAAATAAAAATTGGCTTATATACTGTGGTGTTATTAAGTCATGTGTATGAACTACTGCCTAAAAAGATTAATTAACTGAAGAAACATTGCAAAGGGAGAACTCCTGTAAAATGTCCTCTACCAGCAGTTCAGCTGTAACTGCACATTTTACAAATTCATTGTATATTTTCTGGGTTGACAAGGTGTAAAATGTCATGTTGTCATTCATATTAGGTTCTCATTTCAATATATAAAGTATCCCTTTTAATAATGTACTGATAGATAAAGCTTTCTTAATAGGAATAGAATAGTGAATAGTTGCTCATAGATGATCCTGTGAACAGATATTTTCATGACAGTTTACATGTGACAAAGATCCAGTAATTTATCTTCTTTTTAAGCAACTCGGCTTCAGTGTTTGTGTTTTTCTGGGTTACTCACCGTCTGAAGAGCAGTTTGAAGCAGCAGACCCCCGTCACTGTCAGCAGCAGCAGGATGAGTGGGATGGTAGGGATGATGACGTACACCAAATTCATAGCTAAAAGACAGAAACAAATATTTCATATGCATACCCACTGCCCATTGTGTAAATTTGGGAGAAAATGCACAATCCATCACCTGTTCTGCTGTGGCTGTGGTCACTTGGATCCCATGGTAGTGCCGGTGAAGGTAGGATATCTGTAATAAACGTTATTCATGACACCCACACCTTCTCACTCTGAGTGCTCTCTTCAAAGAATCCAAACACATCCAGAAGTGTTTTCATCACTGTTCAATCAACCATTTTACCTGTTTTAGTGGTGTTGGACGTGGGAGTAGGGTCCTCTGGAAAGAGACACACAACAGTCAGCAGTGTTTGAGGACTTTCAAAGAAAAGGGGCAACAGAGAACTGGCACGTGGCCGTACCTGCAGTGTATTTGCAGATGAAGTTGTTTTTGGTTTCGCAGTTGTCATCGTTCCACTGAAACATGTAGAGCCCTCCCAGGCCCGGGGGAGCAGACGGTTGGTGATACATTACCACACACACCTCATAGCCGCATGATGGCTCATCCCAGTGCCAGCTCCTGAGACACAAACAGGGCACATAAATACAAAGCTACCCTCAAATATATACAACTTCAACTTAGCAACTTCAACTTAAAACAATTTTGCCAGTATGCTGTTGTGTAAGCATCTGTTTGTTTATTTTTAAATCTATCATGTCATTTTAACATGCAAGTGTCTGCCAAATGTAGGGCACTCAGCCTTGGATGAGTCTTTGTCATCACAAACTCAGCCTGTATGTGAAAACCCCTCAGAGTAGTTCACAGACAACTCACCTAATGCTGTTCACGGTGTGGATTTCTCTAAAAAATGTATACCAAACTCTCTGTTGGATCTTGAGTAGTATTGAATACAGATTATTATAAACAGTGGTGCTTAAATTAGATCGTTTTAGTGGTTGTACCCGAATCGCAATAACCAGAAATGTATTTATATTACTGGATTAGTAGACAACGTTTCAACAGCATAGTTTCTGCGGTATTTTGCAGCAATCAATTTTTACAATTTGGAACATTTATCACTACTGAGAGTTTTTTAAAACTCCACAAGATGTCACTTTCTTGCAACCAGATGTTACGGTTGGTGGCATTAGTGCAGAGCTGCCTGCAAATATGAACTTTACAGCTTGTCTTCAGATTGTAAGTCAGTAAAAATCATCATTGAGGAAGTGTTTGGAGTCAATCTGATTGATGTTAGAAGTTTTTTCCATCCATGACATGGACTGGGTGGCTGGAGGTTTGTTGTCATTGAATTACACGATTATATATGATAATATATAAGCCCTCTCTTCCCACCTAAATGTAGACTTGCTACCGTCCAGCCAGTAGTACTGTGACGAGCAGTCAGAGCTGTTTTCCTCATCTCCATGTTTACGGCGGAGACCTATCCAGAAGTCTCCATCGGTTGGGCGGAGTTCTGTGATGAGCTGTTCGATGATCTTCTGCTCTGCTGCAGATTCAATGCTCAGCAGCTGGCCTCCATCTCGTTTGCAAGCGAGCTCTGCTTCTGCAAAGTTCAGCTTCCATCGGAGCTCGGAGAAATAGGCCAACTTGTAGCACGGCCTCCCTTTTCCTGCCTTGCACACACGTTGACCTGAGGACACACATACACATAGTATATGTGAACATAGCAAATGCATTAAACCTGGAAACTTTTTTTTTTCATGTTTCAAAAGCATGCTGAATTTAAGATCGCTGATTTCAAAATACATCACAGTGGAAGTCAGGGGTGCCTTATGTCCACGCATTTAGAAGTTAGTTTGCGTACCTCTGGCTTGAAATATATCTGCTTCAAAAGTCCGGAGTAGAGTCAGGATGTCGAACCATGAGGAAAGAGAAATTCACAGTTGAATCGAAGGCTCACGACTTTTTCGGTTGTACGATTTCGTAAGTGGCTTACCTGTAATAAGGCTTTTGGTCACAGATGTGTCGAAGCATAACAGTAGGAGATGACATAGAAGAGCCAGCAGGTTCATCTTCATTTGTTGTTAACGCTTTGCGACCAGGTCTCCTATTTTAGTTCAGCTTCGGTCATTCTTTGGTCCATTTATCAGTCAGAGCATCACACCAGTAAGAGCAACTAAACCAACTAAAAGTTGTGAGTTATGGTGGTAGTTGTGAGGAAAATGCTTGCAAAAAGGGTCAGCTTCTAAGAGATAAAAAAGGATGTGAGACAGAGGCAAGTATCCTGGTCTATCTGCTCAAAAGAGAGGGTGTGTGTCCAGAAGGAGGAGCGGGGAGAGGAGGAGAAAGGGCTGTGTTTGGGAGGGGGCTGTAATCTGTTAAGAGCAGTCTTAATGATTGGGAGAAGAGACTGCATCGATCGCAAGACATCTAATCATGCAAGTGCATCTCATCGTAAACGCTGACAAGAGGCAGATTTCACTCCTCCTTTTATTACTTACGCTTTTGGTATTAACATTACAATAGTGATGCATGAAAATGATCTCTTATATCCTGATAAAGGATATCTTGAAACGTTTTCTGTCAGGTCTCCCCATCAGCATTCTCACTTATTCAGATTCAACAAAGTGCACAGCTAACAAATTCAAGACAAGGCACAGGATGTGCATTTCTGTCTCCTTTGCTATTCAAATATATGATAATGTGCTGTCATAACGAAGTGAAGCATTACAATAAGTTGTTTTTAAAAAATCAGAAAGATCAAAAATGTTTTTGAACTCAGCTTGGAATCTTTATTTAGGACTGTTTATATCTGTTTATTTCTGTGTTACTGCGGTAACACATGACCTCACCTTATTAAAAGGAAGCCCTGCCCAACTCAATCAATGAGATGACCGAAAAACACAGCTGAGGAAAAAAAAATCATTCTCCCATAATCCAGAAATTTAGTTTGACATCATGCTGATGATTTGCTTGATTGATTTTCTCTGGTGTGATGGGAGATTTATGGGTAATACATTGGCAGCTCAGAAGTACTTAACACGGCCCCTCTTTACATGGAATATTATTTTAAGAAAATGTTTTGCTTCCCTTATGTTACACGTTCACAGTTACACAGAGAAAAACACCTTGATGTAATGCCTAGGACTCACAGAATCAGAAACGATAGACTTGGCAAAAAGTAAATAAAATATTCTTTTTCCATCGCGTCATATAAGAGAGCTGTGGTTGGCGGATCAAAATATTGTGAAGTATCCTTTGGTGTTTTAATTATAAGTGAATAATTAATCAACGGTGATAAAATCTTGATGTTCCTCAAATACTGGTTCAGTCAGCATTGTGCTGAAACTGCTGGTGGCATGTTCACCATCTGGTCTTTTTTTACATATTCATTTTATAAATACCTTTCATGGCCTGTATTTTTGCCACTTTCACTGAAGTATTTACGTGATGAGGTGATTTAGTTTATTTGTTATCAGTATGATTTATGTTGGTTTATGAGCACAGATTGTAAGCGTGTGCATTTACTGGGGTCTACCCTGCCTCTCACCAACTGAATACTGGGATAGGCTCCAGTCAGAAAATGGATGGATGGATGGCATTGGAACATTTTACTTGTCTTGGCAACAACCTGCAGATACAGCAGATTTTAAAACTTTTAAAGCTCGAAAGAACTGATCCCTGAAATCAGGCTTTGTTGCAAGTCAGTGAACCTTGTCAGAAAAAAAGAAAACCTTCAAACAAATATTAATAACTAACACTGGTCATGAGCTGTATACATCTTGAGATTAAAGAGATATCATCAGCACACATGAAGGTTTCAGGGCATGTGACCTCCTTTTAGAGCTCAAAAGAGGAAAAAATGTATGTGTGCAGTTCTTAATGGCAGCAATTTCTGAAATAGCCCATACGGTTGATTTAGGGCTTCCAGAGAGACAGATCAGCCAGGGTTTAAATAGCAGGATGCTTCATCAGGGATATGCTGTGTGTGCTAGTGTTGAATGAGCAGTGAGGGAGGGGAGAGCCAGCCTACCCTGATAATCACCATTCTTGTGTGTGCTGCCCTATCCAAACTTAACTAATCAGTTTAGATTGATTGTTTCCAGTCAAAGCTGGGGTTCAGCTTTGTTTAAATTGAAAGAGGGTATGAGACATAGACATAACTATGAGGCTTTCGGTAATAGAGGCGAAGATGGAGAGGTAAGTCCTCTAGAGGGATTCAATAAGGAATGGACTTTGGTTTAAATTTCCTCCTTGTTTGTGGCATCTGAGACCTGGAGAGAGTTTCATTCAATTAAACCTCTCCTATTTGCCCCTCCTCTCACATAGCCTGTCTTCTTCTGTCTCTGCCTCCTACTCTCCTCCCACTGACCCCCTCCCTTTCTCCCCAATTAGTTAAAGGGATGAATGTCCCCATGTTAGGCCAGTACATCACAGGGCCAAAATGCCCTACACATGCAAAAGAGCTGGTTCACAATGACTGGAGTGAGCCCCAGTGTTCTTCAGTGCTGTAGACGTGCATTAGTAAAAAGGTTTGTTCGCATTTTTATTGAGATTAATGTGGACTGTTATAGGGTAAAATTAAATGAATTGAAGCCATTCACTGACTGTAACCACAACCAATCTTTTTTAGTGTAGCAGCCATGTTTCTGTCAGAGCTGTAAAAATTCAACAACTGAGGAATTCAGTTAATTTTCATCTTAAAGCCAAAAAGAGAAAGGGAAAACTTAATTACATACCAAAAAATTTACTTAACTCTCAACTAAATTCAATTTGAATGATCTGACTTTGGCATGCAGCCAGTGTGTCCGCATTGCGTACGTTTGTACAGAGCTGGGAATGGGCCCTGAGTCACTGACCCAGAGGGAGTTGGACAGCTCTATCAGCAGAGCCGAGCAGCCATAAAAGCATTTTGATGAAACCCGCTGAGGGTTGTAGTAATTCTTCAAGTCATTCTTTTGTAGGTAGTTTTGTAAAAAGATTCAATTGGCCCGGTATTTTACAACCTGATTATTTCAAACAGCAATTGTGTGTTATTAAGCTAAAGTGCATAACAATTCCCAAATGTGTATACTCACTTTATTCCCCACACAAGCTTTTTGATTTATTCCTGCATTTATTCCCACACTTATTTCAGGTGGCAGAAATGTCTGTATAAACACCAGTCAGTGTACTCAATTTTTTTTCTAAATGTGATAGATTTTTCATACTTCGATAGATATTTAGACTTTTATGAGCGGTGCTTGCAGGCCTAAAATAGAGTATTTCAAAGCTTGGCATCAGTCATTCCGAATTCCCTGCCTTTTTGTGTCCAGATGATTGTGATCATGATGAGGTGACCTTAACACAGCCTACAGGAGATGTCAGATATCAGCTCTGCTATCTCTTAACAGTGAACTTATTCTGTCATTTTGAACTATTCACAGAAAAAATGTGCATAGCTGTGAGTATTAAAAATGAGTTCATTCGTTGACCTCACCAGTACTCCCTCTTATTCTATCCTCGTGTAGCCTTTTGTCTGTTTAGTTAGACTCTTGTACAACACATGACCAGATTCTCTTGTTGACTCTTCTCTGAATCAGTTCACAAGCGGATTTTGACATTAGTGTTGTGTCATTTTTTGGAAATCTTTCGGTTATCTTTTGACCTTCAAAACCTTCTCTGTTTTCCTTGGACATGATGTCAAGACAAATATTTGTTTTTATTCTGTGACTTTTGAACAAAGAGGAAAGCAAATAGCTTATATCACCATTATTCAGTTGCAGGTCTGGTAAATGTTTTTGGAGTCTTGAGGAGAAATTCCACGCATTCAGCAAAATCAAATGGGAAGCTTGCTAACCATAAACTGAATTACAAGAGTGGGAAAAGACCATGATATATCTACTGTATGTCTCAAAATCTCACCTAGGGTGTGTTTACCATCCAGATTTTTAAAATAAAAATGTCACAGCATAGGTTTATTTACTTTTCTTACTCACAAGACAAAGAACATAGCTACTAAAGAACATTGAATTTGTTCATGATTGTAACATGTGCGATAAAATCCTTCATACTGAAGTTTAAGAGCAAAGCATTCTGCTACTGTTTGCAAAGATAAGAGTCATACGTTTCTACAAACTTTATATAAAATATGATAATTGTTCACTTTAATAGCAGATTTGACCTCTTCACGTACAGCTGCGACTTGTTCTTGGTAGGAAACAAAAGTGGAAGCAGGCAGCAGCAGTTACAGTTACAACAAACTGAGGTGTTACCAGACAGCTGAGACATTTCTTCAACAATTTAATCTTAAATCTATAGTAAATTAGCTGTTTAACACATTTCACTGCCACAAACAAACAAGACACAAACAGACATGAGAGATACAGTTGAGAGTAGGATAAACTTATATGATGGAAAAGATTTTTGATTAACGTAGCAGTAATGTATTGCAAATATATTAAACGAAAAAAACACAAACATATATTTATTTACTTGGACGACACTAATTGCCAACCATAGCAATTTTTAATGTTTTCTCTCTTCGTCATTTGAGGCTCCATGGTATTTGTGGAGACCACATAGGCCCACAATCCCAAGGATTGCAAAAAACAAACTGAAAAACAAATACAAATACGTGTATGGTTGTATCACTTCTCAGTAAAAGCTCCAAGCTGCTGCTAAACTTTACAAGCTGTTTGGGATTCAGTGCCTCAAGCCGATTACATTTCATAAAACTACATTACATTGGCCCGGTGGGATAATTTATCATATCTGCCTATCCCTCTTACATTAGTGGTGTCAAGCAAAATCAAGAATGATGATTCTGCTTTCCTCTTAAGCTCTTTAGGAAACAAAAGACCATGCATGCCTGTAGATATGCTCATTTATCCCCCATCTGCTGCATTATTGTCTAAGAATGACAACTACAGCGACTATAAATCCATCAATATACCGCACATGCTTCCTCCAATTCAGGTTCACATGAAATAGCTGGAAACTATCCATGCTTGTAAATATGTCTTGATTCAAAAATAAAGCTTGACACATAATTCATACACTTTAGTGGACAAATCATTTAGTCCTACCCAAAAAATGGCAATTTTCTCTCTGTTTTAAGGCATATGTCTGACCCACTTGTGAAACTGACATCCTCTGAGCTCTAACCTGTCATTTACTACATCAAGGTATTGATTAAATGTCTCATGGAATCCAACTAAGAGCAATAATTTAATATTTCTAACAACTCAGCAAAGTTATTGCCAGCAGCCATCAACAGAGCTCTGTAGTTACGACCCATGTGAATCTTTAGACCCCTAAACTGAGACCACAATCAGCAAAGCAACTCTAATATGATAATGCTGGTGCAAGCAAAATGTTGCTGACTCTTTGCAAACTCAGCATAGTGTGTGTTCATGAATCCTGTGGCTGTTGCTCTTTTCCGCAAAAAAAATGACACTATCGGGATGTTGAACTGCAGTATATCTTTGGCAATTAAAGTGTTGCTAGACTTAATAAAGTGAAGGTTAATTTTCCAAGTTATAGTACTTTGCAAACGTATTCAACTCCTTTAGTGATTTGTCAGATTTTGTTGTCATGAAAGTATCATTTAATCCACTCAGCTTGCTTAGTGCCCTACTTTGCATCAGTTACAGTTGCAGTTTTCTTTAAGTATATCTTTTCTGGCAAATTGCCAGGGGGACTTGCCCATCCCTGAAGGCCAGCAGTTCCAGCTCCCTTTAGTTAGTTGCCACTGGTGTAAATTAATTATATTTATTGGGTAATGATGTTCAATAGTTTATGAGAGGTACTGTTCAACCCAAAATTACACATAATTTTAATATCATGAAGCCAGATAGCTATCTTCCACATTACTCCTGTATTTCGACCCGAAACCCGCACAGACATAACAGGGGTTAATGTAGTTAAAAGAAAACAAAAGAGCAGTTTTATGGTTCAGAATTTCACAGGTTTGTGGTTTGCTTCTTTATTGAAAGGCATAAGGTCAATTGCATGGCCAGAAAACAGACAGCATCTTGTAAATGGTTAAAACTGAAAGAGATCAAGTTGTCAGTGTAACCAGAAAAAAGGTGGTAAATATCATTTCTTGTAAGTGATATAAAAAGACGAATTTAGGATTCACAAGTTTGTTTAAATTCTAAATACGAAGTTGTATGTTTGGTTTGTTCTGTCTTTCAAAGAGGCACAGTGGTGCCACATGCTCTGCCTGGAGTTGTACGCTTTTATGTTCAAATAGCAGCATCAGCAGAGAAGAAAAAACACTCTTAATAGCAGCAATTTCTGAAACAGCCCATTAGTTTTTTTAGGGCTCGTAGACAGACAGATCATCTTGAGTTTAAATCAGGGGTATGTGTGATCGAGTTCAATGAGTGAGAGGGGAGCGGGGAGGGGTCTTTCAAACTACACAAATCAGTTTAGGTGTAGATTGATTCCAGTCAAAGCTTTGTTTAAATTAAATGAGATGTTGGAAAGCTGGACATCACTGTTGCACTCTGAGAAACAGCGAGAGTAGGCAGAAAGAGGAATGGTAAGGAAGGATTCAGGAAGGAATGGAACTTGGTTTATTTTCCCAGTTGTATCTGCATTTGAGACCCTGAGAGGGTTTAATTCAATCAAGTCTTTCACATTTGCCCCTCCTCTCACATAGCCTGAATTCTTCTCTTGTACTCTTTTTATCATACCACCGACTTCTGTCTCATTTAGTCAATGAGGAACAAGATGATTGTCCTTATGGGAAGCTAGTAAATCACACAGTTAACTTTCAGTTGCACCCTCTTATGTGAAAGACAGCTGATTCACTATTAATGCAGAAAATCACCACTCTTTTGGATCTTGCAGCCATTATGCATTACTAAAGAGACTTGCTATGTGTACATTTTTACTGAGATGAATGTGGATTGTTATGTGGTCAAATGAAATGAGTTGAAGCCATTAACTGGAAGTGATCACAACAAATCACAACTAATCTTTTGTAATGCAACAGCTTTGTTTATGTCAGGCTTGTAAAAATACAACAGCTGACAATTTCAGTTCACGATAATCTATAAGCCAGAAAGAGAAACAGGAAACTTAATTACACACAAAAAAAAACTCTCCACTAAATTCAGCTTGAATGATCTGACATTGGCATGCAGCCAGTGTGCCTGCAATGCGTACATCTGTACGGACCTGGAAATGGGCCAGGAGCCACCGACCCAGAGGCAGCTGGACAGCTCTATCAGCAGAGCCGAGCAGCCATAAAAGCATTTTGATTAAACCTTTTAAAGGGTGAAGCATTATGAGTTATTCTTTCCCCAAGAGATACATCAGATCAAAATTCCCACCTGGGTCTCTCTATTTAACAAAAATATTTCAAATGTAATTATTCTGATTCACTGTACGCTTTATCAAAAGGTTTTATTATGGAGCTGTTATTACATTCATACTTAACTTTGTTTAGGCCTTCTTTTCACTGATTTTGCGTTATACATGCAGAGAATGGCAGAAACACACAAGAGTAAAGAGGAGATATGGTGGGAATTTTGAGAATTAATGAGCATGTTATATCACTTTATACTTCCTCTAACTCAAACTCTGAATGGTGTTTCCCTTTGTTCGGCTCACTTTGAGCCGAACAAACTTTGAGCCTAAATGTGTACTTTACTAACTCAAAAACTTAAGTGGTTCATAGTCATCCTGATCATCTTTGCCAAGGATAGACTTCAGGAAAGGGACCATTCTGAAGAGATTAATGTGGAAATCTCTGGAATCTTCACTGGACTCAAACAGACCACCAGAAGCGCACATTGGTTGGGTGCCCCAGCTCACCAGTCCAATCTGTAAGACAAAGAATTTCTTATTTTACACAGTCAAAACATGACAGTTGTACCCGAGCATAATTTTCAGCGATTATTCATCATCAAATAAAATCACTTTGTGACATAAACTCTTTATAACTGTTTACCTGGATTGTGCGAAGCTTATAATCCTTAAACACAGCTCCTCCAGCGTCACCTGTTCCAACAAATTCACACAGAGAATTAAGAGTAATGAAAGCAACTGTTGCTCATGTGTTATTGTATAAACTTTATATGTGACAGAGGAAACATACTTAAACACGCTATGTGTTCTCTGTAAAGATCAATACCACCAGTGCACAGGAAGTTTTCCGTCACAGCAACTGTTGGATCATTTGTTACTATGCCATTTGCCTGTAGTGCCTTTTTGATGCAATCATTTCTCTGTATTATGTTAAAAAAAGTACAAACACAGATAACAATTGGTTAATAAATCATACACAACTATTTTTTCCCCTCTCCCAGCCCAATAAAAGAAAAAAACTCACATGATC